ACTGAAAAGGCGAAAAAAATTTTGAGAAAAAATAGAATGCTTGTAAATGTGGCATATGGATATAATTTTTATAATATTGTAAAATGATATGTCGTGGATGTTTCATCAGTAAACTGAGACTACATACTATTTTTGAAAACATTATGTACCATCTGAAAAACAGTTCTATATTGGCAAAACAATGAAAGACAGTTGAATTGAACAAATGGTTATATTTAATGTTTTCAAGAAATAGCTCCAGAGGCAAAATTTGGAGTTGGCTTTCATGGAAATGAGGTAATCGGTCTACTCCAAATCTGTCTTTTATACCTAATCAGCTACTGTATGTTGGGAATGGACCGAATTATAATATGACATAAAAAGGATCTGCAGAGTGTCTCAAAAGTAAAAAGACTTAAAATGCATGGTATAACTTTTGGATCAGCCTGTAAAATCATCTGAAAATTCGAATCATAATTAATGTTTAGTATTTACACCCTATGCAGACTGAGCTTGCAGAAAATAATCGGTGCGGATAAATAAGCCCTAAGTGCAGAATATGGCCTAGTTTAAAAATATCACAAATTCAAATAAGACTGTTGGTTCTGCACTGAGCAATTATGTTATCTGCACCAATTGTTTTCTGTGCTCTCATTCTGCATAGGGTGAATTATGTCTGACTCTGAGCCTAAATTATGTACTAAAAATTGAAGCCATTTTAGAATATTGTGGTTCGTTCTGCAAACCGGTGTAAGAGTGCGAGTCTTGGGTAAAATGTTATCTATTTACTTTAGCGTTAGATATAGACATAATAGAGTAGAAGCCAAACTGGTACATATAATTGTACACTCGTCTTATGATCAACGTCATATTGTTTTTGTCATGAGTGTGAATTAAATAGATACAGCCAAATAGGTCTGGGTGTTATACAATGTTATATGAAGTAGTTTTCCACATATAAGCCCAGGACTTATCTAAGAGATATGTTTCCTCTCCAAGCCAAATGATGTTTTAGGTGGAAACCTTCACCCCAATTTTATTCTATGCATGATCACTTGTGGTGGGATCTGTTAGATTAATGTACATATTGCATAATCATTTCCAGTAGATTTGTATCTCAATTTTGACTTTTTTACCTTTATACATATCCATATACGTATGTATATTCAATACTGTTGAGTTGTTTACTGAAAATGAAACATTCAAGTTTGTTAATGCTTCTCACATTACATCATTTAAAGAATTATTTTTTTGCTTTTGTAAAATCGGTTTTTTTTTAACTTAATAAAATGTGTCAATGACAAGTAAAATTTGTCACAACTGAATGAACACATCAACATTGAGTGAAAAGATTTTGATTAGAATTATCCTTAGATGATACCAAAATATTGATGGGCATTGTTCACATTCACAAATTCTACTGTCTTATGCCTATTTATAGGCTTCTCTGATCCAAGTTCCAAAGTCAAATTTGTTATTTTGGTTGAAACAAAACAAACAGTTTGAACTTTCATATGTCTGGCGCTTGTTCACGCTCATTAGCCTGAGTAAAACAAAAAACAAATGTGTGAATTCAATATGTAATGTTCACAATTGAAGCAGATGTCCAACTTGAAATCAATATGAATTTAACACATTTGGTTTTGTTCATTTATGATCTACTTATTGATTGACCTTCATAAGGATGATAAATGAACAAGTTGAGTTTTCACAATTACTTTTTGTTATGTTTTTTTTATGTTTATAATTCTTACTAGAAGTGGTATTATTTTATTAGAGGCTGGTAATGCTTTTCTAGGGATATTTGAAATGCATATTTTGATGGGTTGTTCCGTTGTTTATGATACCAACTGACAATGACTGAAGTGTAATGCTGTAACAAATACGTAAACAACTCTTGTTATGGCCCATGCAATCACAAACTTAATTTCCACCTTAACGCCCATGGGGCATAAGACTGTTGTATTGAAATATGGTCATATTTCAGAGATGACTGTATACAAGGAAGGATTTTACATCTCTTCAATGTGCAGTTTATTGACATTAAGCTGGGGTTTCACTTTATTCTATTATGCCCGCTCATATAGACGATTCTATGAAGATGTTTACTGTATAGATGGAATACCCGACATAAAGGAGCAATATGAAAAGTTATCTGGTTGGACTTAACTGTTAAAGGGTCCATATAATCATCTTGCATAAGCTCTTGTGTATTACTGTTGCATTCTGTACCAGATATTTTTGATAATTGAATTTCATTAATGGACCCATTTGTAACTTTAATATGTTACAAATAAGTGGTTTTACTATTTAATTTATTAAGACATGATGTAAGTAGATTGTCAATTATTTTAGAGATTTAAAAGATTGTTGGAGTACATTTATCTAGGAGTCAGCCACAGGCTTGAGTGGAACTCAAGATATAGGACAAATGAATGACATTAAAGCACTGGTCTATAGCCAGTTAGTTTTGATCTTGACCAACTAGCTTATATCTAGTGTGTATAGGAAAATAGCAAACAACTGGTTTATAATTCAAATTCTTATGCCACACCCTGTATGTCAAGAATCTTCGTCATTGAATGCTCCTCTAATTTGAGTAGTGAATTAAGAATTTCTGGCTGGTCCAAAGTCTTTTAGATTCAATGATTATTTAATTATCATGTAAAAAGATGAGGCCCTAATGTGGCAAAAAATGTGTGTGCAAACTAGTTCAAAAATTGAGGAAAATTTATTTATCTAGTACATTTTTACAAGGAGTAAGCAGTGGATCCCTCACCTCCTTTTACAACCTATATGTTAGTGCATGTATATAAGTTAAGAAAGTGTTAGGGATCGCTGACTTAGTTCCTGTGGTGGTATAATTGTGTATAATGTAATCTAAAAGGCCAGTGAATGTAAGTTTTGAATGTTAAGAAAAAATCATAAAATTTATTTTTAACTAATGTTAGTTATTAAGAATTTTTGCAAATCATATTATAAATTATTAATAAAAACAGGTAATTTTAGATCCAAAATACTGATAATGCTCCAAAAAATCACTCATTATTTTGAGTGAAATATATATACCTGAGAACAGGGTTGTTAAATCTTAGATGTCATCATTTAAATTATGTAAAACATAAAAATGTAATTGGAATTAGAATTCATAGGTAATGTAAATTATGAACAACAATATAAACATATTTTTTGATGAAATAAATCAATTTTATTATTAATTATATTTATTAATGTTTTGTTACAAACGTTTTCATACATATTACAGAGCAAACTACTGGATGTCCCATTAAAATCCTAGTTTGCATAATCTTTACTTCTAGAACACCCAGTATTATTGAAACATGACATAATATTTTGACTATGATCTATTCAAAATAGTTTTATACAGTAAGTGTACATTTAGACACAAATGCATATGCATTAAGAATCTAATTGTCCTGCTAATGACAAAAAATTTAAGGAATAGGGCCCTATATGAAAGTATAAGCCTATGTCTGATTCTCCCACTAAATGCAGTATCAGAATTTTTCTACAAATACAGTACTAAGAATCTTAAGATGTCCAGCTAATAACAAATAAATATAGTATAAGGAATACACAAAATACTGTATAAGCCTATGTCTAAAGCCTCAGTCCCATTTGTTCTATGGCAGGCAAACGGCAGCCATAGCTTCACAAAATCGATATAGAAATCTACACTGTACTGCTTCCCCCAATAATTTATGCTGCATATTTCTTTTGACTCTGGAAGCTACAGCCACCATACAGTTCTGGTAGATCAAAGGTGACTGAGGCATAATTCTCCCATTCAACGCAGATTGCAGATACATAGAATTGTTTATGATATTAACACCAAATGTCTGCAAACATGCTCTGCTAATAATATAAGGAAGAAAGAAATAAGAAATAAAGAAAGATGACTGCAATATATTTACGTATATATATTGTCATCATTCACTAAAATAAAACAATCATGTAAGAAGGCAGTATTGGTGACAATATATTCAAGGAAGACATTTGTTTCTAACTTCCAAAAAACGTAATTCAAAATCTGCTAAGCAAGTCAGCCCATACAATTCTAACATTCAGCTCACATACTACTTATGTCCAGCACATACGCTGTACCAAAATGCAGCACATAAAATACCAATATGCAGCACATACACTACCAATATGCAGCAGATACAATACCAATAGCCAGCACTTACATACAGTATTACCAATATGCAGCACATACATTACCAATATGCAGCACATACATTACCAATATGCAGCACATACACTACCAATATGCAGCAGATACAATACCAATAGCCAGCACTTACATACAGTATTACCAATATGCAGCACATACATTACCAATATGCAGCACATACATTACCAATATGCAGCACATACGCTACCAATATGCAGCACATACACTACCAATATGTAGCACATACATTACCAATATGCAGCACATACATTACCAATAGCCAGAACTTACATACAGTATTACCAATATGCAGCACATACATTACCAATAGCCAGCACTTACATACAGTATTACCAATATGCAGCACATACATTACCAATATGCAGCACATACATTACCAAAATGCAGCACATAAAATACCAATATGCAGCACATACACTACCAATATGCAGCAGATACAATACCAATAGCCAGCACTTACATACAGTATTACCAATATGCAGCACATACATTACCAATATGCAGCACATACATTACCAATATGCAGCACATACATTACCAATATGCAGCAGATACAATACCAATAGCCAGCACTTACATACAGTATTACCAATATGCAGCACATACATTACCAATATGCAGCACATACATTACCAATATGCAGCACATACGCTACCAATATGCAGCACATACACTACCAATATGTAGCACATACATTACCAATATGCAGCACATACATTACCAATAGCAAGAACTTACATACAGTATTACCAATATGCAGCACATACATTACCAATAGCCAGCACTTACATACAGTATTACCAATATGCAGCACATACATTACCAATATGCAGCACATACATTACCAATATGCAGCACATACACTACCAATATGCAGCACATACACTACCAATATGTAGCACATACATTACCAATATGCAGCACATACATTACCAATAGCCAGCACTTACATACAGTATTACCAATATGCAGCACATACATTACCAATAGCCAGCACTTACATACAGTATTACCAATATGCAGCAAATACATTACCAATATGCAGCACATACATTACCAATATGCAGCACATACATTACCAATATGCAGCACATACATAACCAATATCAAGCACATACATTACCAATATGCAGCACATACATTACCAATATGCAGCACATACATTACCAATATGCAGCACATACACTACCAATATGCAGCACATACACTACCAATATGTAGCACATACATTACCAATAACCAGCACTTACATACAGTATTACCAATATGCAGCACATACATTACCAATATCAAGCCCATGTTACTCCTATTGTTCTGTTATATCATACCATGTATTATTAAAGACTTTGCCTTTCTTTTTCCTTTATTGTTTCCTAATGAGACAGATTGGAAGCTTTCCCTAAACATAAAACCACATTTCCTTCAATTTACAAATATGTCATTCACAACACTGGTTCATGCTTATATAAATGCAGCGGACTTTCACATTTTGTATTATATCTTCTACTCTATGAGCATTATTTCATTTTAATAAATAAAAATACCCGAGATCTTTAATTTGCATTGTTTCAAGGGTCTATTTCACATTACTATTCAACCTTGGACACTAGATGTAAATTTTTTTGTTTATGTGCATGTCACGAGTGCACCCTATTTAGGAATCCACAGACAACAGCTGCAGACTCTATTTTACTTTATTTACTGAGGCAGTCCACATCCAACAGCTGCAGACCCTATTCTAGTTCAATTACTAACCTGCAACAGCTGCAAACCCTATTCTTTTCGATAACTGAGGTAGTTCAAAAGGTACAGATGTAGACCCTATTTTATTTTAGGTGCAGAGGGAGTCCACTAACAGCAGCAGATCCAATTTTATTTCAATTGCTACAATAGTCCACACACAACAGCTGCAGATCCCATTTTATTTCAATTGCTAAGATAGTCCACATGCAACAGCTGCAGACCCTGTTATTTTAGTTGCAGAGGTAGTCCACACACAACAGCTGCAGATCCCATTTCATTTCAATTGCTAAGATAGTCCAGACACAACAACTGCAAATCCTATTTTAGTTGCACAGGGAGTCCACACACAACAGCTGCAAATCCTATTTTAGTTGCACAAGGAGTCCACACACAACAGCTGCAAATCCTATTTTAGTTGCACAGGGAGTCCATACACAACAGGTGCAGATCCTATAAGATGAGGAAGCTTGCAGATTTTCCTACTGGGATTTATGAAGTCCAATAGTTTTGCACCAGATTTTCCTGCAATCCATGACTTGATAAACTCCTCTGTGAACTTGTCAATGTCTTTATCAGTGATGTCCCATAGGCATGCAACAATAGATGGCCTGGAAATACAGGGTTAACAGTTAATTTATTACACGTAACAATACAAAATATGTCTCATGGATTTAGGATATTTCTTTTACATTTACAACATTTAACAAGACACAAAGTGAATGGTAAATATCACACAAAATTCAAAATGGCCACCAAGTAATTTACCCAATGTTGCCCAAAACCTAATCAGATGTTGACACTAGATTCTGCTTTTGCATCTATAAAATTTTCAAGTGGAACACGTGGGTGGTTTCCTGGAACTTGGATATATGCGGCTCAGCTGGCCTGCCCACCCACCCACCCACTCAGCAGATGATGACAATATAGCACTTTGAAAAAGTGTGATAGTAAAGATTGTTTCAGGTTTATGTCATACATTTGGGTTTTTGTATTCTTCTTGCCATTTATATTTTAAGATTATAAGTAAACTTTGATCAATAGCATCAATTCCAAATACTGTATTTCTCTCTAATGCGTGCACAGTTTGCTTCCCAAATTGAAATTTAAAAGGGCAAATTATTGGAATTGAAATAAGTGCACATACATACAAAAAATGAGACCATATTCATCAGAGGTGTGCACTGTTGGTAAATCACTTAAGCGATTAACAAAATATTTATTCTAACATAAACGATGGAGATCTGACATTTTCTTTTTTTTTCTCAATATACATTTTCACTACACAAGGATACAAGTGATTTGCTGTAAGCCGTTTTTACAAATGAAATAGAAATACAAAGAATACCAAATTCGACACACAGACCCATTCCACTCACACGACATTCATTCATGTCATGCATACCACACACATACAATCACTCATCAAAAATATTTTCCAGTCTGAGACCTTCGTTTAAATAGGCTTGAAATCCAACACAAGTCAGTGGCATGTTGGAATAATAAGCTCTATGAACATAGTATTTTAATATCAAAACGGAAAAGTTAAACTTTCTAAAATGTTTCCTATCGAAATACCCAACAATGACGTGTTGCTCATTTAAGTGTATATCCTTTTCTCTCCATTGATCTCCGAAATATTTTAAAAGACTTTTGATGTTCTTGCACTCCCAAAAACGGTGGACAATCGTCTCTTTTTGGCCGCAAAAATCACATTTATCATTCGTATGTATACCAACAAGTTTAAGGTACAAATTTGAGGCATAAATATTATTAATAATCTTATACTGTAATTCCCAAAAAGCGTGGTTTTTGGTTATGTCATATACCATTGAACACATATCTCGAGCGTTAACATTATATTTGCAACATAAGCGCTTAACGCTTATTGATTCAGAAAAACATTGTTGATTGATGTACAATTGAACCATTTTTGTATTCAAATTTTTGATGTGGACCGTTTTGTTACCAATAAAAAACTCTTCGATGCTTTCAGTATATTCGGTTTCACACTTCGCTTTCGGATCGCTTTTTAAAATTGATTTCCATTTCTTTGGAATGGAAGATATTAGGCTAATGTAATCTAAAAAGTTTATATCCACCTGGAACTTGTATTTAAAATCATTCAGTTCCATAAAACTACCATTCCCATTTAGTAAATCATTTATTTGAACAACCCCCATTTCAAAAAGGCTTTTTTGAAATATCTGTTTACCCTCCCTAAGTATGTATTTATTATGCCATAGTATCTCGCTCTTTACCTCAGAACTGTTTTTTGGTTCCTCCGTCTCACTTACCGTTGAATAATATGAAAGAGCATTCATATAGAAATCGGGGATTTTTTGTTTAAATAGGCGTACATCATATCTACATTGCAGAAGTAGATTAAGACCGCCAAAATGTTCAAAATATATTCGCGGAATCACTTTCCAGTGGCTAAGTTGGTCATCAAGGAATCGTTTGAGCCACATAATTTTTAGTGCTTTTTCCATCGATGTCATGTTCACCATACGAATGCCCCCCTGATCATAAGATCCGACCACAGTATTTCGCTTTATTTTATCCCGTTTCCCTTTCCACAAAAAATTATAAATCAAAGTATTCACCTTTGAAATGATGCTGTCGGGCGTAACAGTCATGGACATAGAATATACGATCTGTGAAACTGCAAGGGATTTGATTATCATAATACGACCGTAAATGGTGAGATTTCGCTTACCCCAGAGGTTCAGAATCCTCTTCAACGATTCTATTTTCCGGTCAAAATTTATCGCCTTATTATGCTCTGGATCGTATGATATGATACACTGATGCCTAAAAACTTACTTGGCCTCTTTACCAAAATACAGCCCCCCATATTCGGATTTACACCATCATGGTTGGCACCAACACTAAAACATTCGGTTTTTTCCTTATTAATTTTTAGGCCCGATAATTGATAAAAATTTTCGAAAATGCTTAAGGCAGCTTCAAGGGAATTTGCATCTTTGAGTATTAGAGATGTGTCATCGGCATACATAATCAATTTCTGAGTGTGGCCATTTAGATCGATTCCTTTCACATTTTCATCTTGCCTGATCTTAAGGGCAAGTACCTCAATACATATAACAAAAAGGGAGCAACTTAACGGATCTCCTTGACGGACACCCCTATGTACTTTAAACCACCCAGTAGAATGCCCGCTGTTCAATACGCAGCTATTGATATCAGTGTAAAAGAGCTTAACCCAACGGATTAACTCATCGCCAAAATTAAAGTACCGCAACGCAAAATCAATAAAACTCCATTCGATACTGTCATATGCTTTTTCAAAGTCAATTAAAGAAATAATGCCTGGTATTTTCCTTTCTCTAGTATATACTAGTAAATCCTCCATAAATCGAATGTTTTCGCCAATCAGTCTTCCTTTGACAAAGGCAGTCTGATCGGGTTCAATAATCGCGCAGAGAACCGCTTCAATTCTCTTACTTACCACTTTAGAAACAATTTTATAATCTATATTTAACAATGAAATTGGACGCCAGTTTTTAAGCAGAGATAAATCCTTTCCCGATTTTTCAATCAAAGATATTACACCCTGCCTTTGACTAACAGATAAGAGTCCAACTCTAAGTGAGAGGTTAAAACTGTCAACAACACCTGTCGAAATGTCGTTCCAAAATGCTTTATACCATTCGGCCGAAAGGCCATCACTCCCCGGTGTTTTGTTCGACTTAAACGTTGAGAGAACTTTAAAGCATTCTGCTTCAGTAAGTCTGAGTTCGCACGATGCCTTCTGCGCTTCAGATAGTTTACGCGACTGTAGATTATTAGTAAAAATGTCAAAATCTTTGAAATCGGGCGAGACCTTTTCAGAGTATAAATCTTGATAAAAGAGTTTAATTTCATTCAAAATACGAGTATCATTTTCGATCTGACATAATTTCCCTTCAATTTTCTATTTCTTTAGTAGTAGGCGATAATTCATTCGTTTGATTTGATTGCATACCTCTATTTAATATATACGAGTATATATCAATATAAGAAGTATCAGTGAAACACAAAAAAGAGGTAACTGTCGGGCTTAGGCTAAGCTTGTTTGGCAGTTTGAGTTTTAAGCTTGGCATGTCAACCTGACAATTAAGGTCTCAATCAGTCAGTGAAATCAAGTTAGCTTACTCACAGCAGGATATTGAAGATTATCTTTTTGAGAATCAGTTAATTGAGTATTAAAAATCTTAATCGATTAAACTTGTGTCGATCAATTCACACCTCTAATATTCATCATAAAATGTGCATGTGCCCTCATTGGAATTCTGCGCTCATTAGAGAAAATACGACATTGGCTTATTCACACACAAAGTGAAAGTAATAATGATTTTTCACATGATACAACATCTAAGGGAGGAAAATATACATACGCTCCAGCCATGAAGTAACTAAGGACCATGCCTTGAGCCTCAAAACATCCTGAAGCAACCAGTTTGCCACTGCTACAGCCCATGAGAAAGGTAGCAGCCTTACAGTTGATCTGTTGAAGGCTATCAGCTTGCAGGAACTTTCCCCCGTGACCATGTCCGCAGTATCTGGAAAAAAACATGTAAATAGAAATAAAGATAACATGTTTCATAGTTAGACATAAAGAATTGATGAAAATGGTTGAAAATATTACTTTGCCTGAATGAGATAAAAAACAATTTTCTTCCGATTTAATCTTCAACATTTGTTTACTTACATGTGCATTTACATGCAAATAAATGTTTCCATTCACATACCAAATAAATATTTCCATACATCAAATACTGTACACCAAATAAATGTTTCCATATATCAAATGCTATACCAAAGAGAGAAACGATTCCATGTATCAAATATGGTATGCAAAACAAATGTCTCCACAACAAATGATATACCGAAGAAATGTTTCCATATATCAAATACCATTATACCAGAGAAATGTTTCCATATATCAAATACCATTATACCAGAGAAATGTTTCCATATATCAAATGCTATACCAAAGAAATGTTTCCAAATATCAAATACTGTTTAGCAAAGAAATGTTTCCATATATCAAATACCATTATACCAGAGAAATGTTTCCATATATCAATTGCTATACCAAAGAAATGTTTCCAAATATCAAATACTGTATAGCAAAGAAATGTTTCCATATATCAAATACCATTATACCAGAGAAATGTTTCCACATATCCACTTACACAAGCATATCATGCTGGGTGAGGCCTTCCTTGAACTGATCTGCAGTGGGAGGTTTCCCTATAACACCATTCCAGCCCTTCTCCCTAAAGAGTACAACATTACACTAGAGTCAGCAATAATAACTTACAGTGCATCATTATTGTGTGTCGGGCACTTGAGTATTCTCTCCAGGATTTTTTGTTAGACTGTATGCACATACTCTCCAATTTTTATGATTTTCCAATCTGAAGTGGGTGCGAAGGGATTTTCAAATTCTCAAATGTTTGCAGCTCCAGAATAAATTGCATTGAGAAAATATTACACAAAATAAATTGTTTTGAGAACTTCAAAAATTGTTTTTTATAAAATTAACTTACATAGACAAGTTGTACTCACAAAATCAAATCAATACGACAAGACTAATCCTACTTACTTTTTGAACCATTCCTGTAGTGTCTCCTTAGTGTTGGCAAGGTTGCCCTCAGGGTCCAGCACATAAAACGTATCAGTTGGGTCAACACCACGTTGGAAGACATTGTCCTCTAGGGACTGCTGGTGGGCCAAGTGGGCAGACAAGAAGTGTAAAGAGGGGACCCTGGTTACGGGTGTGGTGCTCAAACATGGCATACACTCCCATGGTAGATGTTGGATCAACTAGGAAACAATACATACAATTTAGGAAATTTGCTCAAAACAAAGGGTCAATTTTAATGATTCCCAGAGAACCATTGAGTACCACTGAGTACTTTTAAATGAAGAATGACTTGCAATCAAAATCATTGTGACATTACAAAATCTGACCCCAGTGAGACATAAAAAGCTACATTTACTAACCCTATCCAGTATGAGAACGACAGGTTGTCTTTTCCCATTTGTCTCCCATTTTGCTCCCATGGCAGCTTTAACAGCATGAACACATTCATCTGACTGACTGGAGCCCAAGATATGCTTCAATATTGCCTGGAGTTGATTCACGCTGTACGAGGTCTCACAATCCAGAAGCATCTATAGAAAATAAAACATTGAATCACTTTCTATTTTTGTCAAATCATTTGATGATCTTACAATTATAAATGATTCATTTATTACATTGGTCTTCTCTATTGGGTGTTTTATATCTTCAAATGTTGCCCTTTGTATATTATCATTTAAATAAAAAATTTAATTGCCACAGTTCATTCAAAGCAAATGCAAGGTATGTCATATAATACATCTGGTATTATCATTCACCTTTATCAAAACAATAATCATTTAACAAATATGGTCTAAAAGGCCTAACAACTATGGCATATTACTAAAGGCCTTACAACTATGGCATATTACTAGTACTTGAGAAAAATTAAAAGGAGAGAATGTAATGGGCATCATACCTCTAGCATTGATTGTTGATTTGAATCCACAATGACCCCATGTTGTGTCAGGGTCTCAACAAGTGTGTTCAATGTGTCATTCACTGTGTTCTGTGTTGATTTATCACACAACTGACCCTTGAGAATTCCTCTCCAACAGCCAAACCAAATCTTCTCCATGTCCAGAACAAGTTGCTGGAAATGTAATAAAGTTTTATATTAAGCAAGATAAGTGTAATAACATACATGTATTTAGAATATAAGTAAGATATTGAATTATTTAAATGAACAGTATTTTTTATGATGAAGCATGAAGCATTCTTGTTTTAAAGCAGCATCTATGGATCTGAATCAGAGTCATTTTTTCTATCCTGGGGTCATTACAAGAAATTTTCGTAATAGTATGATTCTTAACAATTGTTGGAAGTCAATTGTCAATGGATATCATGACATCATAGTAAGAATTCTCAAATGGATTTTCACACACTGTTACAAAGGAAATTTCCAAAAGTTTTTAAAACATGATAATTGATATGTATTTATTCATTAAATGATCCCACGCCAGACTATTCATCTTCTTACTTTCAACTGTGCGTCCAGTCCTCTGCGCTTTGACCACCATTGTATGCTATCAGTGAGTCCTAGACTTGATTTACTCTCAGCTATAATCTCATGGAACGCATCTAATAGTTTCTGCCCCTGTGATGTCTGGAACCCATGTAGGTGTACGATAAGTGGTTTTGCACCCTTGCGGAACCTTGTGGCGTACATCTGGCGTGTTGTAGAGTTGGGAAGTTCAATAACAGAGACCTGACACACGGACCAATCTGGAAAGAAATACAATGTAGGTAAGCAATTAAGCAATGTCATACAGTCCCCGTGAAAACCTGTAAGGACATTGGAGAATACATACATGCAAAAAATAGTAAGTTTCAGGGCATATTTTTTTGCATGCCACCAAAAAATCAGGGGAAGGTCAATGAAAATTATGCAGTCTGCTTATCAAATTCAGGATGGACACTGTCACTTTAATCCATTTCAATCCATTTTGTAAATTCTACATACTTAAAGGGTGACGCATATCGTTTAGCAAATCGAACGCTCGTTTCTTGTGTTGCTCACCGTTTAGTATAAAAGGCCCGATCCCGGAATAATACTCAAGGGTTCACAGGTTCGAAGTTGTTGTGTCAACACCTCTAACTGTTATATAGCATAATTATATTACAGATCGTCACACATTTATAAAAGGGTGATTTTTATTTTGACAAATCAATTCCACATTTATGGGTGAAGTTTCAGGATCTTCTATTTGTGTACAATAAGGAAAAATTGGCATCTAAATTTCCCCATAACGTAATAGCACACAGCTTGGCATATGAAATATCCTACAAATGAAACAAAGCAAGACAAACCGGTTTCTAATACAAGGATTTATATTGGCTGCTGTACATGTATTCTTTGAACGCAATCACTCTTTGGATAACGTTTTCAAAATCATTATAAACGGATTACTTTATCTCAAAGACAATTTCAATAAACTGGATTTTACAGAACTCCCCTTATTTCTTAAAAATGGACTGATCCAGTTGATTCGCCTGGAGCCGCCATATTGTTTTTATACGGGATGCTAATCGGAACCCTTTAACAGGCAATATGAGAAATAAATATAAATTTAGAAAAAATCTCAATGCAAGACAGTAAAAGTTCAATACCTTGTGGGATAGTGTCAACCATATTAGTATGGTCCTCCATTGTTTTATTGAACTGTACATGGTTCCACATGGAATCAACCCTCTTTCTTTCACCATCCACTGCACCCACATTATCCTTCAACAGTTTCCTAAAACAAAACAATTTTTATTCACTATGAGGGTAGTTTAGCATTATCTGGTTTGCATTAAGGTCAGGGTGCACTTTGATGAAATTTCATGACCATGTGCTATTTTTTAGATAAACATAACTCATTCCACACATCATCTTCATCTTTCATTCTTGCACAAAATATGCATTAGTGTACCTAGACTATTAATTGAGGGTTGATAATGCTTCAGAATGTTTGAATAACTAGAATATTCAGTGGTTTACTTTCCAAAATTACCCAAAAAATCTAAAGTTCACTCTGGCCTTAACATGTCAAAATATCACCAGAGTTATGTCATATGCAAATTTTTTAAAAATTCATAGATCTTTGTTTCATGTTTATGGGTTATTGGGGAGGTCGAGGGTATAAGGCATATGCAACAATATTTTCATCAAATCAACAATAAACAGTGACATCTTTATTTGAAAAGAATACTAAAACAACATCCTAGTACTAAACTATGTGGTGAATACAAATACAATATGTACACAATGTCACAGTGACCTTCAACATTGTTTTTCTAAAAATGTAATGTATGGCTGTATAGGTCGATATCTGTGTTGACTTAACTAAGTTTTCACTGATAACATATACAGGCATTTTGTAATGAAAAACAGCCGAATGTGAATTCAGCAACACAGCAGGCATTTTTTCAGAATTTAAATGCACAAATGGGATCACCATTTGAAGTGATACATTGGCTGACTGTTGTGAGACATAATGGCAAAATCTATCCACCATTTTGGCCTAAACTCAAGAGAAGCAAGATGCGTGGCCAAGCTGATTCAACATCATGGGGCCAGTGGCTGGAATATGGAAACAATATACGCCGAGGCCTGATGATGTCTTCATATCATCATATCCCAAAAGTGGTTGGTATAAATTCTTTTGGTACTAGGTTTAAGAGTTACCATATATCTTGGACTATTCTGATATAATGCTATTACTTTATATACATGTACCAATTATAGCATACTAAGCTATTAAGGTTCAGCTGGAAAATAACATTTTGGGAAAAAATTGCTATACCTGCGCATGTTATTTTCTGGTACAAAATAAAGTATGAAGGCATGTGTTAATTTCCTTGCTTTTTTCAGGAAAGTATCATTACATTGTCTTCTTTTCTAGTAAATCTGGTAAGAGTTCAATGGGAACTCCAGGAAATTCTGATATTTCACGCTTTCTATTTTATTTTTTGAAGTTTCCAGACAACGGAGCTACCATTGACCTGTTTCCAGGTTTACTAAAAGTAGACAATGTAATGATACTTTCCTGAAAAAAGGAAGGAAATACACACATGCATTCATACTTAATTTTGTACCAGAAAATAACATGTGCAGGTATAGCAATTTTTTCCCAAAATGTTATTTTCCAGCTGTACCTTATATGATTGAAAATTTATTATAGATGAACACTCTTCATTTTCAGGCCATCACTGGGGTAATGAAATAGTACGAATACTCCGAAATGGATTAATAGAAAGTCCAAATGTACCATAACTTCAAGCATTTTTAGAATTTATTAAACTTGAAGAGCTTAATCAACTGGAATCACCTAGAACTATACTGACTCATTTATCATACCAGGATATGTGTGAGAAAGTACTGAACAGTTCTAAGATAGTTTATATCTATAGAAATCCCAAAGACGTAGCTGTTTCATATTACTACCATATAAAGGAACAAGACAAGGCATATCGTTACAAAGGCACATGGGATGATTGGCTTGAAGTTTTCCTTTCTGGGGAATGTAAGTACATGTATAATGTCATGGGCGTAGCTCTTGTAGTGGGAACAAGAGTTGATAGAAGCAAAAAACAGCGTTTAGGGGGTCTCTGGGGATTCGCCCCCAGGAAAATTTGGAAATTTGGTTGTATTTGGAGAGTTTGCAACAATCTAGTACGCCTGTGCGTACCCAGTGTACCTGGCGCTACGCCTCTGAATATGCATAAGCTATCGCAAGAAAAAGTTTCATAATTAATCCAAGAGTCTTTCATAAAAGTAAGGTCTAATATATGTTTATGTATTTCTTTTTTTACTCATCATATGGCCAATGGCCATTGTCCTAATGAAAGGCCCATGGACCATGTGACCACGCTTAACCATTGAAAATGTATGATGGCCTATTTTGTCACTGTACGTTGTCGAGGCTTAGACATGCTGACTAGTGGTAGAAAAATTCTTGTAATTAACATGTAATGTGTATAGGCTACAAAAATAATTCACCTGTCATGTTGATGACATAGTCTTGTTTGTTATTATTTGACAGGACGTCTCATCTTCAGGATGCATTGAACCATACTAAGTACTTTAAAAACATGTATATCTTGTCTAAATACAACAGGTTTTTTCAACATTCATTAAATACTTTTGTGTTTGAGTTTTTGTGTTTGTTATTCACTTACACATGTACTTCTTGTTTGTTTTTTTCTACATAATTGTTTTAGTTATCATTGTTTCTAGCTTAGTATGGTAGCTGGTTTGACAGTGTTATAGAGTGGTGGAACAGATGTAAAGACAGGCCTAATGTACTGATGCTGTCATATGAAGATCTTATTGTAGTAAGTGATGGTGTCCAGTGTCCACATAATGAAGCAGCATCTAAAAGTTTTGCAACAAACCCTCTGATACTCTTTAAAATTTTGGCTGGCTTTTCACTTGAATTTGAAAATCAACATTTTTTCATTTAAAATAAAATTGTCATCACTCTCTGAAATTGTGCAAAAAACTTCCCCAGGGCACTATATACTTGTGAAGAGTTACTCTTTCTTGACATGTTAGAATGCTGTGTATTTAAGCTTGTTTTATCATATCCAATGAATTCCAGGACTTCCAAGGCTGTGCAAAGAAAATAGCAAAATTCCTGGGACAGTCTTACCCTATAGACTTTTACCAGAACCTGGAGAGGGCATGTAGCATTGATAAGATGAGAAACAACAAGGCCCTGGATCCTACTATAGCACATAGGACTGATAAGAACAGCAGTATGTTTAGAAAGGGTAAAATCCTCTTCTTCAATATTCAGCCAAATTGCATAGCCCAAATTTGAAAATAAAATTCACTCGCACAGTTTTCCATATAAACATGTTAAAACAACCGTACATTTTTTCCATGTCGTCTTAGTTTGCCTTGCCTTTATCAAGATCTTGGTTCTTAAACTGACTGCATTCATTTTCAATTGCAGGTGTGATTGGTGACTGGCAGAATCATTTCACAGTTGAGCAAAACAAGAAGTTTGATGCGATTTACAAAACCAGAATGAAAGACTGTGATATTCCAATACGATTTACAATGCAACCAAAGTACAATGCAAAATTGTAGTTTCCTAATACAATAAAATCTACCTCAAGTGAATATTACATGGTGTTGAAAATTAGGTCAATGGTGTTTGTGTAAAATTGAGGGATAGCCACATAGGAGGCTATAATATGAGATAATATGAAGTCAATGGGATATGTCATTAAATGAGACAGAAACAAGTTCAAGCTTTGAGTGAAAAAAGAGGTTGGTGACACCAATTTTTTAGTTGATTGTGAAATATAATGTGAAACATTAACATGCAAAATGTCACTACCTGCCATTTATTACAGATGCCAAAAACCAATCACCATCCACAAAAAAGGAGAATATTACAATATGTCACCAATGCTGGTGGCAACATAATAAATTAATAACAAGGCATTAACATGTCACCACATGTTCACAATATTATGAGTTAAATCTTAAGTCAGATTTGATTTTGTGAGAACTTGTAGAGATGATTTTGAAAAAAAATTGGTCAATTTGAAACAAGTTGAAAAAATACCCTTTTTGACCTTGAGCAGGTCATTGAAGGTGAAATCTCAAAATCTTAAGTCAGATTTGAACTTCTGAGAACTTGAAGATGATTTTGGAAAAACAATTTGATCAATTTGAAGCAAGTTGAAAAAATACCTTTTTTGACCTTGAGAAGGTCATTGAAGGTCAAATCTTTTTTTGACCTTGAGCAGGTCATTGAAGGTCAAATCTATGGTCAGATTTGAATACCTTTTTTTACTGTATGAATATTATATACGCTGTACACTTTATTGTCAAGTTATTTTAAGGCCTTCTACTAGTATGTACAGGGGTAAATCATAGATTTAACATGGAAAAGTTGAAAAGTCTCTGAAATCAACAGGCAATTTTGTGAAAACAACCGGAGAAAACCGCCTGTTGCCTGCTGAAATGAAACCTCTGATGTATATATTTCCCTAAAGAAGCTATGATAACAATATCTTACTTTAATCTCTTCCCAGCATTGTTCAACAAAGCATGTCTAAATGAGACTCCCATAGCCTCAGTAAGGTAGTATGCTGCCTGAGAGGGCTGATCCAGGGAGGCCAGGGCAAGAATATGGCAAACTCGATTGTATAGCACAGAGGGTGGATCACCTTGTATCTTTGTAAACAACTCCTTCATCCCAGGCACATTGATTACAGCTGTAAGTAAAGATGGAAAAATCAATTACCACATCTATTATATAAAGTAGCTCAATGCACTACACTTACATGAAAGTATAAATAAGGATATAAAAACTTCAAAAGTGTATTAACTAAAATATATTCTTAAGCAAAATTACAATGTTGCTTCTATATCATGAACATGTACTTATTTTATATCAGATGAAAAATTCTGCGCACAATGCTGTAAACTTACTTGAATTAGGCTTTCTTTTATCAGCAGCAGATTTCTGATTCTTCTTGGATGCATTCCTCCCTCTTGGTATCTTCTCTGGTGTCTCACATGAACCATTTTCTTCTAGGTTAGCACCACGCTCCACTTCCTTTTTCCCAGTGGATTTTTTCGCTTTTGGTCCACGCTTTTTCCTTGCTCTTGGCTTTGTGTTCTCTGTGTCAGAGTCATCATCAGCTCTTAGTGTTTCGGTGGAATCATCAAGATTTTGATCTGGTGGAAGAGATAAAGGACTCACTGGGTTGAGATTGTCATCTTGAAGGTTATCAGGTGCATCTCCACGCATGTGTTCTATATGGACAAATTGCGCTTGTTCCGTAGTGACTTCCTCTACAAATGAGTGATTATTTGGAGATTGTTCTTTCTGGGCCTGGTGTGAAGCTACAGGGCTAGTAATTTCCTCCTCAGGAATACACAGGGATTCATTCAAATCAACATGGATGTCACCATCTAAAATCTCCCTGTTATCTTCTGCCCGACCCGCTTTAGATCGTGTCATCCTTGGTGCTCGTACAGCCTTCACACGTTTTATCGCGGGTTCATCTTCAATTATAAAATCATGCATGTCAACATCATTAAACTCTGCAATTGCAGCTTTAAGTTTGTCATCTTTTCTGTTAACAATATCTGTAGTTTCTACAAGCTTGATTGGTTTCTTAGTTTTTGTGGCTCGAACTGCTTTCTTCTTGCCTTTGGGTTTCTCAGCAGAGTAAGGGAAATCATAAACATTATCAGATTTCTCGGGTGTTGAGAATATTGGTATTTTTGATGGTGTAAGAGCTCCTGGTTTGAATAATTTCGAAACGGGGCTACTTGTAGGAGTCAGATCAGCATTGATAGTTTGGAGCAGCCTTGAGTTACGCTGAACCTTGGTTGTGGATTGTGTAACGATTGTGTTATTTTCAGCATCTTCTTGTTTGGTGCTCTTTCGTCCACGTCTTACTGTTGATTTAGCTTTTGGTTTCACAGCATTTCCTCTGCCTTTTGCTCCCTTTTTAGTCTTTAGTAATTCATCTTCACTATCACTGTTAAGGAGTTCATCTAACATGGTCTTACGACTGCTTGCACAGCTAGGAGTCTTGGGCGTCATGTTCTGAGCTACAGGAGTCTTCATTGCCAGCCTAGGGTTGTTCTCTTCATCTTCATCATGATAGATTTTAATGCTTGGTTTTTTCATTGAAGCAGTGATTGTACTAAATGGGTTTTTTGTTGGAGTTAGAAAAGACACATCATTTTTCTTAATAGTTGTACCAGATTTAGGACGTCCTCCACGCTTCTTTGACTTAACACTATTTGGAATTTCCAAACTGGCTTGTGGGGTTTCAAAGGGTATGGGGCTGTCAATACCCAATTCTTCCTTTAATTCCATTACCCTGGGCTTTCTTATTGTTGATCTAGATGGGATCTTCCTAGCTGGTGTCTTGAAAGATGAAACAGCACAGGGTTGGACATCCAATGATTTCACATTTCTATCTCCCAATGTTTTACCATCTCCCTCCTTAATTTTATTGGCACACTGGTCATTTTGATTTTGTTTCCAATCGAGGTTAATTTTTTCAAAATCTGCAACAAGTTGTTCCTGTATGCTTTGTTTTTCCCCTAAATAGACACTCTCAATGTGTTCTTCTAGATTTTCAAAGTCAGTCTCACATAGAACTTTCTGAAGATCTACCAAAGCATTTGTATACATGAGTTCTGCCTCTAGATTGTTAGCAATCTCGACTCTCTCTGGGTTGTCGACTGTATTAAGTAATTCAAGTCCTTTCTTTGTGTGCACATGAACAGCATCATAGTCTAACTCCTCAAGGGATATTTTAGCAGCTATGTTGTGCAGTGATATAAGCTCAGGTGTATAGTCAATGCTGTTCACCTCAAATTTATCAGTTTTGTTTGATGTACTGCAATCTATCGATAATATCTTAGGCAATTCTTGATCTCTAGTTTTGATAATGTTATAAAACTGGAAAGCCATTGCAAGAGGTTCTTTGGTTTCAACATCCTGCAGGAACAGGGTCTCCACATTGCAAATCAGGGACTGCAGGGTCAAGTGATGGAGTCCTATATCAGAACATAACTCACAAGTACACTTAGTAGTATGCTCAGCATAGTCAGGTAACACTTTTGTTTTGTTTAAAAGTTTTGGCGAAGCTACCAAATTTTTATTTTTCATCCAAGGCCCTTCCTCTTCATTCAGTTTTTTTGACTGAATAAAATCTTCATCTTCGCTACAAATATCATCTAGTTCTTTCTTCAGTTGCTGTTTGATGTTTTTGTTATTCTTCAACTTCTTGTTTGATTTGTTGATCTGTGAGCCTAGAACATACTTGACGACATTGAGGTCAGCATTGCTATCTGTGAACTTGTCACTAAGGTACAGCACACGGGCACTCAGCAACTTTATTTCCGCTATCCTGAAATGTAATATGAAATGATATTGTTTTATTCTGACATAGAACTTTCTAACAGTGACACAAAATAATACAAAAAATTAACATGAAAAATGTCACCACCTGCCATTTCTTACAGACACAGACCTCCAACTGCAAAGCATCAACTGCAGAACATCGTCCACAAAAAAAAGTTGGAGACCATAATAATATGTCAAAACTTGTGGTGGTGACATAATAATATAAGCAATGAGTCAGTTGTTTATCTTGAGAAACTGTAACTATTAATTACAACATATATTAAGCATCAGTTATTATAACGAAATATTCCACAAAAGATAACATTATTGAGAAAATGTTAACTAACCTGCGAGGAATATTGAATGCTTTAGCATACTTCAGAGCCTCCTTGGAAAAGAAAAGAGCTTCTTTGGGGAGACCTAGGGTGATGTAGATATGAACAAGATGTTGTAAAGAAGCCAACAGCTCACAAACTACATGCCATTGAGAACTACTGTTTTCAGCTGAAAAATCAACATAACAACAAGACATTATATTAATATAATATGAAAAATATGTCACCTCATAGGCTCATACTATTCAATATGCAGGGATTTTTGAATTTCAACATATAAAGGTCAATAACATGAGACAACTTGAATTTTGTAAATATACATTTTGCATGGATAAACCAATGTGGGCACCTTGTAGATTTTAGAGATGTGTCTGTAAAAGTTTCAAGTTAAATGGATGAAAAGTTTTCTTATTCTCTTGATGACAAGATTTCTTGTGCCACTGAGCCTGCTAATAAGCACATGCTGATGGCAATATAGCACTGTTCAAGGCAATAAAAATGAATTTGTCAGTAATGAGCTCACATGCAATTAATATTTGAGTAAAGCTTATATTCACCCTGTATAAGTCTCACATACCTTGAATAAAGCTCATATTCACCCTGTATATGTCTTGCATACCTTGAATAAAGCTCATCCCTGTATAAGTCTCACATACTTTGAATAAAGCTCATATTCACCTAGTATAAGTCTCACATACTTTGAATAAAGCTCATATTCACCCTGGTTAAGTCTCACATACTTTGAATAAAGCTCATATTCACCCTGTATAAGTCTCACATACCTTGAGTAAAACTCATATCAGGCTGCTGAGAAGAGATGCCCTTCACTACAAAATTCACAACTGCTGAGTTGGACCTCACAGCTTCAAAAGCAAAATCTAGAGCATTGTCTCCAATCTTGGGTGAGACATTAAGTTTGTGGGGGGTCAGGGTTGCGTAGCGGGATAGCAGCCTCTGTATGGCACCATCAAGCAGGTATCTCTCCTTTGTCTTCTCTGGCATATTGGTCTCTTTGTGTTTCACTGTATTCTGTAGAACTTGGTACCCCTCCTCAATCTGCAACATAGTATATTATATATCTCATGCATGAACAGATATTTATTATATTTTGAAGGGTCATTGTTCCTAATATTTGCGTTGGCTTTCTTTAGTTCCAATTGATGTAATTTGGTGTCCCTATGTTTATACTACTGTTACATTTCTTTTTACAAGCAACATATTCCTTCTGCTTAGTTTATTGAATAATAGTGTCTTTTATTTATTATATGCCCCATATTCAATCTGGAAACCCATTGGCTAATTATGGCCACACAATATTAAATAGATGGACTAATGCAATGGAATCACGATTTGCATAATACCACACCTTGTCAGTAAGCATGTAGTATTCTGCCTCAGCTAACCATATCTGGTAACATTGCACCTCTGGGTGGTCTTCAAGGACTGTTTTGGCCAGTTCCATGTTGGTCAGTGCAGTTTGCAGCCTGCCCTGGCTACAACATAGGAGCACTAGGCTAGCCAGGCAGTCCGCATACTTTTGCCAGCTCTTGCCTAGCAATGAAGCCTTTTTCAGCAGACATAGAGTTCTGAGCTCATGGGTAGGCTGGAAAAATATTATCAGTTTGTATGACACCAGAGACACCAATAAAGCTTCACTGCTTTTTAAACATACAAGGTTTTCTAGTCAATTTTGACAAAAAAAGAAAAATCCCACCACTTCCGCAGGAGCGGTCTCAGCAAACCTTTAAATTGTGCATAATTTAGAAGTTCAATAAATACATTAAGGAAACAATACCTTGTTTGTTAGTTTATAGATGTCAGCCATGGCTTTCAGCGATGCAATGGTCTGTTGAATATTACGAAAATTCTCTTTGGTGCAACCTTTCTTTGTTATACAAATTTCCCATATATCAAGGGCTCGGTTGAGGGGAGCCATGACCAGGTGCTCCTCACTGATGGTGAAAAAGTCCCCTGAGAGGGAAGACATCTCTGGGTTATCTAGGGCATCATCATTTATAGGGTCGGAAGCATGTGATTGTTTCGCTGGCTTCACATCAACAATCTACAACAATATAGAAAATATATTGATTGAACATGAAATAATTATGGATTTCTTGTACAGTATTCACAGAGTACCAGCAGTTCAAATCAGTGAGTTTTAGAAGGATTTACCCTGATTGAAGCATGAAATTCCTTGGACAACTGAGTTGCTTGGTCAACAAAATACTAATGTAAAAAGATAAATTGAATGTTCACCGATTGTATAAAAATAATTTTTCTCATTTCATGTATATTTTCAGTTTGTGGACATTTTCAAAGTAATTCCTTCATGAATTGCATATTGGAAAGCAAATCAAATAACCTTGAGCCCTCCCTCCCCTCGGGCATTAGACAAATGTTACCTCTTGTTTCATCTGATGTGACTTGGTGAGGTACAGCCAGTAGAGAGATTTGGCCAAATCATCACACAGCTGGGGTTGGGGAGATTTCACTTTCTTATAGAGACCCTCTAGTAGTCCTACCGCCTCCTCACAGCATTCTATTGCAGTCCTGGAAGAGCAGAATATAATTATTCAACCAATCAGAAAGCATGATTATTCAACCAACAATCAGAAAGCATAAGTACTCAACCAATCAGAGATTATAATTATTCAACCAACAATCAGAAAGCATAAGTACTCAACCAATCAGAGATTATAATTATTCAACCAATCAGACAGAAAGCATAAGTACTCAACCAATCAGAGATTTATAATCATTTAACCAATCAGAAAGCAAACTACTCAACCAATCAGAGTTTATCATTATTCAACGAATCAGACAGCAATGTAGCCACATGGGATGAAAAGATAAAAACTAATAAGTACTAAATTTCTTAACCACTAAAAAACTGAAATAGAGAAAATCGATGATTGCTTGCTTCTTATGATCCCCTGCAACATTGCATGTCCTACACATAGTACACAGCATTCTTACCTATCTATCCCCCATTCTTTTGTCTTTCCCCCTGCACTCCACAACAAGCCTGCTAACTCAGTGAGTACATGCGCCTTCTTCTGTTTGTCTGTACAAATCTTCAAGAGGGATGCAACCACCGCATACTGACTCTCATACCTCTTAGGGCTGCAATCAAAGTCACATATATTAAGGTTAAGTAGAGGGTAAGGTAAGCTTCAGAAATCGTTAACAATCCACACCATGCTGAGACTTTGAGAAAGTCCCCCAGACATCAAATACGAGTAATATATCTAAAATCATTTTCTCTGGCTTTTTCATTTTTAATTTCTCCTTTTTGCATGTTAAGAGGATCACACTTAACTAGGTTTTAACAACCAGGGGCTTTCCCAGTTGGGAGATTCCATTAAACCTAGTTGAAAATTAATTTGCATTGTGATTAGAATTTGAAAAAATCAAGTCAAAATCCTGTTGAGGACAGTGCTAGTTTATCTTACCAATATTTCTTCATTGCATTGAAGTCCTGTTCCAGTACAGTGCAGGAGTCATGAGCAACTTTGATGTTCCCTTCCTCAAGTACATCTAGGAGGGTCCTGAAATATAATAACAAACACTACACAACTAAACAAAAGTACTTCGACCATTCTAATAACTCAGTGGAGTTTGGGCCATTACATTGGATTTGCTTCTGTTCAGATATTTTTCAATACAATGTAGTCAGGGTGTCACCAAAGTTGCAGAATTGTTAATTACATAAAATGACTGACTTGCATGATTTGAAACATATAGCAACAACTTGACTTGATTTTTAAATCATGGGGAGAAACTTAAGACACACTAAGAATTAATTTTTTTGATAACAAGAAAATGCAGCAAACTCCTCGAGTCGAGGTCTCCAAGTCAAAAAAATTCCTGACCCTATCATATATCTGTTGATTATCCTGTTTATAACTGATTCAAGAGTGTGGCAACGAACCTATATGCCTATTTGTTATTTGTTTAGTTGTTGGTTGGGTAACTTCTTTATGACGTCACAAATGATGCGAAGAATCTTTAAACCAATCAGTGAAGTCTATATTAATTGTTTGTTTAGTTGTTGATGTGGCAATACGTGTCTGACGTCACAGGCATCATATTCCAGTAACGCCATTTTGCGACATTGCATAATTTTAGCTGATTTTGGTTTCATTTCACTTTATTTGAAAGACTTTTAAAAATATAATAATGAGTCAGTATTTTTTCTTATGAATATCAATATTTGAATTTGAGGTCAAAGTCCGAAAATTTGACGAACTGATTGAAATCACATTTTAAAGAGGTGAAGAAGTAAATAATTACAGGAGCAAACGTGATCAATGGTTCGAGGTCTCCCACAAAGTAGTCGCTACGCTCATACTTTGCGCTGCCTTCGGCAGAGGAGACTTCGATAAAAATGTAAAGAATGAACACATTGAGATTCTGGCATATGTGACATTCTACTGTGAAAGATGGCTGTATCTGTACGGGTCAAACATGGCCGAATCTGAGTTAGTCATATTAGAATATTTTCTTCCCTATAAAGATTTATGATAAATATCATTACATCTCATAATCTCAAAACTAAAGTGGACATTTTCTGATAATAAGTGGCTAATCCAATTAATGGCCACACATACCCAGACACGAACCACCATGTCAGTGCTATTTTTCACTTATTCATTGTGTGTATTGATTTCAAGGGTTATTTTGAGTGGTCTGACAAACTATTTTAAAACCAAGTTATCAGTTAAACATTACAATCGATACAAACCCAAAATCTAAAACAGACTTCCATGTCTTTTAACTGTGCAGTAAAATGTAGGAAATTCAAACGAAAGTATCTACTGTGCAGTTTACAACCCCAAATAGAGAAAAATATATATCTAAGCTTTAATAAAACCAATGAAATCACAGATATATTTCCATTTTGCATGAAACCTTTATCTATTATTCAGTATTGGCAAAATACATGATATACTAGTATTTCTATCATTTGTAGGGGTTGTATGTGGTAGATCAGTTTTAAATTGATTTCCAGAGACGCATCCAAATGTTTAGTAATAGGCGTATCAGCTTTACATCCCACCTGACTGACAGCTGATTAGATACTACTACCTGAGCCAAATAATACCCTTGACCAGAGCTTGAACATGGTTTAACTCTTTAAATAAAAGGTAATCATTTGATTTTGTCTGAATCCAGAAAATGTACAGTAGTCAGGAAATAATGAAACGGCATAACAAAATGTTACCACCGCAACAATTTGTCCAGACACATGTCAGTCACAAAAATGGTTGTTTTTACAAGAGGTCAGTTAACTTCTTGATTGTAGCATAAAATATACACGGCATTAAGATGCAAAATCTAAGTGCCAAATACTAACTGCTGGGTGCCAAACACCAACCACAAAAAAGTTGGAGACTATAACAATATGTCACCACTTGTGGTGGTGACATAAAAACTACATACAATAGTCAGAGGAAAATGTGGCTAGCCAATTGGCCTCAAGGGTAATGAAATAGCTCTACCTGTCTGCATGTAATGCTATGCAACTCACCTGTGCTAATTAAAGCACAGCAGATTTCTCCCTGATGAAGTGAAGAACATTTCTAAACAATACACTCTTCAATTAACTAGAACCAAGTTGTTTTGCTTCAAGACAGCAAGCTTGAGTAAAACATGTAATGTGAGAGTTGTTGTCCATTAGACTTTTGTTCAGACATTTCAAGTGCCTGAATCTCAAAAAGATTATGGATTATAATTCCTTCATTTCGCATCTTTGCATGATGGAGATTGATAAATATGTAAAAAATCTAATTTAATTTTTTGTTCATATCTGTTTTATTTTCAGTTGATAGGTACATCATATGCTCATCAAATGTGCTCAAAGAATAAATATTTGTTGCCATGTGTTGCATATATAATTCATGTTTCATCTTTCTTATGTGGAATCTTTCTAAACATTTTGATTTTAAAATCTTAACTAAAAAACCCCTGTCAGAAAATACCTTTCTTGGATCATAGTTAAATTTTAATCACTTAAAAAGAAACTCCAAAACCTGCTTTGTCTGTCAATAAGTTGGCCGTCGACACGCGAGGAATACACATAAAAATACAGATTTTTCTATTCTCTGTCTTTCACAATATTTGGGAAATTGGGAGATCATCTATGTCCTGATATATTTTAATTACGGAGTTTGAAAAATTCATAATTTCACATCTTGCCTCCAGAGTAAGGGAAAGCAATGCAGATTTTTATGAATTATTATGAAGAGTTTATAGGTTATAAGATAATACAGTAAACTGGCCATCAATTTACAGTCAAATACACTCCATGTGTGTTTATGATATCACACATAACGCAGGGCTGCGGTTGTTAAACATGATGTAAACATACTTCATTCTCACTGTATTTTCACCAAGTATTTCTGAATTATCTAATTATTGAGAAATGAGAGCTTAAAAAATAATTAATATTATCATTGGGAATATTTTGAAATATATATTTGATATCTATTGTTTTTAATAATGTGCAATGATAGTGGTTGGTTCACTAGATAAAGTTTTTTAAATATCTATTTACTGTTTTTAATTTTTGCCTCTATTGAGGCAATCGGTATATAATATGTGACCAACTTACTTTGATATAAGGTGAGAAAATTTTTCTGATTTTGACGAATCTCGCTTTATCTTGGCCCAAGATTCTGCGATTTCATGTATCTGTCGACTGTCAGCTTCTACGCCTTCGAGAAATGTGGTGACAGCATCACCATAGCAACCACTTCTCCTGTAGGCGTCTACAACAGCTTCATACCTTCCCCATAACCCAACCTGGAATGGAACCACAGTTTGAGATTACCACAAACCATTGACTGATTTTGTTAAGTAGAGGTTATGTATTTTTTTGATAAAACACATTCTATGGTTAATAATTCTCATACGAAGTCCCTAAAACCAACAGGCAATTTTGTGAAAACAACCAGTGAAAATTGCCTGCTGCTAATGAAAGCCCTGTTTTCATGGTTTTTTTAATGACATTTTCATTTAATAGACCTCAAAACAGCTCTATAAGTCAAACAGCAACAGTTACCAATACCAAAACACGATTTGACATTATTCTACAGGTCAAAGAATGCATTCCTTCCCCCATCAACAAGTCTGGATTATAGTCTATAGCTCAAATTTTTCATATCATTATGAAAAATTGCAAGTGAAAACATTATTTTTGCAAATCAATTTTTGAAAAGCATCCTTTGATAATATTAATAATTTAATAATAATATAATAATAATAATATAATAATTTTTGATCAAACTTAGTATTGTTTTAAAAAAGCAGTTTTATACTCATAAACTATGCTCATCTTTCCCTACCTTACCTGATGTCCCAAGTGAGAAAATTTGAGGTGCAATAGATAACTTTACAGTACAACTCAACATTAACTAATTCTAAAATCAGCACCTTGTTAAGGCAACCACCTTATCAGAGTTTAGTAGAAATATTTTGTTACAGAACGATGAGGTATTATGAGAATTCTCCTTAATATTGTTAAAAAATTATGTAGTAAAATAAAACAGATATTTTTGTCATGATATGTGAAAGTCTTCTGTTGATATTCTACTGACTTTTATAATTTGTTTTTTTGGAGGGGGTTATATATGCTATCATTTCACCCTTCTAATATGTAGAAAGATGTGTTACAGAAAACCTTTGTCCTTTGTTTTTTAATTTCACTTTTTACATGAATAAAACCATTATGAATATGCAAGTTAACATTGATTTGTACTGAAGGTAACCCTAAAACACCTATTGGGAATCACTGAGCATTCCAATTAAAACAGAATGAGAGAGTACACACAGTATACTAATGGTGTTAAGAGGTTAACACCAGAAAGGTGCTACAATATGGGAATCAGACTGGAACAGGTAAACTCCCACAGAAATACTGATATCATCACAATGGAGTAGAATGTACTCATCACTCATATGGGGTTCATTGTTTTTACTGAGGTATTATTGCTCCTTTGAAAACAAGGCATTAACATGGAAAATGTCACTACCTGCCATTTGTTACAGATACTGATCACTGAACACTAACCATCAAACACCAACTGCTGTAAACCATCCACAAAAACCTCTGATGGTGAAATAATAATTCTGGGTACTGTTATATTTGAATTTATTTATCTAATCCATGGTCAATTAACATACTACTGTGGACTCCCATAGCGAGTTGTAACCATTATCTAGTCTTTTAAGAAACACTTTTAATACATGAAGAATGAACTGTCTCATACATTTGAAATGTCATCGTTCAACATTCGCTCCCAAAACAATAATGAATACTGAAAATCATCTGTAACTTTAACATGCAATATCCAAGGCTCTTTGGCTACCATTTTTGATTAATATTATTCATCAGAGCATTCCTCTATCGCAAATTGTAAGATTTAATCTCTAAATCAATCTCTGTTCGGGTTATACTGACACAAACATCTTGAAAACAACATATTATAATTGACTTTCAATGGCATCTCAGATAGATAGAAATCTCTAAAATATAAGGACAGAATTCTTTAAAGTAGGTCCAATAATGTCTCTAAAGCAAGTGGTTATTAATAACTTTCTTAAGGTATGTTCGTAATAATGTTAGAGATTTTCTATTGACCACTAAGTGCATTATTGGGCACTTCTGTTGAAACATTGCACCAATCCAATAGACACTGGATATCCTTATTAAGATTGGAATAACTATTACTATTCATTCAGAGTATGCTTCAAAGAATAATAAAAGGCAAAAACATTTTCTAAAAGGAAGAAAACAGTTTCTAAATATGTTAGCTAAGTTCTTTCTATTTCTTTCAATCTTCATAGTAAGTCGACTAAGGTCAAGCAAATTTATGACACATTTTGAGGGGAAGAGTGTTGGTGAAGGTCAATATCACCAAATAATATATTGGAAATTCTTCACAATTTAATACATTGAAATGTTTCTGAAAGTTGATGTTGTGAGGTCAAGGTCATCTGAAGGGTCATTACCAATTGGAAACTTTTATGGGAATATAATAATGGCAAAATATGGATATGGAAATAGGTCACCCTTTTTTGATTATATATCATTTATTTTTGCATGGGTATTCATTCTCAAAAGTTCTAAAAACATATTTAACTGATACACATAAAGAAACTCACCTTTGTTATTCTGGTTTGGACTTCATTTGGTTCAGCATAGACCCACTTCTTGTAATATTGCAGTGCCAACAGGCAGAACTTGATGTTTTCAGGGCATGGATCTTTACTATGCACCATTCTACCAAACTGATTGATGGCAGAGGCTGAAAGTACATAAGAATAACATACATAATGGGTTTCATATGTTTAACCATAATTGTCCCATGGAACATTTAATGGACACTACTTGTACACTTTGATAAATAAATCAAACTATGCATCTAAACTCGAAGTATAACCATTGATATTTTCGGACCTGTTAACTATCTCAACTCGGCGTATCTGGAAACTACAGGGGGGGGGGAAATTTTCAAGTCTGAAAAAATCTTTCTGCGCACTTGTAGAAAAAGATTTTGGGCCCCAAAACCAAAATATGAGCCCACATTTTGAGAACTTAAGGCCTGTTTTACTTTGTAAATTTGGCCTAAAATAAAAGATAAGGCCTATAAGGCACAGTAATGCCAAAAAGGCCCACTTATTGCAAACTTATAGCAAATGGCATGATGACCATGTTAAAAATACTAGATACATTAGCTATAGCAGTTGCATGACCAAATAAAGTAAGCAGGTAAAAAATTACCACAATAATTATATATAAATATCAATAACGAAGTGACATACAGAGTGGGATGTTTTATGATTTATTATGCAATTGAGAAGAGAATGCCACTTTCATTTAACAAATTAGCCCCCATAGGTTAATATGCATAATGTTTTGCTGCCAAATGGAGAAATAACTCAATCTGGTTCTGATGAAATGACTGATTAATGGCCAGGTACCATTAGGGAATATTGAGCATTAGAATATCAAGGTCTCTTATTGTTCAATCAAAATGTTTTCATAGCCTTAGAGTCTGGAGTTAAGCTTCTAATAATCTTGGGAGAAATGACTTTTTTAGTGTATACTAGACTTCAGCACGTTTTTTCTGAAACACTTTCAAATTTTCATTTACACCAAAAATCCATTTTTTGAAGCAATTTAGATAGGTTTCATCAATAGTCCAGCATCTAGTCTCGGTAACTCAACCAATCTTTATTTTCTTTATTGTGTCAGTGAGTGAGGTGTTTAAGGGGTCACCATGGCTTAATGTAAGACTACATGTACAGTAAAACCTGTCTGAGTGAAACACCTTTGGTACCTCTAAAAAGTGTTCCACTTGAAAGATGTTCCACTTATAGAGGTTCATTTAACATTAAGTTACTTGATCTTGCAACTCTGAAAAGTGTTCCCACTAACACAGGTGTTCCACTTCTAGATACGTTTCATTTTACAGGTTTCACTGTTTTACAATTCATGAAACAATTATTTCACAAAGACTACCAATATACTTAATTCCAACATTAGCTAAATATCCGATTGAAATCTTCATGCAGAATTTCAAAATTCGTAAAACCACATGTTGCAAATATTCATCTACTGTATTGATAAATGAGGCTATTAAACATATATTTATGCATAATGTTAACTCAAATTAGTCAACAAATGAAAATGATAAATCCCTTTAATCAAAATTAAGACCATTAAACCGATGTAATATGATGACTAATCATAACATGACAAAATAGCACCACCTTCAGATGATTACAAAAGTGTAACGATTGTTACAGATGCCACCTGCCTTCTATACTTCTTGTCATGACATAAAAAATATTCTGATTTATCAGAAACTGTAGAAACCACAATTCTTAACAACCAACTTTAGACAGAATGCATGAAGCCCCTATACTGACAGATATTCTAATACAACACTATAAAACAATAGTTCAGATTGATAATTGAGAAATGACAATATAAAATAATTCTTTACAATCAATCTTTCAACTTACCAGTAGCATGTATCTCTCTCAACCTAATCAACAGTTGCTAAATCGTAGAAGCACAGCAGTTCCACTATATCCCATTAGATATTAATGATATTCAAGAGATAGTAAAAGCATGTCAATAAAAGTCAATTGTAACAAGTTCCATGCTTCATGTAAGCATATATTCCTGTTCTGCTTTGTACAAAAGCTAATTGAAAAGCTCTTAGCTGAGGATTTGGGATTTACAAGATGCCAATAATTGCGGGAATGTGGTATATTATATAAAGAATTCATAGCATTTTTGTGAGATTTGCCAATTAATAAGGGCAATTATACCACCCTAGTTCCTGTTATGAAAAGTAGTATATTACCATCTGCTCCTGAGCCAAGGGTAATCAGGTTTTTCATAAGATTATTCAAAGGCATTAGAGTGATCCTTTATTCATATTTCCACTATGCTGCTGCATGTATCCTAATATTTACTTCTATAATGCATGGGCCATCATACACTTCCCCAATGCATGATCCATCATTCAAAAATTCACTTCCAACAATGGCTATGCATGACCCACTCTTCACTTCCACAATGGATGACCCACCCTTCACCTTAACAATGCATGACTGGCCCCTCATTTCGACCATGCATGACCCACCCTTCACTTCCACAATGCATGACCTACCCTTCACTTCCACAATGCATGACCTACCCTTCACTTCCACAATGCATGACCCACCCTTCACCTTGACAATGCATGACTGACCCTTCATTTCCACAATGCATGACCTACCCTTCACTTCAACAATGCATGACCTACCCTTCACTTCAACAATGTATGACCTACCCTTCACCTTAATAATACATAACTGACCCTTCATTTCAACCATGCATGACCCACCCTTCACTTCCACAATGCATGACTGACCCTTCATTTCAACCATGCATGACCCACGCTTCACTTCCACAATGCATGACTGACCATTCATTTCAACCATGCATGACCCACCCTTCACCTCAAAAATTTATACCCCACACAGGCACCCTTATAACTTCAACACTGCATGACTATACATAACTTACTACACGATCCACCATTCAATAAACAATGCATGGCATAACTTTCACCTTAACAAAACATGGCCTCTGTTTAACTTTTAAATTAATGACCTTTTCTTTATATTCCAATATGCATGACCTTCATTTTCCAAAATGCATGACCCTTTTTTAACTACTTCAATGTATGGCCAATAATTCACTTCCACATTTGCACAATGCACATAGAGAAAAAACAGCAACAAAAATAGCATTGTAGCGCAGTCAGATGTCCAGAAATAAGCCCTTTATAGTTCGACTTTTTCAGGAAAGCAACAAACTTGGCACAGTTGTAGAAACACTTGATCTGAGTGGAAAATGATTTCGGGGCAAGTGATCCGGAGTGGTCTTCATGGATTTTTTAGTCTCTGACCCCAACCCCTATCAGGCGGGGAGGGGGTACATTATAAAAAATAAATAAAAATGGTTGTGAAGAAATTTTTTTTAAATGACTTCATTTGGTGATTGCTCTGAGCCTTGAAATTGAGACAAACTGATTGTAGATGTGGTGTTTAGTGTGGAAAATGCATTTTGACCCAATTATCTAGCGTGAATTCATCTTTTAAAGGGTCAAATATGGGACATCAAGTACTGTATTTCAAGAATGTGACGTCTGATCACCTTGGAAAAATTCATACTAATAGGGGTATAAGTGTTCATCACTAATATAGAATATGGCTTGGGTAGCTCATGTATTTTTTGAGATAAAAATTATCGAAATTTGAATTTTTAAGCCCTTCCGGCCTAGGGGTAACCTTATTCTACCTTGATAATTTTTAAGATATGCAATGTATGGGTCTCATATGAGCTCAGAATGGTGCATTGAGTCTTGTTTTGTCATATTATTCCTAATTGGATTGAAAAATGATTGGAACTTTTCAAAAAAAAATAAAATTTCATTATCGCTTCTGAAGGGCCAGGGGTAACCATATTTTACCTTAATAACTTTCAAGGTTTGTAATATATGTATCCCAAATTAGCTCAAGATGATGCATATAGTTATGTTTAATCATAATACCTCCAATAAGATGTAGAAAATGATTGGACATTTCTTAAAATTTGAAATTTTCATTTTAGCTTATGATGGCCTGGGGGGGGGGCTTATTTAACCTTGAACTTTTCTTAATTATGGGACATATGCATCTCAAATGAGCTTAGAATTGTGTCATATACTCTTGTTTTGTCATATTATTCCTTAGGAGATGTAAAAAATAATGGAAATTTGAAAAATGACATTTTTAGCTTTTGACAGGTCAGGGGTGATTTTATCATATATTACCATAATATAGAAGCAAAGGATGGAGTGAGTTTAGCAGCCCCGTCCCCATGACCGATGCCATTGGCAGCTTGGGTCTTAAAGCATTTATGACCCAAGCTGCAATAACCCATGCTGACCTATTCTCAACCAATCAGCAAGCTTGAAGGAACAAGTGGTAAATGCATGCACATTAATGATGCGATTTCGTCAGAGAAAATGACCATATAGAAAGCTGTCCTTATTTCGACAACAAAGTCTGATTAGCGCAGTGAGTTCAGAGATTCATTGAAAACTGATAGAGTGAAGACAAAGCTCTCTTTTGAGAAGGAAAGTCGAATGAATGCAAAGGGTAGTAAGTCCAGTCACCTTAGCCTGATGGGGGGGGGGGGGTTAAGGTGAACTGCTTCTGTCAAGGATTCTGTCAGTGAATAATGACAGTCAATGATTGGGCACAAGAATGCCAAATGTTATCACAATAATTTTCAAGATAAAATGATCTCAAAATGGGGAAAATAGTCTGTTTTTCACTTTATTCCTACTGAGATAATGATTAACAACAATTAGAAAATTCAGTGACACATTTAAATCTCAATCCATTTATTCCATTTTTCCATAGCAGTAGAATACAGATGTAACATCACATCCAATGATTGTTTGAGAAATGGGGAGGATTAAACTTTGGTCATGGGCAGGTAGATATTGATATGTTTTCTCCCTTACCATATGCTATCCAAATTGACTTTTTCAGTTTTTAACATCACATATATGCCAGGATAACCACATCAGAATTAAATGTAAGGAGTATTATTCTTTCTCTTGAAGGCCATGATTGAAGCAGTCTAACTGAAAATATTGAGAAATATCCTTGAATCTGCTTCTTCTTATAAGAGCAAGGGTGATGGCAGAACCTCAACATTGCATTGCCTCCTTAATTTATGTGGTCACTATCTTCTTTCCATCTATTTCAAGGGTTTCAGTTTCCTCCTTAGACTATCCTTGTTCCAGTTCCACAAGTCTCTCTAGTGCTGTTTTAAAGGTGCAACAATTAGTGCAAAGGGGCCATTCAACGATCATGGACCAGTGTCAAAATATATTCAAGTTTTGATATTTCATCAAGACTAACATATATGTTCATTTTTTTCCAAAGAAACCCCCTGGATGAACATTATTTCAGCTGATTCCTCTTGAAATGAACTATTTGCAGACTTTTACGTGAGTAATATCATATTTGCATAATCACCAAATTTTCTTTATATTTCACTGTTAGCATGTTTAACTATACATGCCCTGTCTATTATTTTGGCATCTACTATGTAGCTTAGTCATTCAACTTTGATGTTAATGAGCCTAGATACAAACAGCACAAAACTGGAACAGTGAGGAAAGTATATATCCTACTAATTTTCTTCTGTGGAATTGGCAAGATTTCCTAAGATAGTTGGAACAAGAGGGAGCTGTTTTCCTTCCAGGCATCAAAACTGAAACCCTGGAGGAAGATGGCAAGAAGATAGTGACCTCACAATGAGGTAATGCAATATCTTAGCCCGATAGTGAAGTATCTGCCATCACCATTCGCTCATATGAAGAAGCATGCCAAAGACTGCTTCTGTCATGACCTAATAAGGTAATGCAATATCTTAGCCCGATAGTGAAGTATCTGCCATCACCATTCGCTCATATGAAGAAGCATGCCAAAGACTGCTTCTGTCATGACCTAATAAGAATCATAGTCAGTACAGTTGATTTTGATGTGGTTTAAACTGCAAGTAACTTGTGCTGAAAATGTCAATTTGGATTGCATATGGCCTATGGTGAGGGGAAATTCCTCCAGTATGTACGACCTGCCTTAGATATTTCAAGGCCACTTGGCCATGAACGAAGTTTAGCCCTTACCATTTTTCATACAATCGCTAGATGCATTCTGCTACTACTCTTAGTCAACTGATTTGCAGGAATAGAAGGTGTACCCAGAGGTTACGCAAGTGTTCTTAAGCTTTAAATCTTTTTTGATACCCTAAAATTAGAAGACTAGAGTCCTTATTCATTCTGATGCATTCTTACCCACAGTTTCTATCACCACATGAATGTGGCTGGACTACTCCCACTGCTGATACTGAGGCCACAACATAAAATGTAGGTCATGGGGTAGATACCTGTGTCAAGAAAACAGATACAAATGTTTGAAAGCAGATCTGATTTGCTCTGAGCTATGTAGCTGTAGGAGAGACTGTCAGAATCCATAAATTGTGACTCCTTTGATTAGGTTTTATAGATTTGGATTATATACTTTTAAAATGATAATATACAGAATCTTAACAATGCTACTACTCATGCGAGTATGAACTGGACTTATCAAACATTTACATATCTTAGAAAATGTTCTATAAAACTAGATAGTATTGCCATTGGTACTAAAAAGGAATAAATGGCTGTTGAGGTTCATTATTTATAATTGTTAATCATTATTGTATATCTCAGTAGCAATAATATGACAAAACTAGACTTATTATTCACTATTTTGAGCTCATTTGAGTAGACAATATGATATATCTTTGTTTGAATTTTTAAGGTAAAATTAGGTCATTCCTGGCCTATCATAAACTACACTACCAATCTCAAACTGCATCAAACAGCATGGTTTCATAAACAGTGCTGTAAAAACAGTACTGAACACAGCTGTTTTCTAAAACAGTACTGAGCTGTAAAAACAGTACTGTACTACGCTGTCCAAAACAGATGGTGTTAGAATAGCATTGTACATTGCTATATAGTGCAGTACTCTGACTGCACTGTTCAGTACTGTTTACAGCGCTGCAAGAAGATGTTGTGGATTGGGGGTGTAATATGAAAATGTCATTTTCTTATAATTTCCAATCATTTTTTCACTCCTTGGGAATGATATGATAAAACAGGACTAAATATACCATCTTAAGCTCATTTGAGGTGACTATGTCTCATATTTAGAAAATTATTAAGGTAAAATAAGGTTACCCCAGGGCCATCAAGAGCTTAAGTGAAAATTTTGAGTTTTTAGATATATCCGATCATTTTCTACATCTTATTGGAAGAAGTATGATAAAACAGAACTATATGCAACATCTTGACTTAATTTGAGATGCAAATATTACATATCTGGGAAATTATTAGGGTAAAATATGGTTACCCTTGACCCTTTAGAAGCGAAAATGAAAATTTGATTTTTTTTTAATTTCCAATAATTTTTTACATTTAATTAGGAATAATATGACAAAACAATACTTAATGCAACATTTAGAATTTATATGAGGCCCAAACATTGCGTATCTTAAAAATTATTAAGGTAAAATAAGGTCACCCCTAGGCCGCAAGGGCTTAAAAATCCATATTTCGATAATTTATTTCTCAAAAATTACATGAGCTACACAACCCATATATCATATGAGTGATTAACACCTATATCTCTATTAGTATGAATTTTTTCAGGATGATCAGACATCACATTCTTGAAATACAGTACTTGATGTCCAATATTTGACCCTTTGAAAGATGAATTCGCGCTAGATAATTGGGTTAAAATGTATTTTCCTTCCTAAACACCACTTCTAAAATAAGTTTTTCTCAATTTCAAGGCTCAAAGCAATCACCGAATGAAGTCATTTAAAGAAATATACTTTACAACTATTTTTGTTTATTTTATTATAATGTACCCCCTCCCCGCCTGATAGGGGTGGGGGTCAGAGGCTTACAATCCATGAAGACCACCCCGAATCACTTGCCCCGAAATCATTTTTCATTCAGATCATATGTTTCTACAACTGTGCCAAGTTTGTTGCTTTCCTGAAAAAGTCGAACTACCAAAGGGACATCTGACTGCGCTATTGTGTAAATTCAACCAAGTTCATCAATAATTCAATTAGCCTCTTCGTGGTCTCTGATTGTAGCTTTCCCTTGAATCATTTCCTCATTTAGCATGATGTACAGAACAACCAAGACTCTCCTGGGACAAATTAATACAAATCAGTGACTATAATGAAGTCATTTTTAAAAGTTTGTAGCCACTCTGCTTTATTAGAAAACCTAGTCAATAATGCTGTATTTCCATCACTTTAGTCTGAGATCTCACAAAAATAATTAGATATTGGCTATATTAGTAGCAGGAAAGAATAGAGAGTATAAAATGTTGGAATCTAGTTAATAAATAAAAATTCAATATTTAAGAAACCTATGGTGTTTTAGGTTTTTTATGTAAATCTACTTGAAAACAATGCACGGTACTCCTCTTTCCAAAGAGTTTATAAACACAGATATACTTTTAAGTTTTCAGGGGACATTATGTCCATTATTGCATTTTGTGTTTTATTGCAATCGGGTGTCAATGCCATTAAAATATCGGGAAGTGTCATTTAGCTGTATAAATATAAATACGTCGTAGAAATCAGGACTTATGATGTTTAAAATGTTGATGTTGTATTCTAACATTTTCAATTTTTTTAGCCTTGAACAGCATAATGGGACTTTGGGATCAAATAGATTTTCAAATGGATACAAGGTATCCTTTACAGGCCCATGGAAACTTTGGGTTTATACTATTGTTTACACCATATCAGTGACATGTTACAGCTTTAGCAAATGACCATTTCTAGAATCACCCTCGTCTTGAACTTAGATGTCTTTTTATGAATGAATATCACGGTGCTGTTGAATCAGCAAATTGATTTTATGTTGGATGCTTGACTTGATGTATCATTTAATTTCATGCTTGCATCATTTCAACTAATTCAAAATCACTGCTTTACTAGACAGTCAATCTGAAAGTTTTACTTATTTTTTTGTTAAAATGGCATAAAATTGAAATATTTGATTTCATCAAACTGTTTTGATTAAATCATCAGAATCAAACTCAAATTTACTGAACTTAACTTACCTAAATTGCAGTATTCCTTGGCCAATGTGGGATGCCTCTGTTTGTTGTTGTCTATAAGGAGACAGTGTGCCTCTAATAAGGTAGAGCATAGGTTGTATAAAGTTGACGCATCTGAAAAAGAATAGTGAACGTGACATCATTTGATTATTAAACATGTAACCATCATTCACTGTTAAAAAAGATAATGAAAATCAAGAATCCTAGCGTGTAGTTACCAGGAAAATCCACAAAGTCTGATGAAGAAACGTGTATGAAGTATGCATGGGAACAAGCTTAAAAACACTTTTTGACTGAACATTTTTTTTTGGGGGGGGGGTGTTTATTTGGACATGTGTTTTTGTATGATAAATAAGTGAGCCAAAGTCAAAATAATATCATCATAATATCATAACTGTACATGTTTACCTTTTGTGGTGTACTGCAATGATGCAAGTTGGAATCTCAACTCAAGCGCATCTATCTGTCTCACGACATGGCTATAGATTTGCTGGGTCCTTCTCTCATCCACTTGGGCATTACAATCATCACTAGAGAGTTTCTGATTTTGTAGTTTTTCATATAGCATTCCGAATGTGACTAGCATTGAATCTAGAAGGTCGGTCATACCTGGGGACACTGTTTGTTTTTTGTTTATGTGTGTTTCTAGATGGTTGTAAAAAATCTTGTAGCTGTCAACTATCATGTTGAGTTGATGTGGAATCGTTTGGGCTCCTGAGATCAGTGTTTTAAAGTAAGCATTATAATCATTTATATCATTCACAATATCTGGATGTGCTATATCTCCGGTAGATAACAATGTTGGAAATTTTGAGGAGAAATCTATCAACTTCACACACCCTTCATTCAATTTTACATCACAATCAACTTTTGATGAAACACCATTCAATTTGTCTTGTATGTTTTTCTTAAATGGTGGCTGCCTAGCAACAAATCTGAGTGTCAAGTTAAATATGAAAAATTCACCAAGTATCCCGGAGACTTTATCTGTTTCACCATAGTTCTCCGACAGAGAAGTTGTAAGTTGGCAAACGCCATCTATAAATTCTTTGTGAGCAGTTAAAACTTCAGGTGGGAGATTTTGATTATTGGGGTATTTTTCCTGCAATGTCTTATCAAATCGTTGTACAGCAACCTTTGCCTTCTCTATAAGAGTGTCATCATTTGAATTATGAGAGAGCATCCAGAATTTGAGCGCTTTTGTTCTCAATTGTAGCATTAGAACAGGATCTCTATTGTCTTTATCTGTATCAGTTTTCTGTATCTCCTCTTGTTGTATGGCACTGTTCCACAATATGATGTAGCTATTATTACAGATGACGTCAACTTGTTTTTTAGTTTCGCCATCTAGGCAATCGACTTCATGCAACAAGTAGTCAGCCACTCTCTTAACTTCTTCTATAAGATTCTAGAAGTAGAACAAATTTCAAATTTTAAAACCAAACTAAATGAAGATTCCAAATATGCAATAGTTCCATCTGATTATAAATTAAATCCAGATGCATAACATTAACCATTAAATGTACTGAAACTTTATATCAGACCAATCAAATAACGCAGATGCGAGTAGGTAGTTACTAGATTCACCACCAGGTGGCTCGTTCGGGTCAGATAGCATGACGGGTATAGTAGAAAGTTCCCTTTAACTTAAATTACATCTATTTGCGTGGTTCAATTTTCATATAAACCTCATGTATCTAATAGTTATGCAAATTAAAATATGTCCAGTAAATGAAAATATTATCTGTCCAATACAAGAAAAGATAATTCACTTTTTATGATTTTGTAACATGGGGTCTATGAGGATTCAACCCGAACAAGGAGTCACATTTTCAAAAAAATTAAATTTTCAAAGTTGATAGACAATTTTCGAAACCATATTTCTAAATGTACTTAAACATGTAGATTTCAAATATGACATCACTTTGACTGAATTTTGAATATTTAATGATGTAAATCATTAAATATTCTACTCGCATCAAGTCTATTGCATTTTCCTCTGACAGTATTAGGTACATTTATGGACAATAAATACAAATTTTCAAAATCAATACTCAACTTTGATAAATGAAAATGTAAGTGAAGGAAATCATTTAGAATATACAATGTAAAAGAATGTCATAACTTTATGTAAAGGTTACACTCAGAGTAAACATTTTGCAATCTTTGTGACAATCTTTTATTAAACAGTCCTTGCTATTTTAATTCCAAGTGTATGAGGTCACAAAATACAGACTAAAACTAGGAAAAGGTGTTATTTAAAAGTACTTGTCTGTAACCTTCTACTCTTTTCTCTCCATGTCCAAATGACAAGAAACTCATACTTTTACTTGTGCTAAAAACAGAAACCTTAAATTTCTTACCTGTTCCTTCAAATTTTTGATAATGTGGAAAAGAACTTTGTGCAACATAACAGGATCTTTAACTGGAATGTGTTCATTGTTGTTCTTGATGCAACTGTATGCAATATGTATTGCTACAAGAAGACTGCTAAAGCCATCCTTCGCAGTGTTAAGATGGCCTACACTACTGTGTAGGAATTGTATGCAGAAGAACCCAATAGTTTTTTGTATTTTTTGTGATGCATGTTCATTCATAGTGGGTTCAATGTAGGCCTGAAAAACATATTTATAAAATAGGCTCAACATTTTTCAATTTCTCAACATTTCTATCATGGTCAAAAGTGAGCAATATGTTTTAAAATGGAGTAATAACGCAGATGCGAGTAGGTAGTTACCAGTTTCACCACCAGGTGGCTCGTTCGGGTCAGATAGCATGGCGGGCATAGTAGAAAGTTCCCTTTAACTTCAATTTCATCTGTTTTAGTGGTTCAATTTTTATATAACCCTTATGTATCTAATAGTTATGCAAGTCAAAAATATGTCCAGTAAATGAAAATGTTATCTGACCAATACAAGAAAAGATATTTCATTTTTGTGATTTTGTAACATGGGCTCTATGGAGAATCAACCCGAACTAGAAGTCACACTTTCAAAAATAATTAAATATTCAAACTTGATAAACAATTTTCGAAACCATATTTCTAGATGTACTTTTATATGTATATTTCAAATATAACATCGCTTTGACTGAATTTTGAATATTTAATGGCGTAAATCAAGATTTTTTTCTACTCGCATGTAGTCTATTTGATGAGACTTCGTAAGGCAGACTAATTTTGGCTTATTTTCTAAATCAGGTAGATTGAAGGGGGTCATAGTGTCTACTTTTTTCATGCCCTGATTGTGTAGGTAGAATTTGAAATATAAGAGTAACCTAAAGATTGAGAGTCTTACTTACCTTCTAGAGGTTAGAACACACATTTCAATGAAACCATATCAGCTCTGTTTTGTTCATGATGAAGCATAAACACAGTACTTGATTGAAATTTGTGTAAATACTTTTTGGACTTTTCCATTTTTCCTCTTGTTGACAGATATTCTGTAATTTTTTCATATTGAAACTTCCGGAACTTACAAGGAAATCATTCATTTTCACGGTCCATAAAATTATAATAAAATTTCTCTGATTTCCACCATTTTCCTGTCGGCTAGTAAGCTTATTGAGAACAGACAAAAATGGGACGACTTCTATTTTAAATGAAAATGTTCAATATCTCATCAACAAGACAATCTGTTACCATTATAATTCATGAAATATTAACATGATGGTTTTTAGAATATTACTTAAATTTATTGAACCCCGGCTAGAAATTTTACAATAGGTCTAGTTCATGGTGTTCCAGATGGAGTTACTTCTAGCCAAGAATTGGCTAGAGACTCGAGTAAAGTAAGACTACCAATCTTTAGGCAGAGACATATGATTTTGATAGTGGTTAAGCGCCCCCCGATTTTGAAAAAAAATGGGGGGCGCTTATAGGCATCGATGTTTAGTATGAATTTCACCAAAACTTCACACATATAAAGATATACTCATAATCTAGTCGAATCGGCATACCTCGTAAATATCTGACCCATAGTTTTCATAAAAGAAGTAATAACATATTTAGCTCAAAATTGCCACGTGTCCAACATTTCGTCTCTCAAATAAGACGAAATACATGACAACAGTATCCATAAACAAAATACCTGAATTCTGATCGCAAAAGGTCAATTAAAAGCCCATGGTAACTCTTATACTTCAAGTTCTACCGATGCAGTCAGACCATAATTTGTTTCTACTCAGATATTCAACTGAGAAATATAGTGAAACATGTCCTTTATGAGATATGACTTGGTAAACTTACCTGAACTTCTTTATCGATGTTTTGGAATTTTCCATTCCGAACATTTTCCAAGATAACTGCACTGCTTGAAGAAGTCATGGTTGTTGGTCTTCTGATGGCACCACGGAACAATTTAAAATGTTCACAGTTTTCTAATACACATGACACAAGACTAGCATATGTCGAGTTGCGGAATTATAACTAGCAGTACAGTAGTACCTACTTCGATCGATGATTTCAGATTTTTAAATTTTTTTCAAAACTTTTTGAAAAGATTTGAGAATGAAAATCGCAAATTTGTATCGATTTGTTGCTTTTTACGACAAAAGTTGTACCTAAGATTACTTCGCTAGTCCATCTATTAAATAATATAGCATCTTTACTGTATTAACAGCTTCTAGTATCTATAAATCGACATATTTAATCGCAATATTTACATGTTTGACTTTTCGAAATGGCCTCCAACGGCTGTGACGTCATCAAGAACATCTCATAGTTTCGCTAAAGCGAAATATTTTGGGTACCAAAAACACTGCACGAAATGTTTTTGGCGTATAATTTTTTTGACTAACACACAAAATCCCGGGATGTAGTATAAGTGGAAGATAATTGAGGTTTACATACAGATCTAAATCCAATTGTTTAACATAACAAGATACTCAAGTGAAAAACTCACTGAAACAAAACAAAGGCAATATGTGGAGCTACATCTTAATTGGAAACAATTGGAAACTGATTTTAAAAAATGTGTTGCGAAAGGTCAAGAGATGAGTTTTGAGGGACACAATAATTTTGCAACAAAAATTCATTTTGATAAATATTAAATTTGAATACAAGGCTATCATGAAATTATTTTTTAAATCTAAATTTCTTGTTATGTTGTCTTTAAGGTAATGTGTTAATGAAGACGCCATAAATCATAAAATCTAGGTCTTTATTCCTTAAAGAGAGATGTTCTTGTTACTATGTAAGGAACTAAGAAAGAGCTCCACCCACTTCTACGGTGTGGAGAGTCTGGAGACCTTTGAAAAAACAGTAAAATATCATTTTTATCATCAAAAATCATTTTCTTTAGATCTTTTACCTAAAACAATAGGTGGAAAATAGTAAGCCAAATCTCCCTAACTTTTAATTGTCAATATTGCATTTATATTTAAATCTTCTAAAAACAAACTAGGCAAGCTGCAATTTCAGTCAAATGATATTTCACCTGTGCTTGGAAATGATATCATCATGAACAGAATTATTTCGTTTCAATATCATCATTGACTCATCAAACCACTGATCTTAAATAATAAATATATACATAAAATTCATTTTCTAATCTATTCAGTTTTGTTTATTTACTTATGCATGTGTACAATTAACAAAGCAATGGCTAAAGTAAACATTTTGCACAAGTCATAAACACATGAATTGCACATTGTACTGTTATGGAAAATATCAACTTTCTCCTGAGCTCACTGAACAGTAACTTTCTGGTTCATTACTTAATAGTCACCCTAGATAGCTCTTTGATCTTGAATTCCATTTCAGGGGCCATGAATTTAAGAAAATACTATTCACCAGGATTATCTTTGGATTTTTAAAATTATTTATGAAGGTTTTTGGTACAATCATATGTCATACAATTCTAGTATTTTGAAGGAATTCAAAGATTTATAAGAATAAGATTGAAACTCAGATTATCTCAATTTATCTCTGTAGCTATAAGGAGGATTAGAATATTACAATTAAATCTATTCGAAAGACTATCTGAATTCACCATTCGCAGGGCAAACTACTGGATTAATCCCAATGTGCAACATTAAGATCTATGCAGTTATGTTTTGTACTGTACAAAACATCACCTGATATTCTTCAAATATTTATACAAATGTACAATTGTAACTGCCCAATACATTATATTCCATGTTATTTTTCCCTCACCATTTATTTACAGAAAATACTGTATGTTTTATACACTATAAGACTCAGTGGCATTCCCTTACAAAATGCCATATAAATGAGGCATATGATATCAATATTTAAGGAATAATCGTTAATGATTAAGAGTCTAACAAGGCATTTAACACATTAAAACTATTGTCCACCTAATCGTACACAGCATTGCCATTTTGAAACTACAAATATTTCTCAAAATATGTTAACATCTATAACAGGTATAACATGACTCTAGGTGAAATACAAGTCAATATGACCATGACATCTCTAAATACCAAGTAAAAAGTTATCACTATGTAACAAAGTTCCATTATTCGTTGTCATGATTACATATAATTCACAAAATCTTAAAATGTTGGCATTTGTAACATCTCATTAGGCATTCATAGCCATAGTGATGTACATTGCTCAAAATCTGTTGAAAGTTTGTTAGTTGTAAACACGTTTGTATGTGCTGACACTAAAATATTCAAGTCAACCTGAAGTTGACTCAATATCACAATGTGTTAGCTTTTCGGCTAATCCGCATTGTACATGTGATTACCTTTTAATTCAATACCCCAATGATACATATACCATGGCAAGAATATTGTCTATGTTAACTTTTCAACAAGAAAGACTTTTGAAGTTGTCCAATAACTTACAGTACAGTAACTGACTAGAATATACAATATTTACATCATATTGCTGTATCTATCTTGGGGCCAAATAGACTGGTGGATGGAGGGGGTCCATATCTTAAACTGGATTTCCCTTCCTCACTAGAGAACAATTTTTCTCCTATCAAACTCTATTTTGTTCCTAACTAGCTAGGCCTTTAGTAATTATCTTTGTTTCAGAATGCAAAAACTTCCAGAAACAGGTATTTTGTCTGACTAAATCTTATTTTTTCTTCATTATTCAGTTTATTTATGAAAAGGTTATGGCATTAAAACTATTGGATGATAACTTGTCAAAGTAACTATGTATGTAGCGAATGGTCTTCATAATTATTTGAAGGTACCAATCAAAGTTCTTTTATTTCTATTTTCAACTTAATCATAATGCCATAGTTTATAATATATACCTGAAACCCATCTTTTAATACTAACACCTTCAAAGAATCCTCTGGAAATAGATTCCATTCTTCTGAGATGCTGCCATTCCCGTGTCATCTTTTACCATTTATATTTCCAGTTCCAGTTCTTATTATATGTATCATTCTTTTATATCTGCTGTTAAACTGCCTGCAAAATGCTGCGAGGCCATATTCAAGCAAACTACAGTGTCTTTTGAAATCTCCTATATTCTATTGTCATCCATAATACACTGTCTTTTAAAATCTTCATACTATAAGCAGTATGTCATTTGCATCAAATATTGTCTTTGACAATGCACTGTCTATGAGTTATACCTGGTCCAGTGTTCTCCTTGAGACAAAAATAAATGGTGATGTCACCACTCTGATAGAACTTGCAGCACTCATCGTACCTGTAGATAAGCTCCATTAGTGATTGCCCCATCATTATACCAATCACAAATCTCCATCAATGTTTTCCGCCACTCATTTTATTTTGATTTGTAGATAAGCTCCATTATAGATTGCCCCATCATTACACCACTCACAAATCTCCATCAATGTTTTCCGCCACTCATTTTATTTTGAAAAATTGAGAACACTCACTTCATGTCAATTTTTTCTGATGTCATTGCCCAAGTGTTATCGTTCTATTTATTCCCATTATTCCTTAGGATTCAAATGAATCATCCAACCGAGTACTTTTCTGTCAAAGCCACATGAAAACATGTTACATGTTGTGTGATCCTCAGCCCAAGTTGTAGCACACACCATTCTTGTGTGACCCTGAAAAGAAATAAATAGAGTTTGAAAGCTTAGTTTGAAAAGGGATTGTGTTCAAAAAGTTGTGAAAAAAACAAAGTTACTTTTATCATGGTTTTAAGTTTTAACATACTAAATACAGTGAAAACTGTATGTCTGAACGCTTCTCTAATCCAAACATCTCTCAATCTGAACACTTTTTCTCGGTCCCAAATATGTTTACTCAAATTGACTCACACATTTAAAAAACCTTTAAATGTGAACCCTGCTAACTCAAACACTTTTACCAGTCGCAGAGGCATTTGATAGGACAGGTTTAACTGTATGTATGTTTGGCAGAGTACCTCTATGTCATTTAGTGATAAATACAACTGGATTATTTTATAAAAAACATATGGGTTAAAAGATGGTCTTGCTTCAAGGCCTGTAACCAGGGGCGGGGTCGCAGGGTTCGGGCGAACCTCCCCCCTGGCCAAAAATTCTTTCAAAATCATGCAGTTTTTCACCATTTTGAGCACTTCTCAAGTGATTTTAACCATATTTGGACCAAAATTGTCAAATGAGAACCCTCCATGGAAATTTTTGAAAACCGAACCCCCCTTTGCAAATCCTAGCTACGGGCCTGACCCCCCCCCCCTTTATCTACTTCAGTACCAGATGTAGTTTGTGTAATGGAAGGAATTCACAAGGGCTTGTAGCTAGACTAGTTAAAAGACTACCTGTCTTCCTCCTTTGGGCATTCTCCCAACTCTAACTCCATGAATGTCAAATATCCTTATATGGCGGTTGTCATGTGGAATAGCTATGACGTGCTGGTTAGGGGACACAGATAGCCTGCAAAATACAATTATATCAAATATATATTACTAAACATTGTATAGAGGCCTGACTAGACTTGACTGAAGGAAACTAAAATCTATTACATTAAGTGTATATGAGTTAAGAGGGCACACTATTATCAATTGATGTGTATATGACTAGAGATGGCAAACTACTTGTATTATTAGATCTTGGAAAGAACAGTGCCAATAAATATTTTGGTTGAGATAATAAAAAAGCATTCATAATTAGCTTTACCCATTGTGAATTAAAAAGCACCAGCAAAATTGGCAGAATTCTGCACCCAGATACAGGCCCAACATACACCAATGGGGTATGGTGAGACCTCCATAGACTTAACATTGCGTGGGACCTCATGGGGCTCCATGGGGCAAGTGGAATTTTGCCCCATTGGTGTATGTTGGTCAATATTATGATGTAGTCTTAAATCACATTCAATTATTATTTCACTCGCCACTGGTAATTGGATCCCTCATGTATGACATATATTACATGTATGATAAAATCTACATGGAATGATAAAAAAGAAATATTTCAGAAAATCGCATCATTACCTATTTATGGCTGAATCTGTCCTTATGGTGGCTATAGGAGAACGCATATTTTTCAGATCCCAAACTTTCACTGTCCTATCATCACTACCTGAAACCACTTTGTCTGGCCCGGCAAAAACAGCTGATGTTACCTGTCTGGAAAATTTTATTTTAATATCATATTAATATCAAAGAAAGAATTTAATGTGCTTCTTTTTCAGTAGAAAAATGCAATATACATAGTCCAGGTGCAAGGTACAGTATGTAAAGCATTTAACAAACAAGGCATCTAAACAATACAAAATGCTGTAATGTCTGAATGCTGATTCCTGGTGGGGACATTAAATATGAATTACTGTATCTGGAAGAGATGTATTTATGTATAATGACTTGTGGAGTCCTACAACCATTGGTGGTATTGCTATGTTTAAATCATAAAATGTAAAAACAATTGCATTTCAGTTATCAAAATTTCATCTTTTAACATCTGACAAGAATTTCTGGCAGTTTATCTAATCTTGGATATAAACTAAAATGTGAAACGTAATCATGATAGTTTCCTTACTGAGTGTGGCCCTGGAAGACATTCACTTGCATTGATGGGTTACGGAAATCCCATAGTCGAAAAGTTGTATCTTTTGATGACGTTACTACCAGCTTCTGAACAGGGTGGGCACACACATTTGTTAGCTCTTCATCATGACCTGGCCAGATAGAAAAAATGTTCTTGCATTATGTTCATAAGTATATGGGCAGAATGTATTTTGGTTGCATTCATTCAAAATCAGAATGTCAGCCTCTGTCCCGAAGGAAATAATGTAAAAAATGTAGAATTGTAAATCCAAGCTGAGAATATCATTTTCATGTGAGTATTCGAATGTATCATAAAATACAAGAATTCATCAAGATGTATCACTGTATTAGGAAAGTAACTCAAAGACTGCTGACTTAAAATCTGACCTCAATAAATGAAAATTCTTTGACAAAATAGGAGCACAAAACACTGCAAAATCATCTTTTAAACAGACACAAATCTTGATAAAAACCTCTCTAGTAATCTGGTTTTGGAAAAATAAGAATGATTTGAAAGGACAGTTTTTCTATAACTTTCTTAAATATGAAAAATAAAGGATGAAAATAACACATTTTGATTATTAAAATGCAGGTTTTTAAATTGTTTCAATGAGTGACCACACCAGATCAGCTTGACCTTTCAATTTTTGTACAGGCCATCAATTTCACTCTCCAAATATGGAATGTGTCAAAATAGACCTGTCAATCAAACCTTAAAATTGATCAGAGAAAGCCAATATTGATTTTGTATCAGATTTAGTTTCAGCTGAATTGAAGTTTCTAAAGTGACAAAACATTATTGTTTAAAAATTAAAATTTAATTGATTTGATGAATAAAGGTCATGTTGACCTATTTTCAATGAGATATTTATTCTTAAGTTCTATTTTAAGCAATTTTTTCAAGTTAAAGGACAATGTTGCATCAATCCCTTGTTATCACTCTTATTTAATTTGATCTTGGATTTTCTAGACACCTGTGATTTGATCTTTATTGTTTCCATGCATAATATACATGTATGTTTGGATGAGAAAAAGAATCTGAATCTCATTCTAGGAGGCCAAACGAAATATAGCATTTTGTATATCAATATCTTGTCTATTAGATAAAAATTAAATAAACACTTTCTGAATATGCAAATAAGACAATAAGCTACTCACCTGTAAGAGTATTGACTATTTCCCCCGAGTCAGCATCATAGAGGTGTGCTGCCCTGTCCCATGATGCAGTTATCACCTGATTGCCCCCTGCCATCCAATCAGCTGCGTTGATAACTCCCTGGTGTCCAGTTAGTTCTAGTAATGGGGTCCTAAGAATGTTGGGTTCATGTAGCTGTTCTCTGTCAGCTGTAGGAAAGAACATCAAGTGAAAATGGGACTTACCCGGGGGGACTTAACAGGCTTTATTTGATTATGAAATTTTCACACTATGTCAAGCAAGATTTACTCTACAGCACTGCACCCAGTTAGAAATTATTCAGTGGCGTATGGGTATTTTGTGAGTGAACGCATTTGAACTATTCTGGGGCGTTTTGAAATAGGAAAACCTGACTAATATGGACTAATGAAATGTAAAAATGCCTTTCAATATAAAAAATTTACTTTTTTCTAAATTTTGCGTACGCCATGGTGTTTTATGCGTATATGACGGTACGCCAGTGTTACTTGCCTCAAGAAATAGAATTAACAGTTAATACTTTGACAAATATTCAGTAATAATAATAAAAAAGAATTTGGGTACAACATTCTGACAGGGCTACTAAAAATCAACAAGAGGCCAAAAGGGGTTTCAGATGTCTCAAAATTTTCCTTTTTTGAAAATTCAAACCCATTTTTTGTAAAAGGCCCAGGTAAGGCTGTTTTTAAAAAGTGAGGTGACCATTTTTGATGTAAGCTCACTTTTTGAATATCTAAAGTCTAAATTAACCCCTCTGGTTCCAGCTTAGAGGGTGGAAGGAGCAAGAAAATGCAAGTGTACACTTGCAGAAAATGCTTGTGTTCTCACCTTCACATTCCTCTTTCTCAGACCCATCTAGGTCATCTTCCCCTGATGAATGTGATCTCTGAAAATACAGGAAAATTTGAATTTACCTAAAATCCTGATTTTGAGTTTGATTTGATAAAAAATATGACATTCAGTTTTAATCAAATTTTGATGAATACAAATTGCTCATTGATTACATGTTAATCCACTTGTTATTGCAACAATTGGATTAACAAGAAACCAATTTGTTTTTATCTGTATGGATATAGTTGCTAATGTTGTATATCAAAAAATGATTAAATGGAAGAAAAAATCAAAAGTTAACATTAGAGTGCTAAATTTATTCTTTCACTAACTTACTAATCCATATTTAGATAAATGTCACTTTGGCTGCTTTTGTGTCACTTTCAATAAGTAGCTTCTCAAAGTCATGCCACTTTACAGAATTCAATTCAATCTATGCTAATTGGCTTCTTCCAGCCGGATTAACAGTGTCATTAGTTAAACCCTAGTTTAGTGCCTGTTCAAATGCCAGTCAGGTGAGAAAGGATTAAGAAGATTATTACCTGGAGTGATATAAATACTGAGCAAGCACTAATAAGTATCATCACTTCTGTGACTGATTTCAAGAACAACAGATCTAAGAGATTCACTTATAAACACATCATGGTTCAAGATTGCACTTCAAATTCTACCAGCCAAAAGATGACAGTACAGCCATCTTTTAGTAAGCTAGAAAAGCTGAAAGGTGCAATGATAGCTGCAATCAACCAATCAAAACTCTTGGATGAGAAACTACAAGATAATCTTCTGCGCTACATGTCCAATCTGACCACAAAGGATGATGCCACATCTGCTCACAGCTGTCAGGTCCAGATCAGCTGTACATTAGTAATGCTACAGCTGCACACAGCCATTGCTACAGAGAAGATGGAAGAATATGAAGCTGCACTCGGGGTTGATGAAGATCTTGGTGTTGATGTACTCTGGGCCTAGGCTAACATACATCTCATCCATGCTACAATCAACGGCCCTTTTCAGGGCCACCATTCACTTACAAAAGAGAATTTCTAATTTATGAGAGAATGAATGGATGAGTTTGAGATTGAATTACAAGTTCACCTTTTATTTATAAATGAGAGAGCATCATTTCAATAATTCGAAGCATTTGATATCCCTGATATAAATGTCTTCCATATTAATTAACCTTATTCTGATTTATCTCTATTGTTTGCTTAAACATAAGTTGCACTAAAGTTTACAATAAAAGAGTTATGTTAAGTAAAATTGTAAACTTATTTACTCAAGTCATTTTTGATTTTTTCTTCCCTACGGTGTTACTTTTCATGAATACTTGGAATTAATGAGGTTAAATGCTCATTTTGAGAACACACATTACAACTATCATAATTTAACTTACCAGATTTTCTACATGTGGTGGTACATTGACTTGAGCCCGCCATATGTGGGCAGTCTGGTCTCCAGAAGCTGTCAGTACAAGGTCTTGGGTGGGGTGGAATCGTATTGAGTTAACAGACCCTTTGTGACCTATATAGCTCCCTAAGCATGAACTGGACTCTATGCACCAAAGTCTTGCAGTATGATCTGAATGCAAAGAACTACATTTTATAGCATGGTATGACTAAGTGTACATATTTAGTTATACTATTGTTTTCAAACTTTTACTTGGGGAAATGGAAAAATTATCTTAGAAAGTATCTTTTTTAGGTCAAAATTTGGTTTTCCTAAAAATGGTATTAAACTGGTTAAATCTGTTGCCAAGGCCTGGAACAAATCACTGGAAAAGTGTTTTTTAGTCAATTTTATGATATTTCGAGAAATTTAATCCCATCAAACTCCAGAGATAATCGACATGAACATACCTATAAAGTAAAGAGGAATAAAATTGACTTTTATAAGTCTAAGAGAGGAATTAAACATGGAAACCTTCAATCTTGAGATGAAATTGACATGGAAAAAATGCTCAAAAAGGAAACCTTTGGCGCGGCACATAGGTATCAAGAGGTGTATTGGAGTGAAACCCTCGGGGGCATAAGGCCTCACACAATTTTACAGAAATTCAACTAAAACTGTGTTGAAATGAAGCCTGATGGTAGTGATATCCCTCCTTTGGCCTTAATTTGCCTGAGCCTCACCTATGTACATTTGCCTCACCACACTTTGGATCTACACCACTGCTAGTGTTATGTATTGAGATGAAATTGACATGGAAAAAATGCTCAAAAAGGAAACCTTTGGCGCGGCACATAGGTATCAAGAGGTGTATTGGAGTGAAACCCTCGGGGCATGAGGCCTCACAAAATTTTACAGAAATTCAACTAAAACTGTGTGGAAATGAAGCCCAATGGTAATAAAATCCCTCCGGCCTCAATTTGCCTGAGCCTCACCTATTTACATTTGCCTCACCACACTTTTGATCCTGGCTACACCACTGCTAGTGTTATCTGTTCTTACCTGCGCATGCAGTTCCAAGTATGGGCTGACTTGTCTTGGAAACGGCAACCTCCCAGACACCATCTCTGTGACCCCTGAACTCCCTCGTCAGATGACTGGCCGGAGGTGCGGTCTTGAAGCTTGATACTATTTTACTAGTTGATGTTTTGTAGGTTAGTTTGATCTTCTGAGATATCTGGCTACCAGCTGAAGGCAAATGGAACCAAGTTAGAGAAACTACTCTGTAAACAGAAACATGTTCAGCCAGCAAAATTCAAAATCCCAAGATCTTTTATCGTCTATGAATCATTGAGTACAGTTTTTCCTGTGGAGCTGTATTTTTACAAACGAGAAGTAATATGTTCTGATAACCATGGACTTGGAATCTAATAAACAATATTCTTCATAGGAAAAAATGTGACTCAAGTGATTACATCATGAATATAAACAACCAACCTACCAAAGATAAAAGAATTATTGCTAATAAATTTACTTCCTATTTCTCTGATGTGGGACCAAAACTAGCATCTACAATAACTTCAACTGGATCACCACTTGAGCATATATTAAGAAACCCCTTTTCTTTATTTTTAGAACCTGTAATTGAAGATGAAATCTTAACACTTATGAAAAGACTCAATGATAAAGCTCCAGGATTTGATGATATAAAACCAATAGTTATTAAACATGCAAGGTACAACCTTGTGATACCATTTACTCATATAGTAAACCTTTCCTTACAAACAGGTGTATTTCCAGAAAAGATGAAAATAACCAAATTAATAGCACTTTTCAAAAAGGGTGATAAATCAAAATTTGAAAATTATAGACCAATTTCCTTATTAAGTGTATTTTCCAAACTTCTTGAAAAAGTAATGCACTCAAGAATTTCTAAATTTATCAAAAATAATAAGTTAATGAATGAAAAACAATTTGGATTCAAAGAAAACAACTCAACATACATGGCTCTTTTAACTTTTCTGGAACAAATTCGGTTTTCAATGGATAATAATAAGCATATTCTAGGATTGTATTTAGACCTATCAAAAGCGTTTGATACGATTGACCATACAATATTATTAAATAAACTTGAACTGTTAGGTTTTCGTGGAGTAGTGTTAAATTGGTTCAAAAGCTACTTAAAAGATCGACCATTAAAAACTTTCATATCAGGTTCATACTCTGATGAAGAGCATTATTTACATTGTGGCGTCCCCCAAGGATCTGTTTTGGGACCAGTCCTCTTCACATTGTATATAAATGATATATTTAATGTTACCAATATGATAAAATTAGTTATTTTTGCAGATGACACAAATATTTCTCTAGAAGATGACAACTTAGATAATCTTTACTTGAGGGCAAAAACTGAAATAAAATGTATAATCAACTGGCTAAAAAACAACAAGCTTTCACTCAATATAGAGAAAACTAAATATATGTTATTTACTAAATCAAGACTTAATAATATAAATAGCCATCACTACAAGGTATATATTGGTGATAACCAGATTGAAAGAGTTAACTATATAAATTTTCTTGGTGTAATCATTGATGCAAATCTGAAATGGAATAGGCATACTGAATATATTGTTTCAAAAATTTCAAAAATAATAGGCATTCTTTTCAAAGTAAGAAATAAACTATCAAGACATGCATTGTTAGACATTTACTATTCACTTGTTTATTCACATATTTCGTATTGCAACATCATATGGGGTAATGCCAACAAATCATTACTTACACCATTACTTAATCTTCAGAAAAAAGTTGTAAGACTGATTTGTAATGCAGATTATCAACAATCTAGTGTACCATTATTTAGGGAAATGAAAATCTTAACAATTTTTGACATTCACAGGTTAGAGAAATCAAAATTTATGTATAATTGTGTCAAGGAACCATCAAATTTTCCTGCTTATCTTTTCAAAAACTACTTTACATACATGCACAATCATAATGTTGGTAATCGTACTACAAGACAGTTTCATAATATACGCCCCAGCAAAATAAAAACTGAATTGACAAAAAGATCAGTGACATATTCTGGTGCTATTTTATGGAATTCTTTGCCAATTGTATTTCGAACATGTAAAACTTTGAATTCTTTTAAACACAACATTAAAAAGGACCTTTTGGAAAAGATGAATGGAAATACTATATAATATCACATTCCATTTAAATTAATCATTTATATCCAGACTTCAAAATTTTTGTATTGCATCTAAACAATTTAGATAATGTTATATGTTATACTGTTATATATTATATGTTTTGTGATTGCTCTGCAATAATTTTTGATATATGCACTGATACGCCCAATTACTAAGGGTGTCGAGTGCACATGCTTTGTACATTCCATTGTTATATTATCATGAAATAAATAAAAAAAAAATAAAAAAAAAATTTAAAACACAAAAATAAATTGAAAGTATTCCTATTTTCCATGTGTTGAACTATACAGGTTTTATTGTACAATGTCATGGAGCTGTAAAGTTTATGAATTTTGAGTAGCGACAACAGTACCCTGTATTTCAATCTACTAGCTGATCTATCCTCCGACATTTACAGATTTCAGTTTTGACACTAATGAAATCTTAAATATCTGAAAAGCTTGGCCTGTTGTGGAAGTTTGAATGTGAAATTAATCTCAGTGACAATATTCATCACAAGAAAATTGAGTGTCATGATTTTCAGACTTCATACATGTATTCTAGTTTACAAGTGAGATCAGATAATTACCATATTCTCTCTAATGAGCACACTGTTCAAATGAGTGCAAATGTGATTTTTATGTTGACTATGGTCTCAAGTAAACTTATGATTATATTCAATGCAGAGAAAGAAATACAGGAGCTGTAGTGTATGTTAATGTTATTGGTAACAACTAAAGAAATAACAAGATTTATCAGCAATATTTTTTACTTGCATATGTGCTCATTGGAATCTCTCAATATCTTACCTTCTTAAATTTCAATTTGGAAACTGCAATATGAAGGATGTGTTATTCAAAGAGCAGAGATGTATTTGAGTTCATACAAAGGGTAAACCAGACTCACATTTCTTAATGAGTGACTTGGCCCCATCTACTGTATCTTTCTCCTCTGCCTTGTCCCCTGATGTATTACCCAATCTTTCATTCAGCACCTCAATCTCCTCATGCACTGAAATAACAAGTGAATAGGAAATTGAGTATAAGGTAAGTATTACTAAATACCAGGTTCATCAATATGCTCTTACAAAAGAACTAGAACTTGCATATTTGCATTTTATTCCTTTATTCTATCAGAGTTGGAGTAATTTTGGTTGAACTAATTGATCAACCTACCTACTGAAACTAACATGTTTCATTGCTTATGGCTGTTCATTTGGGTTTGAAAGTTGTCAAACCGTTAACAATTTATCATAACATTGTAAATACTTACATCTCACATTTTCACAATACAGTAATTCAAACTCTTTTTCAATCTGGCCAAACAGGTCATGTAACTTTCCTCTGAAAATAAAATAAAAAACAAAAAAGTTCAATTTCTTATACTCACAGTTAGCTTTAATGAAGTGTATAAGCCTCGAGACCCTACACAGGGCGATGAATTCTTTAATACAGTACATTTGTAATGCTTATACCAACTTAAGAGCATCATGTTGTAGTTCAATACAGCATATTTTTGACATTATTACCTTAAAGTTTTGATCGCCATTTCCTAAAAAATGGGAAAAATTGGAGAATTGCTATAAAAAACCTGTTGTGGATAAACATAATATTAACATTGACTTTGTTCATGAGAAAGTTCTCTAAAAATGTATCTTACTTTTTGTCAAGATTTATAGAGGCAGGTTTTAAAGGTAACCCTTTATGGTGGAATATTGCATGAATACAATGGCAGATTTCTACCAGGCCTTTCTCCTTGTGATTCGCACATCCAACTTTGTGCCCACACCCACAGTTGTACATTCTTTTTTCTTCCATGTGTGTATCTTGCTATCTCTATACAATATTTCTACTGATTTCTAGATTGCAGTTGTTATCTGGATATGTTCAACTTCTCTTCCTACAGAACTAGAGTTAATCTTATCTCTATGAGGAGTGTCTTATTCTCTTTATACAAAGATAATGTTTAAACAGACTTATGTTTTACATCATGTGAAAATTGTTTGAACATTCTCTCTTGCTATTGAAGTTTATAATTAGATGGTTATTGTCAATAGCTGACCCGAAAAAAATAACTGATAAATAGGAAAATTCTGCAAAACCTCAATTCTGTCAAAGATGATCCCTTATGAGAATTTATAATTCTGGTAAGGTGATATAATTGTAATGTATTGTCACACTTTAAATGCTGCTGCCATCATGTAATTGTCAGAATGTCAGATCCATACTCAATCAGTATAGTACTTTTATTTCATTAACTCCAGTTGTTGTTTTCCTTGATCCTTGATCCACCTCCCTTTCCCTTGTTTTTGTAGATAAAACTCCAAGGATATAATACTACTCTTTAACAGCAGTTCCTAAATTCAATTCATTTTTCCAATGTAAACATTACTATGTAACAAAAATAGGTAGGCCTATTCCAAATAGCTGGGGGATTCTGATTCAATAAACTCCATCTCATTTCTAAAGTAGAAATATTTATGTGTGGCTCCAAGTGCTAATGCCATAATTCAGTTTAAATCTGGTGGTCCTTCATGTGTAGACCTCTACTGTAGTTTCAATAATTCAATGAAGAATATTCCTATTTGATTTGTGATAAAATATCCATAGAGAATCTCCAGTCTATCATCTCGTGTATTGACTCTATCAGGCTATTTAATTAATGTTAACTAATGGTATTCATCATGTCTTTTGCCACAGACTGTGGTAACATTGCAAGCTTATATCCCGATGCATCTTCCATTGCATCAAATGACCCATGAACCCCACGCATTTTCTCAATATAAAAATTTCAAGAATGAAATCTCAAATTTTCGATTAATCTATAGAATATGATGCTTATTCCTATATAGATATTGTTATCATTCCTATCAAATTTTAGTTTTTTAGATTCATCAAAATTTAAAAATGAAGTGACCATTTTGTTCTTTATTTCCAGGCAGTCTCCCTAGGGACTCCCTGACCTCCCATCTAATCCAATTACATGACTTACAGAATCCTGTGTGTTGTTAAATACAAGAAAAGAAGGAAAATGTCAGAATACTTGACTCGGGGGAATTACTGTGATGATCGAATAAAATATATCAACATTTTTTGAATTGTTTACAATGAATCAATATCGTGAGAACAAAGCTATTGTGAAATCACATAAATAGATGAACTCACATAAAATAGACCTCAGAATTTTTGTCACGTTTGATGTCGATCAAATCTTTTCTTTCATAGTTGAATATCATATTGTGTTTTTACGAGGGTAGCTCTTATTTGAACACATTTTAGTCATTGGAACCTAACATGGTTTCATTATCACAAAAATAACTGTGATTTCATTGCTTGCTTAATAACAATGGTTGTTCAATGCATAACGTTGAATAATCATTGAACATTGATAAAATGCTACTTAACAATTACCGTAATACTAATAGACATTTGACTGATCAATGATAGAAAATTTCTGACAAAATTGACTCGTTATCCTTGGCTTGAGATATGTCAAATGAAAAGCAGGTTAAGGATGTTTTCTTACTACCTAGAGTCAATGAAACAAGATCATGGCATTTTCATGCACGGAAAGGATGGGTGGGGAGATGAATAAATGAATGAAATTGAGAGACAGACAGAATTCTTGAGCAGAGCTCCTATGTCATTAGACATCAGTGTGTAAAATATGAAACAAATCCTTCCACTAGTATTTGAGTTATCAAATTAACATTACATTTTTTATCAAAAATGGAGGCCATTTTGAATTGAGTGGCCATATTGAAAATTCCTTCTTGAGTAGAGATCCTACTTCCATAAGGCACTCACTTAGTGGGATAAAAATGATTTCAGAGGAACAGACAGAAAATTTTCCTTTTGGCAACAAGGTAATCAGCAAGTTTACAGGTAAAAATGTGTAGACAAAGCTATCTGAAGAAGAATTTGAAGGGTATTGAATGCAAGGTATATTATTATAATGTAATTGTTATTCATTTATTGAAAAGATTAATTGCTATGTTTTAATAATTTAATAACAATAGCTGGTTTTCACGTTTATATGACTTGGTTTACAATTTAAAGTGACTTTCAAAGACTTTAATGGCTAAAATGAGCGATTTCAAGAAATACTCCTCAAGAAAATAGTCTTACCTTTCAATTAGGATGGATTCAGGAGCCAAAAACAGCTGATTAATGGGCATATATCATTTTTCAGCAAGAACTTTATTTTGGAGGCCATGTTTATCTCATTTTTATTTAGCACAGTGTCATATTTATTACTTTTTGGGGTTTTATAATACAGGCAAAATGTATGTATGTGGCTTCAATATATTTGTTAATACATGTAGTATATATCTGCTTGCATTTCACTGGACACTTTAAATATATTCTTAGGTGTTTCTGGTACGTCACAAACACATCATTTATGTCAAATATGTATAAAAAAATTTCATAACACTGTGCTTTAAATTGAAGGTCAACTCTGAAACCCGGGGGGTTCACTATTTATAAACCTTGACGGGGATCCTCGGCGCATGTGGGGTACCTTTTTCAACGTTTGGTATGGCAATGGACCCATATTTTAGGATTTGGTATGGGAATGCCCAGAAATTTCTGACTTCTGAGGTATGGCAATGGTCGGACTTTTGCTCTTCTGGTATGAGAATGGTCGTTGTAGATACGTTACCTAACATTCGTGGTATGGCATTGGTCCAGTAGTTAAAGCAGTATAGTAAGTCTAGTCAACTATCTAAGGTTGAATCTCATTTTTATTATCTATAATCATGCATTCTAAGACTGATGTATTGACTAGAAATTGGGCCAAAGATAAGAGTAAGATGTTAAAAATAAAATATATTTAACTGAATCTGAACATTTTATGTGATGTATCGCTATGAGTAAAAGTGTGAGTCATGTTATTTTGGTCATTTATGACCCCAACTACAGTATGGCATTTGTCCTTGATTTGCGGTATGGCGATTGGTCCTGTATTTGCACATTTGTATGACATATTGATCCTATATTTCATTTACTTTGAATTAAGGTATGGCATTGGTCCCATATTTGGACATTTGGTATGGCATTGGTCCTACATTTTGACATTTGATATGGCATTGGTCCCATAATTGGACATTTGGTATGGCATTGGTCCTATATTTGGACATTTGGTATGGCCTTTGGACGTTATTTTGGTTGGTATGGGAACATATTGAAATTTGACAGATTGGTATGGGAACATATTGATATTTGTGGCTTCAGCCTAGGACCCCCGTCGAGTTTTATATACAGTGAACCCCCCGGGCTCTGAAATCAGTTTAAAACTATCTCTTCATTTCTTGCCAATTTCAAGTTGAAAAGAGGAGTTTCTATAGAGCTTTGAAATGTTTGAATTCAATTCACGTTTTCCACAATAATAACTTTGATTCATACAGTTATGGCATTTTTCATCAATTTCATGATTTTTTCAACTTTTCTAAAAAAAATATGTGGACCAAAACCTATTGATGCAATGCTAAATTTCTTTAAAACATTTAAAACCCAAATTCTAATGATTAATCACATTATGCACAGTGACAGAGTCATCCCTAGAGCTCCCTAGTATTCCATTTGAGTTTCAAACAGTTCAACAAACAATTTTTGGCCCAACAAAAACCAAAGAAAAGCGAGGGTGTCATCTATTATATCAGCTTTATTCAGCTATATAGAAACTCCCTCATTGGTTATAACTTCAGTATTCCATAAAGTTTTTCCAAACAATGAGAAATGGTATTTAAATCAATTTCCATAGAAAAAGCATTGATATTTCCATTAGAGTACATCTTATCAATCTTACCATTATAGCATATAATGCAAATTCAACATCATATCATGAAAATTCAACATCATATCATGAAGTAATAATAAAGTGACTAAGACTTACTTAAGAGGTAAAGGCAGTGAACTATCTCCATCACTTGCAGAGAGATCAACTCCAAAGTCTGTGAAGCCTCGGCCTCTTCTATTCATTTCTTTGTGGCGCTTTGTTGCTTTAGCAACATCTGTGGGCATTTTGTCACAATTCTTCACAGTTATCAATGCAGTGGAGCCCTCAGTGAATTATGTTGATTTTGTGGCAGTCTAATTGTATTCCACACTTTTGACCTGAAGTGTACAGAGTGAACACTGTGACATAATATTTATGATGAAAAGGGAGGTTGAGTACATGTGAATGCGTCTAACTATCTATTAGTTATTTTGTCCAGGTATCTGTATAAAAGCTAGCACAATTGTCATTTAACTTCCAGGATTTAGTAAATGGTTGGAGCATAATCTATTGAAGTTGGTATCTTAAGTGTAAGAGGCATAGAAAATTCTCCCATGTTGTAATCATACAAGCAAAAGATTCTTAGTCCTGGCACGATATAATCAGTAGCATTCATTTTCAAAATCTTGCTATTTAGATTTGATTGACGGAGAGAAAAAGTGAAATGGACTGTAGATTACTTGTAAATGAGATTAGGCCTCGGGCCTAGGCTAGCTCTTACAGTCGGAGACATTAATAAACCTCAACCATCAAAAGTTGTCACAATGAGCTAAATACTAAGTTTCATGTCTCAAACTCTCCCAAGCGGTAGAAAAATAATTCCTGTTCACTCTAAGTAATACAATAAATGAATCCAAAGCTTCATACCTGCAAATGATGGATAAATTCCTACCAAATCGAACGAATGTTTTCATGAATTGCAATGTTTGTGATCCAAGGAGGATTGACTCCCAGAATGCAACATCAGTTAACCTTTGTTGAAACCACTGTGAAAGCTGGCACGTGTCATGTTGTATTCTGGGAGCCAATCCTCCTTGCGGCATAATCGGGCTCCAAAATAATCTCAACATTTGAAGGGTCGGACACAAATTCCACTATATTTGTATATTCCGGGACTGAGAAAATAGAGCACTCAATTCACTGAGGTAAGAATTTATGACAAATGTGACAGAATGACTTTTTCATAGTGTTAGTCATTATTTATGTTCACCACTTTAGGCTGTCTATTTCTTACCTTCTTCTAAGGCCACTGTATCTGTTAGAGACTCAGTAATCAAGATCTACATACTGTACTATTTTTTTCATGGCCTGAGTTCTTCGCTAACATGCTAAATATAAGAGTTAGCTGACGTTTGGGAGTCTGACTTACCTTCTAAAGGTTAGAACCCAAATCTTAATGAAACCATATCACCTTTGTTCTGTCAACCATGGAGCATTTGCCACAACATCCAAGAGGTAAATCATTGACCGTGAAAATGAATGATTTCCTTGTAAGTTCCGGAAGTTTCAATATGAAAAATTACCGAACATATGTGGAAACCGAATATTTGTTCGTTGTTTTCACGATTATAGGTTCGTTTGTTCTCCAATGTTTTGGTCTAAATTATAAAGCATCACCAACAGGTCTTACTCTATTAATCGACTAATACAGCAGACGGCTCATATTTGTACGTAGCATTTCGTTCAGACCAACAGTGGGAGTGCAGATCACGCAGTTTCGTTCGTTGCGTACTTCACTTGAAATTGGTAATTTTAAATATTGGCTACTTCACTTAGCTTGGCGGATGTAGAACATTGCTTAATATTATTTTAATTTTCACACCATACATGCTTGGTTGACACGTCAACAAAGTAAAGTTCAAGGGTCAATGCGTTATTTCGTGATAACTACAAGGCCTTCCCGGAAGTCAACATTGATGAAAAATGAAAAAGTCGGAAAAGCATTTACACTAATTTCTATCAAATGCTGTGTTTATGCATCATCATCGACGCAACAAAGGTGATATGGTTTCATTAAGATTCGGGTTCTAACCTTTAGAAGGTAAGTCAGACTCCCAAACGTCAGCTAACTCTTATATTTAGCATGTTAGCGACGAACTCAGGCCATGAAAAAAATAGTAGGGTTCAAAAAAAATAGTTTGATCAAAAACAAATTCAACAACAAGTAGTCTAGACTATAAATGCTTTCTTACAATGTCATCTGGGAGGATGTGTACTTGGATAGGTGACATAACAGCAAATGCATGATAACACATGTATGAACAAACATACCACAAATAGCAAGACCTGTATGTGTCAACTTCATCAAAAAGTGACTGAAATAAAATTTAGCCTTACCAAAATATCAGCCATTGACTTGACCTAGAAAGATGCATTGTGGGAGAAATACACCTGAAGCAAAAATTAAAGACACAGAATAAATCCTATATTGTTCCATTTCTCGATTATCTACTGAAAAAAACGTTTTCCATTAGTCTATTCCAGCCTCAGATTCAATTATAAAAATTACATGCCATTTACAATATTAATTTGTAAATATTAAATACAATTGAAGCATTTCAAGAGTTTTTGTCAATGGTGTAAAAAGATAATTGACAGGCTAAAATATCCAATTTTTTAACCAATAGGATAGCAGGATTTTGGCACTAGTTCAATCAAAGCCAATCACAACTACTCAATAAATTACTACGCTTTCAAATCAAAACAAACACTTCAACTCAAATCAAAGAAAAAATTGAATCAAAAATACGATTCTATTTTAATTATATCACAAGTTATAGAATAATGTTTCCATATAAATAATGGCAGCTAATAATAAGCTTTTTCCATTATGTATAACATATAAAAGGTTTTTCACTTTTCATTCATAAACCATTTACTCACGTTTTCTTATCAGGATTACTCCGCGAAAATGAGGCAGCCATTTTGATGGCAGACATTTGTAATGTAAATAATACGGATTATTCAAAGCATCATTGGATAATTTGAAAATATGGTTGTGGTGAGTAGTTCCCTGTAATTTTCTCTCTCCAACGAGGTATGGTTTGGGGCGTAAAATGGTCAACGTGTGAAGAAATAACATTTTTATGAATTTTCCAATTTCCTGGATGAGCCTTCCATTCTTTTGAAAATATATCGACAATTACGCATCATCTGACTGTATGGAGCCGCTTACTTTGAGCCTGATACAAATGTGCCACTTATTTATATATCTCGTCGCATTAACTTTTTCCTACATATTCAAAATTCATTTAGAAAATAGGAACTATATTCTATATTTTCAAAATATTTTCATTTTCACTCATCAAATTTGATTTCACTCTTTCAGTGTTCCAGTTACCAATTTATGTCTCTGTATCTAACGCTTTCGTCAAAGTTAAGAAATATGATTACTTTTCTATTGGTTGAATTTAGTCCCACTACAAATTCATGTTTATCTGTCTGTGGACCTCCACAATCGGACAGGGTTCTGGACTGTCGATTTTGGGATGAATGGTTTATCTGTTTATGGTGACTGGGGGATAACTTAAGAAATGTGGTACATTTGGCACTGACTTGTAAAATGTTAGAAAATAGAATATCAGTTTTCTACTTTGTTTGATTTCGGTAAAAAGAAAATCTCACCTCATCTTGAAAAATAGATCTTCATATATTTTCCATTTTGATCTTTGTAATGGAAAAAATACAGAACAATACTAAATCTCAGTTGTGAATGATTCAATGACTTTCACAGTTTGTAATTCAACTATGTGATTGATTGAATATGTATAAGCTAAGATGACTGCACTTGTCCTAGGAATCCATTTCACTTCCTGGTGATATTAAAGGAATTCTAGGCGATGGAAATGACAAAATATTGCTTCTGGAATGAGATCAAACGACTTTGACATATTCTTTACCCTACCTGTTTTGTAATTTAACAATAAACACAAGTATGCAAACCATATTTAAGGCCAGGGTGCATGTTCAGAATATTTCTGCATTCCACAATTGAGTCACATGTTATATTTCAAACAGGAATCAATCCTTCCAGTTTTGCACAAAGAGTGCACTTATGTGTCTAGAAAAGACTGGTGAGAAGATATTTTTTGTAAAATGTATAAAAAACAAGAAAATTCAATGAAAAAATTTTCTGTAAATTTTCTTGAGTTTTCTCACTGTATTTCTTGTTTTTTATACATTTTATCAAAACATTCTTCTTTACATTCTTTTCTTGGTACATTACTGCAAAATAACATGTGATCCTATTGAGGATTGCAGCAAATTTCAAACATGCATCCTGACCTTAATTAAGCAGATATTTATGAAAAGTATTTTTTTGAGCGATAAAATCATCGATTATTAAACCGGAAGTGTCTTCTCTGACGTCTGTGAGGAAGAAGGCCTACAAAGATTTAATTTATTTCAAATTTGCCATGGATTCGATTTTAAATGGTTCTAAATGATCTTCGAATGCTTACTATGAATTCTATTAATATACTGTTTTGACTTCCCTGCTTCATAAAAAGAACTTTATCACCATTTACTCGACTCCTAAATTTACTCCTTGTCTGCTGAGAAAAATATAACTTTTTCAATCCCCAGTCTAAATTTGACTTTTTAAAGGTTCAAACATCGACTTTAAATGGATCCTGGTGTATATTTCGGAAATAGGTTCACCAGAGAAGGTGTTAGACCAGGCAATCATGTCTATAGCCAGAAAAATGTTATTTTTAACCATTTTATCCTCTATAAATTGCAATTTTATTTAAGATATGTTATATAAATATGTGGTATGAAATGCATGAACATTCTCTTATTGTTCTATCAAGATATTGCTCTAATGATAAATACTACCATAAATAAATTACTCATACTAGTAATGTTGGTAATTCTATTGAATGGTAAACAGTATATTTTTATGTGACTGTCAAATGTAAGAGGCCTCAATTGACTAAATCTGAATGCTAATCAGAATGAATTTAACTGGTTTATTTCTTGCATTTAGGAACTACCATCCCTAAGAATAAAATGACAAGGTAGCAGAAACACAATGTTTGAGGGGAAGAATATTCACTTCTCACCGGCAGATAACAAGCCCTTGTGCTCCTACAGTGCTAAGATCTGCAAGCAAAGGCGTCTCAATGGTTACGCTTTCTGTGTGAGGCATATACTGGAGGATGAAACAGCACCATTCAAGAGATGTGCACATGTGGCAAAGTATAAGAAACAAAAGTGTTCTGCTCCTATACCACAAAATGAAGAACGACAGTAAGTACATTGATAAATCAGAGTTGATAAATCATAGTATGGCATTGAAGTTAAATTTCTGTGGGAAAAAATCAAGGTTTAATTATTGATACTGTATATATAAAGGAGCAGGGTTTTGCTAAATGAATACAAGTTTTTCTTGAAACTGTTGAAAGATGATTACAAATTATTAGTGTAAGCTTTTCTTTACTTTTAGGTACTGTAGCAGTCACTTACAGGTGCTGGGTATACTGCCAAAGAAAGAACGCAAGGACAAAGATAAAATGAAGTCTGATTCTGCCAATGGAAAGCAGGATAACCACATTAGTCATAGAAATGCAATAAAGGATACAAGACCTTTTGAAAATCATAAAACCTTAAACCAGGAAAAGATGAAGTCAAAACTGATTAAGCAAATACACGAAAATGGACATGATTCTTTTGGATGTCCAGAAACAAGGTGTGACCCAATAAGAGGATTTATACCAATGGAAAGTGTTAAAAGATCAGGAAATGGGTTGGCAGAGAGGTTGAAATCCAAGTTTAATCTTAATAAGCTAAGGACTGCTAGCAGTTCTTTGGACAATGATGACCCATATGCATTTCCAGAGGACCCAGTGTCAGAAGTATCTAAACCTCCACCTTCTAGTCCTGCTGTGCAACCTCATTTAGCATCCCCTGCTGGTGAACAAATTATAGTTCAACCTCCGGCTACCCCTCCTCAAACCCCACAAGCACCCCCTACACCAGACAACACTTCATCCATGGCTAAACTATATCCAGAATTGGCTGAAAAATTAGAACGAGTTCGTAACAAAGTAGACACTGGCAAACAAGGTAAAACTACTCAGAAGAGCAGCTCTCGAACAATGAACAGATTGCAAAGCAAAATAGCTCAGAACAAAATCAAGGATAAGTTAAAACGAAATCAAAATTCTGATCAAACAACACCTGAACATCATTCACCATACTCTCCAGCATATAGCCAGATGTCACCCTATTCTCATAATCAGTTCTCTCTTGATAAATCATTTGGAGACAGCGGCAATAGTGTGCATCATCAGCTGTCATTATCTACTACTTCATCTCCAGGGCCACACATTACACCACCTAGTTCAACATGTGCTTCTAAGGTGGCGCCTTTGCCCTCAAGTTCATCCTCCAATTTGACAAGCAAAGTTGGATCAGATGGTTCACCTTCACAACCCAACCCAAGGCTACACGGTTCATCAACATCCACTCCCCACCCCAAGGCTGGTTCCTCTAAGGGTCACCCACAGGATGGAATCCCACCCCCACCCCCTTATCACCCACCTCCTTATTTTCAAGCAGCTAGGTTGCCGTTTCACTGTACAAGACCACAGCCCCCAAGGAATGTTCTATCAGGGCCTGAGGCTAGCAAGAGACTGAAAAGAGCATCATCCGTCAAAGTGTATGCTTATTATGCTAGTCAGAGAATGATGGATTCTGACATACTACCCTTTGGTAAGTACAGTGTAGTGTATGACAAAAAACTTCATGAAGTTACACTACTCATAATATCACTTGTTGACAGAAGATTTGAGTGCACTCATATGGCAGCAAATGCATATTTCCACTTAATTAGTTAGAATATGCATCCTGTTGTGAGAATGTCAAGAACTGATCAAAATAACAAAAATAATTTTTTTTACTTAATGTGGAAAAGTTGCCTAAATTGGAACTTCCAGTGCAGAAATTAATACTTTTCAACTTTTTTATTTCATGCAGTTTTTAGGTTATGAATGTTTGTGCCTAAATATTGACATTGTTGAGACTTGGGAGTGACACAGAATTAGAAACATGGTTTACTTAGAATCAGTCATTTATTAATATCCTAAACAAAGCTGAGATTAAAGTGCTCAGGAACATATTTTTAATAGACACTATAACTTATTTTATTTAAAGGAGTAATTTGTATTTTATATGTGACAATTTTTATTTGATTTTATCTTCATTCATATTTCAGACCTTGATGAAGCTGATTCAGACAGCAGTTTAGATGATGAGGTACCAACACAGAAATACTGGTTCTCTTCACTTACTGAGGATTCTGATTCAGATCATGAAAAGGAAGAGTGAGTACTTTTATATTAAGGATTAAATCAACATCAGGAAATACACAGAAATAATGATATTCAAAAACCAGTCATAAGAAATAGCTAGCAAATTCTAATGTATTTAGTGATAGTAATCTGGTCTTTGGACTTTCATTGAGGAGGCAGGATATTATTTTGTGACAAAATGTGGCAACTTATTGACAAGTCTATGCTGAAAATAGATTGATCACCCCCAAAGACAAGATAGGCATTTTGAGCATGTTTTGTAAAATGGCCATTAAATCAAGACCATTTGAAAGATACCAATGAAACTTGAATGATAGAATTGATATTGAACAAGGTTCAATTATGCCAAATTTGAACCCATACTGGATGACTGAGTCATTAAGATTTGTTGCTTGGGTTACCTTTCTTTGAAACACCCTGTACCTTAATGAAATCCTGCATGTTTGCACCTATTAAAGCTACATGGTAATGAAACTAATGATTCTTTTGCAGAGATGGGGAAGATAGCTTGCCATTACGGGTGCAAAAGATAGGTATAGTCAGGTCAAGGCTCAGGAGAAATTTTATGCAAATGCGAAAAGCTCAAAGGGCTAATCTTACATTTGGAATGTACAAGAAAAAGGCCTTACTTGCTTTGATTCAAGCTGCAAAAGAAAGTCCAAAAATGGCCAGCAGGGCTTTGGCTGAAATATCAGGCCGGACAAAGAAGCCAGTTGATAGGTAGGTTCACCCTGTAACTGGAATAGTCTTGCATCAAGCCTCGAGTCATCATCCCTCTTCTCAGCTCAAAATTAGGGGAATAAAGGGGCTTGATGTAAGTTATAATGAAACCAAATCTTTGAAGTTTATTTCTGTTATGTAAAAAGATTTATGCTAACAAGAGCTGTCGTCTTATTTATCCTATGAATTAGTATATAACAGTTAATGTCCATCACAGTTATCCTTTACTTCAAACTTTTTAATAGTTTAGAAATCCCCCTGAAGTAATTGTCAATTATTTAAGATAATTAAACAAACCCCATTCATTTGGTCATATTTCTGAAGTACGAATTTCCCTGAAGAGTTCAACAGTGTTCAGTTATAGAGACTGCTAAGAGGCTTTATTACATGTTTATTATTTACATGTTTTTATAACATTTTTACATTGTGTGTTTCAGACATAAGCTTCATAGAATGATGAAGAGGAAATGCTGTTATAAAGGGGACAATGATGTGCAATGTACCAATATAGTTTTACCCATGACGAATCACTGTATTCAACGTATCCTTGCCGTACAAAATATTTCATTTCAAATATTTTACATTTACATTTGATATTCAGGGTCCATATTCAAGTTCATTAAAACCCCCCTCATACTGCAATGTTCTTACTAAGTTGCGTAAGAATAGTAAAACAGGAATGAAGCAAGTATTGAAAATTAGTATTAGGAGATCGAAAAAAAAGGTCGGGCAAATCTAGCCAGAAATAATTGTGTGTCTAATATAGATCATTTCAAAAAATAAGTCATTAAGTCAATCAAAGATAAATGATAGTTGTTTCTAATTTGTAGTACTACTTATGATTTTCTTAACAACCACTATAGATATCATGTACAATGTGGACCAGCAGTTATTTGACTATTGTACAGCTAAGTTTTCGGACAATACTCAATGCTGTGTGCCTGTATTTGATTATAAACATGAACTGCCGCTATGTCCTGAGCATGCTGCAAAAGCTGTAAGTTTAACTTTAATTTTTATATTTTTTTGAAATTAGGGTCAAATGTAAGGTCAAACAAAAAGGGACTTCTAGAAGACTTGAATGCCACTGACTGATTTCACATGGGGGAAAAGTAGTCGCAATACAGCAAAAAATCCGGGGTCTAAAACTTTTCTGGGGAGAGACCTGCATATACAGTTAATAACTTCCTATTTAATGTGAATTAATTTTAACGCTGTGGAAATATTTCCTATCGTTACCAGCTGCTATTCTAAGCCTTTTTGACCAAGATGAATAAATATAGAAGTAAAATCATGTTGCCAATATGTAAGAGTCACTGAATGAACATATAAAACAATTGTTAATAAAACCCTTCACTGTTCTTAATGCAAATCAATATTAGCTGTTTATTGCAAATTAAAAAAAGAATTTCCTTTAATTCCAGGACAACTATAACAAAAATGTTGAACCGAAAGCTAAAAAGCCACGAAAGAAAACCAAACCTTCAGCTCTCACTCGGCCTCCAAAGAAGGGAAAGAAGAAGAAAAATGCCAAGAAAAATATCCGCCCTCAGAAACCAATGCCTCCTCTTGAACCTACTGGTGATACAGGTGAGAGAAGACAAAGCCTTTTACAAATGACAAATTACAAAAAGTCAAACCTGGAATCATTCCTTTTGATAAATGGCATATTCATTGAAATTAAGAGATATATCAGGTATTGTATTTAGGAAGGGAGATTGTGTTACCATAGCTGAAAACATAAAGCCTGAAAAAGCAAAATCTGAAGTGTTCCAGAAATTCCACCAACGATGCAATTTTGATACTGTTCACATGTAACATTAGCTCAATGAGTATGGTCAAAAAATGGTTAAAACATCACATGTTATCTTTCTGTTATTCCAGAAATGCCATCAGTGATGAAGTTTGAAATACTTGAAGAGGCAGATGTGGCTGATCGCTTAGATGGTTCACAGGGAATGGGAACTGATGTGGACAGCAATGATGAGGACTTCACTCAAATAACCAACAATTTAGAGAAAGATCTCAGTGGAAGTGGGTTAGCTCTGTCACCAGGTAGGGGCCTCTTGATTGATTCATTAAGGGACAAGGCCAATATACGAGGGTTGATTCAAAAGTTCCAAACTGTTTGCTCTAAAAGTCTTAATACTTTATGAATATTGTTCATATTTGGCCACAACCGTTCGGAACTTTTGGATTAACCCTCGTATAAGTGTTATGTACTTTGACATTTATATTTATTATATACCCAATATGTAACACTAATCCTGATTGGTCAATACCTAGTCACGTGTTCCGAAATAGATTTACTATTTCCCTGGGAAAGTTATATTCCCTCAAATGTGACGTCAGCGGGAATATACATTTGAACTATTGCCCGCTGACGTCACAATTGCAACTTCTATTACCCTTGGAAACGTCTGCGCATCATCACTGCGCAGACGAAAAACAGAAAAATGGAGGATGAGCACAAACACAAATCAACTCCGTTCACCATGACAGACGTGCGTGAACGATACAGTATAAGCAACGTGTATAAAGTTCCCTAAGCTCAATACGTCTGCGTAATTTCAAGTGTTATGATAATCTATTCCGCGTGTTAAACGCGATTGAATTTGTCAAGTGAGAGTCTCAGAGGCAAAAATTTCTGTTGAGCATCTGATGACGTCACAGCTTATAATGCTAACAATGGACCCGGGGAGGGGGCTTTCTAAGCCTTTTTGGCCTTCGCAGAGGAAACTGGACAAGAATCAGTAAAGGGTATATAATAAAACAAATAGTGACTGCCTAATTTCGAACAATAGTGTAAATGATTTCCCCTTGGGAATATCCTCTACAATGTACTATTCCCTCAGCCTGCGGCTTCGGGAATAGTACATTGTAGAGGATATTCCCTCGGGGAAATAATTTACACTATTGCCCTCAATGGCAGTCACTATTTGTATAATATATAATTCATCCTGATGGAGCTATCTACATCTCCCTTAGGGACTGAGAGGCATATATATTTTTGGAAAGATAAACCCTGAACTGATTTTTGAGTAATATACTAGGTATGTCATACTTGAAAGGTTTTACAATGATTTCATTTCGTCATACCCAAGCACTGTCTATATGTTCACTGTTTGCCATTTTGATATAACAGCTTTTCAAGTGAAAGTGATAGAGGGGTGGGGGTAAAATAGTAAATATCTAAGGGAGGGTGTTAAAAATCTATACCTCCTCTACCTCAAAGATTTCAATGGAATAGTACAATAACGTCATTTCTAAGGGCGATATAGTGAAATATTGGACCAAGGGCCGAAGGCCCAAGGTCCAATATTTCACTATATCGCTCGCAGAAATGACGTTATTAGTATTATTACCACCGTTAACGACCAGGACTGAAACAGCAAGAAAATCTTACGCATTGAACGATATCTAATTTCCCGGGGAAAATTGCCGGTCCAGAATATATTCTAGACCGGTCCATATGGACCACCACTATGACGTCACACATTTCTCAGGTCGATATAGTAAATTAAACGCCTTCTAAACTAGCACTAAAACCCCTAGAACTGGCCCGGCAAGGTGGTAATAATAGCTCCTATATTAATTGGCTTAAATTCAATGCTGTATCACTCTACTTGCAGGCACTATTGACAAAACATTAGATGATATGCCATTGGACCAAGACTTCAATGATGTGCTCAATAAATTGCCAGATGACGCTTTTAACATATTTACGGGTAAGTAGAACACAAGATGATTTATTTTCACTATATTGATTTTATAAATAATTAATTATTAAATACTGAAATACATTAAAGAATATCCAACAAAAAGACACAAGCACCTTGTAATATGTAAAGGTGAGTTTTCTGTTTAAAATGTATCCGTTTCCATACGAGAAGAATCAATTTAAATAAATGGTTAATATATGAACATGTACATCAAACACCTTGGAGGATCACTACAAAATCTTGAGCTGGTAAATGTTATCTTTGTGGTTGAGATGTATTACAGATGTAACTAACGTGATGCTGTTATCTCCCTGAGAAAGACATTACTAGATATGAGATGATATTGATACTTGCAGGTAAAAATGGAGACTTCGTGCCAACAAAAGAGGAAACAGAGGAGCTGGAACTGGCTCTAGCAGCTGCCTCTAAGGACCTTAACTATGCTAAAGAATCTCTTGAAAAACTCTCCTCGGGACAAACCCTCATAGATGATAACTCTAGTGAGGATGGAGAACTCCCTAAACACATAGCAGATGATATACTCAACAGTCAGACACTCAGTGAGAACTCGCTACTTAATACCATTCCTAATACTAGTGTCAGTGATCAGGACAATCTTAGTGCTATAGAGAGTTCACTCTCAATGCAGGATTTAAATTCAATCACTCAGGTGCTTAATTCAGATCTTATGACACTATCTGGTGGTGTAAGTAATGGCGTCCCGGTGACTGGCCAGTTTGCACAGCATCAACCAGTTCAGTTACAACAGAGGCCTAACCATTTACCGCAGTTGTATACAGCAACAACACAATCTAACTCTACTGCCTCCTCTCAGTATTTAAGCCAAACTTTGGCTAGTCAACAGTTTAACATGACACAGGCCCCATCACCAGGGACTTATTCTGCCAATAGCCCACATATGTTGCCAGTACCCCCTGGTTATAATAACAGTATATCACCGCATCATCAGTACAGTGAACAGACATTGCCCCAGGGACAGACATTGCCCCAAGGGCAGCAGATGCAATTACCCCATGTACCATCTCCACATGCTCATCTCCAACACATTGTTCAGCAATCACCGCATCATGCAGCACACTCACCACATCATATGGGGCAATCGCCACATAATATGCCACCATCGCCACATCATATGGCTCAGTCGCCCCATAATATGGCACAATCGCCGCATCAAATAGTGCAGTCACCACATCGCATGCCACAATCACCACATCAATCTCCGCAGCTACAGCCAACGATGTCCTCCCCTATGCCAGGTTTAAGACCAGCGTGGCCAAACACAGGGGACATGTCCCAGGCACAAGCGGTTCCCCAGGTAGTCTACCATAATGGTTTCCCACCTGGATCACACAACCAGTCACAAACTGTCACGGGTATATCAGCAAAGTTCCCATATCTTGCACAGCAATTTGGCCATATAGCCTCGAGTAAGCAAGGAGATTTGCCATACAGTGGGAGTTCAACACAGCCCACTACCCCTACAATACAGTATCAGGCTCTTCCTCAGTTCACCCTGGCTGGGGGATTACATGTGCAACCACAGCAGTCACAACCCAGGACTTAGCAGTGTCAATAATACCATCAAATATCAACAAAGCAGTGCAAGTTAAGATAAAATAAGTCAAGACTTCAAATTGAGTTATTTTAGTGGTTTTTCTTGGTGTTTTCACCAAATTCTGAATATTGGTGGCAATTCGATTTGGCAGATTTTTGAGGAAAATTCAAAATACCATGAGGTAACATTTTAAACTTGGGACCTTGTGAAGGTGTCATTAACCCAGTTAACAACTGCCAGAAATATTGAATTATTTATGGATGGGTGCGTGTATGTAATGAATCAGTACATGTACAGGGCGTTCATAAAGTTCTTGCAAAAGTCCTTTAAAATTTTTGCATCTCAGTCCATCTGGCTGAAATTTTCACTCAGTATACCTACACTATTCATACATTGAGATCCTAAGTTATAATTAATGGGTCCTTGAAGAAAAAAAGTTATGGTTGCTATCGTCATATCAGTCAGGGGTAGGCGGAGCAGGCAAAAAAGGATCTGTTCTGTTTGAATGTTCAAAATGTTTTTAACTTGTCCTATTTATTTAAATAATTTAAATAATCTCAAGAGTATAGGTGTTCAAAATAGTGTCCATCGTGGTCTATACACCTCTGCTGTCTTACTTAGCATTTCTCAAATAGATGGGGGAATCAGATTGCGATTGATCTTTGTATGGATGGCTTTCATCAACGTCATCTGATCCTCACTGGATTTTGTTCTTGGGCGGCCTGATCTAGCGTTGTCCTTACCATTTGTTCTACCATCAGTAAATGTCTTAGTCCATTTTGTAAATGGTTCTTTTGGCCATAGCTTACTTCCAAAAAATCTCATGAATATCATCAAGTGTTTGTTTTCTTGAATTTCCCAGTAAAACATACATCCCAGTGCTACTGATTATTTGTAATTGGAAATCATCATCTTTTGCTGATTTTGCAGCCATTTCCACGAAAATAAAATTGACGCTGCCTTTCACAAAGTTTGATATCATCAACCAATGTAGGTCACTATGATACCATGAGTGATGTCATGAATCAAAGAAATTTCAACTATGATGTCATCATATGACATCACCTAGTGTTAAAATGGCAACATTGGCTTGTTTTGTATTTTCAAGGATACTTTAAAGTATGTTAAAGTTACCCCTAACCCATATTTTTTATCTAAATTTTTCTTTTTTTCAATGCTGCTCCGCCTACCCCCGACTCAGGTTACTCTTGCAATTATAACTTTTTATCTTCAATGACCTATTCACTATAAATCAAGATTCAAATGTATGAATAGTGTAGGTATACTGTGTAAAAATTTCAGCCAGATTGATTCAGAAACAAAAAATATATTCATTCATTAATCTAGAGCCTGTTCATTTATGAATTGACAACATGTTTGTGAATCAGCAAAGTAGTGTTTTAGAGTTTTCTTAAAAAATGGAAATATGATTCATGAATTCATATTAGCACTCACAATATTGACAGAGTGAAATATTGGAAGGATTTAGGATTTAAGCCCTGGACAGTGCAATGTGGAATGACCATTCCTTAAGGGTGTTGATTTCCAAAATGTGCACGAGATGCACAGCATTGAGTGTTAATTTTCGGAAACAACGCCTGTGAATTGAATTTTGTTAATCATAAATTACACTACTCTTGAGAAATTGGCTCAAATCACCTGTATTACTGTCAAGTTTCTAGTAGCTGCTGGAAATAGTGCCATCATGTCTAGAAAATGCAGTTATGAATCTATAGATCAATGGACATATGAAGATAATGGAGGATCAAGTGTGGATTAAGGATTTAAGTGCAATTTAAAGTTGAATAAGGCATACTATTCTTGACTTGGAACTGCTTAGCTATCTGAGAAAATCAAATCATCTAAATCGAATTATTATATTTATGAAATAAGCAAAAATAAAAAAATATGAACTGTATATGACTAGATATGAGCACAGACGTGTTAATAGATTATAAATATTACATATTACTTAAATATTTTAAGATTTTAAATATTACATCTACATTGTGTAAAATATAGAGAGTACTATTTATTCAATTTGGAATATAAATATTTTGTCATATTATTTCATTTATTTATTTTCAGACATAAATGTTCGCCTATTATGGAAATAGCTGTTGTCTGTTTTTGTGGCCTTAAAATAATCATCCCTTGAACATGTTGAATGTATTTGGTGCTATGTTTTAAAAATTCAAGACAGTATTGTTTCAAGTGTTTTAGTATTTAGTATATACTTCATAGATGTACATTGGTATTGTAGAATCATGTAAAAGATTGTAATTGGATTGATTAGGACCAAACAATAGGAAAGTAGAATCTGTCATTGGATTAACTGGTTAACCAACTTGTGTGTTGTTTACCATCTCAAAAATATCTTACTTGAGATCAACATTATCTTAATATTTAAGTTAAAGATGCATCATTTTTGTACATTTTGAAAAAAAATTCTCTTAGATTCTATCTTTTATTAAATGATGTCCTGTTGGAATCACAATATATCTCATCAGGAAGTTGTATTGCAAGACAGAAATTATTATGGCTTTATTCCATATCATTGTATATGAGAATGACAAAGTCAGTTTAGATATACAGTTGTGGGAATCCATTGTGTGTCATTTTGTGATTTGTAAAACTGGAATTTAATAATCCTTGTACTTTGTAATATTGTTGTGTTTCTAGAAGTAATCCTTTCTTCAAAACTATGAAATCTTGAATGTGAGAACAAGCGTTTTTTGACAAAGTTAAATTGTACTTTATGTCGTAACTTTTCCAAGATCTTATTAATAATAGCTCTGAATAAAAGTAATGTTATTTTCATAGATGTTAGAACAATTCCAATATATTGTTATATCTATATTCTTTAAAAATTAAAATATACGGTCATGCAGTATGACCTTGAACTATCTGAACTCTGTCACCTTCAGTTGTATGAGGGACCAGTTCAAAAATGTTGAATATTGAGAGAAAATGTAAATTCAATGTTCGATATTTTGACCCTGTCCCTATTTTGGTGTTTTTCAGAGGAAGTTGAAGGTCTTAATGCATGACTAAACAAATAAATAAATGGATCTATCAAGTTTGTATTTAATCAATTAAAAAATAAATCAGAAATATTTATTGTTTAGTTTTCAAGTTGATTAGTTTAGATGCTATAATGTAGTATGCAAATATTTGCAATTGTTCATCCATCCCAAACATAATTGAAATATATGTGTCATAAATTATTGTATTATGTTGCAAATTTGCCTCTCTGCTGAAGATAATCTTAGGTGAGGTACATTTAATCAGATGTATGACATGATCTATTTATATTAAGATAGATAGTTACAAATTGACCTTCATTTTCATAATCAGTAATTCACTGAACCTATTCATCATGTGACCCTATTTATATGTCATTATATTTCCTGTGTAGCAGGATGGTTTATAAAATATTGTCAAATTGGTTAAATTGTGCTACAGGATTTCAGAGTCAGTATTCAGTATGTTTACAAATGTCTGTGTTTTGTGGTAAATGAAATGACGAATTAATTTTAAATGAATCAATTGTGACTGATTTGGAGCCATGATTTGTCCTAAAATTAGTGATAATACATGAACTTCATAGCACTGAGGACTAAATCTTGTGGCACATTTTATTTCATTGAGCAATATCTTTCCTGGAATAATTGAAAAACAGTTGGTATTTCTAATTAAAACTTATTTCCATATTTTGTTGTTCATATGATAACAATTACAGTATTATAGATTTAGAAATCTATGATATTGCTTTTATATAAACGACCAAATATGGATTGTTTCCAAGTTGTTACCACTTATCTGAATCTGACAATACACACCTGAGAAAATTAAGAATCTGTCATTTCTGACCAAGTCTATTAAGTCATTTCCATACATAAATTATTAAACATTTTCTCCCATAATTATGAGTAAATATTATTAGATATGTATGTACATGTACTATATTAAGTATGAAGGCAATAAATCTATTTTCTTAAAATATAAAGTATGATTTTTGTATGTCTTAGTTGATTATTTAAGAGAGCTACTACCCTAATACTTATGGCCCTATACTGTACATCTACTTGATTTGACGGATCCACCAAATTGTTAAAGTCAACCAAATTAAATAGCCGCCAAATTCCCCAGTAATTTTAGTAACATGTAACATGTGTAGAGTATCATTAGTACATTGTAATATTGCAAGTCTGCCAAATTAAGTAGCCACCAAATGTTCAAAACAGCAAATCCGCCAAGTAACACCAAATTAAATACATGTAGAAGTACAGTAATATGTACAATCATAATAGGCAACACATGAAAGATCAGTATTGAATGAACCATATCAAATGCATCCTCTGATCACAGGGCTTCAATATCCAGAATATATTCTTTTTAAATCCCTGCAATAAGCAGTTAGCATTTCCCCAATTAAGAACTTACAATCTGATTGGCTGTCGCAACACTACGACAAATCATGTGTAAGTCATTGCGCATAATTAGATCACGTGATTCAGTTAAATCGGGCGCTTCCAAATTGGTTAAAGCAGAGGGGAAGGAGGTACGGATTCTGGACACCTGCTTAGGAGGATGTATCAAATGGAGTAAGTGAATATTTTAAAGTAATTAGAATTAATCTGCAACTGGAATTAATATAACTCCCAATATTAACAACATAAAGTTTCTACCATCCCATTGCAATTAACTTAGGTTAAGTTGACTTAACTTCTAAGCATTCTCATATGAAAAGTTAGCATATGGCCTACTACAACATGTCTGCAATTTCAAAATTCCATGGACATTTTAGTACAAGTTAGTCATAACCTAATCCCTACTGGTAGACTGGGGATAATCAATACTTGACCCATGATGGTATTTGATAGAGTGAGAGACACCAAAATGTGAAGAAAATGATTCAAATGCATTGAGATTTTGAATGTGGCTAAAAAATGCTTTCCTCTACACCTCATTAAATCATGAAATAAAAACAAGACACTAACATTTAATTGTTAAATTGCCAATTCTATTTTTAAATATCGCCAAGGACAAAATGAATGCAACAAATAGCAAATAACATCATTAACTCAGAAACCTAAAATCAAACCAAAAAAAAGATGTTCTAGTTAATGTCCACTATTTTAAAAAGGAAACAACGAATATTAATATTATGTAAAGCACATACGCTAATGTCCAGTATGAGTGTACAACATAACAGTACAAGGTATAAGGTTTTATAAGCTCTGTGCTCTGACTCACTAGTTGGTCATTAATAATGCTCAAAGATATGCTAAATTCAAATGTAGCGTTACACCCATATACAGTATGCTTGCTGTATGTTGTTGGCATATATCGATATACCCTGATCGTGAAAAAGACTTCTTAAACGATATTTTCAAAAGAAAACCAACAATAAATATGTTTGACATTTTGTCATGATTGACTCTTTTTATTCAATGATATGAAATTATTCTTATCTCATAATTTCAACATTTATTTGCTGTAATTCATTCATGCTCGTTATTACCAATATTAAATGTAGTTCCTTACTCATGTTCCAATTCAGATACAGCATTGATTCACTCATTAAATCTGCTTGATTTGGATTCCAATTGAGATTTTTCCAGTCTATATTAGCCAAGGAACTCCCCCCCTCGAAAGCTATTATTTACAAATGCAATGACCTAAAATGTTTTCTGTTCTATGTTTTTAGTGTTTCTGCTTCTTTCTGTTGTTGCAAAAGTTCTAAGTCTCTTTGCGAGATTGGTGTTTCTAATGCTCTTTGCTGTTCATTTGCTACTGCTTCTTCCTTTAATTTCTTCTGTTCTGGTTGTGTTACTGCAAACAAAAACACAGCGTTTAATAGACATTTTTGACATAATGTAGTAAAACTTGCTGTTAGGGCCATATGGCTAGGACAAGCAAAGAGTATGTTGAGACATATTCATATTCTCGAGATTCTGACAACATTGGATATATTATTGTATAATTACAAAAAATATATGTCGTCAAAAAATATTGTAAATGACCGTTGATTAGGTCAATGTGTACTTTCGGAAATTTTGATGCAATCCTCATAGAGTCACTTTTTAAATATGAACTCCCCCTTCCCCACATTGTCTACATATTTCAGTTTCTCACAAATGGTGCACTAATGTTGTAGAACCTAGAAACTGAGAAAAGGGTGTGCAGAATATTTTGTTTATCAAATGTATGAAAAATGAGAATAATCAGTGAAGATAAATTGGTCAAAAGATGAAAAAAGACATTTTTGACCTTGAGGAGGTAAAATCTTTTTTGACCTTGAGAATGTTATTGAAGGTCAAATCTATACTTCTGAAAACTTGTATATGATTTTGAAAAAAATAGAAGTCAGTCTAAACAGTATTTGTTAAGTTATTGGAAGTTGTAAGAAATTGTTACAGAATACAGATGCCCTTCGTCAACCACCAACCGCTAACCACTGTCAAAAAACAAATGGAGACCATAACAATATGTCAACACTTTTTGGTGGTGACATTATTCTTAAAAATAAATAAATGTGACTCCATAAAAATTCCAAACATTCACATCTCCCTAGCCCAGATGACGCTTATTACCTGTGAAGAATCTATAGAATCTGTGACCAACCAAGTAAGCACCATATCCCGTCAATGCAAGAAGAACACCAACGGCACCCCTGTGGAGCTTATCATAGAATCGCTGTTTACGTATACTTCCTCTCTGCATTTTGTTATCATCTAAAGAAGATTAGTAAGTAATTATCAAAAATGATCTCACGGACAAGGTCATCATCCAGGTTTTGACATTGTCTAAGAGAATTGTTTAATACATATAGTAGAGACAGCTCTTTGGGTAACCTTAGAATGTACTACAGTATAACAGAGCACACGTGTCAAATGACATAAAATCTGAGTCTTGTGAAAGACACAGACATTTTCTGATTAACTGTCTAAATACAGATCTGTATATCGTGAAGGAGAATGAACATCATTGTTCATGTTCTATTTCTCATATTATGAGTCTCATTTACAAAACACAATTTACATTTGCCTACATGTAATTTGATCAGTGAATGAGCATCAGCATGAAAATCATTTCAATTTCCCATAAAATTGAAAAAATCCGGTGTTTACATAAAATGTATATTTAGGATAAACATTGTATGCTTCGCCAGCTACCTCAGATAGATATATGAAGTATATTCAGCTACTTACATGTGTCTAACGGGAGAGATGAGTGTAAGTTATCAGGATTTTTTATTTTGCAATAAAACCAGCTTTGTATATTGTGGCGAGTTTCGCACTAAAGTTATGTCCTATTATTTTCCATGTTAGTACACCATATTCATAATATAAATCATACTGGATCCCATGCTTCATCTTTCTGATTATTTTATTAATAAATTGCTCTAACTATGACGGTTGCATGATATGATATTTTACTAAGCTAAACATTGCTAGCTCTAAAACTTCCATCTTGGAAATTGACCTACTTTTAACATTTCAAAACATTTCGCTTTTCGGCGTTATTTTGGCTTACGCCGTGAATTGGATTGGAAGATCATTGTACAATCAATAGATGGACGACATGTTTATTTAATAGTGAGTGTGTTTGCCATTGCAAGAGATGTACTGCCAAGTTGTAGGCATTTTCATATGTTTTTTTATTAAATTTTCCTAATTTTTTTAAGGCTAAGTTAGGCAAGAAAACACAGGCACCCAGGAGCATTAACAGAGTTCAAAGATGACATATCCTTATAATGTATACGTGTATTGAGATGACATACATCTCTGGTTGGTCAAAAATCGACAAACAAAATAGCGGCCTCAAAATTTTGGAAATATGCTTCGAATAATATTATGTTCTTACCTTCTTATTTCACATCAAGACAAAAAAAAGTGTACAAAATATGCCTACATCAATTAAAACATCACATCGAAGTGTAGCATTTGGAAACTAGCCAGTGAAAATTCGAACAAACGAAGGTTGTAAGCAAGTAAATTATTCTGTTATCACTAAAGCTCTGAAGCTTCCCCTCCTCTTACAGGCGTAGGAACAGATATTAGAATTGACCGGAATTAAAATCTACCCATCTCACCACTCCATGTCTATTGAAAAATTTCATCTCTCACTCAGGGGTGTCATTCCGGGGTCATCATTCATATTTTTTTATCCCGATGCATTCCCGATTAGTTTAACAAGTAAACCCAATTACAGCATTCATTAGAGTCGTTATTGAGTTAACTTCCTTGCTATGTTATTAACAATGATGTCACCAACCTTCAAAATATTCCATGTACAGTGCTGGTATATAATAATCGATCAGTCGTTTAATTGGCATATTTTCTTGAATTTTAACATTTAATGTCCCAAACTCCCACAAACTGCAGAAAAGTATACCCCATAAATCATATTTACCAAAATGAGTGTCTCCAAGGCTTCACACCAGCGTATGCATAATGCATTTTTCACGAGTTTGAGCTGAAATTTCGCCAAAATGAAGTAGGCTAAGGGTAGTCTCTGCCAGGTTAGTTTATTGTGGCAAGCTTGTAAGTGCTCGGAAGCAAATAATTCACGTGCGCGAAATAATCAAATAATCTAATTGGTCTAAACTTTGCTGCACATGCGCACAATGTGTGCCATGTTTTTTTCTAGTGATTTCGTTTCGTTATATGGAGTTTGCGTTTCAGTGTAACTTCCGCAAAAATGGCCGACCATGGACAGAATTAACAGGTAAAATCACTTCGAAATTTCAAGAGAACTTTTTACCTATAATTGCAAAACTTTTGTTTTATTTGTGCATTCTATCTATCAGATACGAGTTTCAGGGGTATGTAGGCAAATTCATTTTGGTAGGAACACTCTTTTTAGTTTGAAAATGCACCCTATATTATTATATATCAGCACTGTAACAATTCGCGTTAACTGTTCATTTAAAGTAGTTAAATGTGGCTATTCTGATCAATTTCTGAAACATATTTTTTCATCAGCCATTAATTGTGTCTGAAAATTAACTTTTGGTGAAACGAAATCGTTGTTAAATAAATTGAAAATGTTCGAGGTGATATTAAATAGATCCACTCAGAAAATAACATGTAATTGTTGTCGTGTTCTTGTCAACACTGTTTCGTTCATTCATGGGCTTTCAACTAATTGAAAGCCCATGGTTCATTGTTGTACAGCGGTTTATTTGTTGACCTGATTTGCCATTTCGATGTTACCACTATATCTGAACCAAATTTTTTCAAAGCTCTCTCCAAAATGTATGCAAGTGTCTCACTTTTTCATGACTTCATTTTCTTTGAAAATATCAATTATTATGACTATTATGTTAATTTGTGGTTTACAATAACAATATTAAGCCAATGTGAACGGGTTGAATTTGTTGTTATTAGGTTTGAGTTTTTTTCAATTCTCACATTAGAGAAAGAAAGAAATATGCATTATCATTGTATTTGTAAAATGTCTCACATTTATTGTAAATTGTTCATTGATTCTTCAAATGATAGTTTGCATGTTAGTTCAGATTAATTATAATTTGATATTGTTTCACTAATTGGGTGATTATGATAACTTATCTAAATCCTCCAAAGCTTCCTTATTGAATATTGATTTGCTGTATCTATCTGAACATATTTACTCTATATGTATTCACAACAGTTTTAACATAGAAAACTGTGTCTGATTTTTCCAGAGTATAATAGAGGACACAGCTTGGAATTCATTTCTTCTTATGGTAAGTAGTTTTAAAGATAAATAACATTTAGTGTTTCCCTATGAATAAGAAATTGACTACCATTCCAGTGCTGTATTGATGGTACTGTTTAGGCTTCTTTTGTCAAGTTTAGTTAAAGTAGATATGAAATGGTATTTTTAACCTGAAGGAATCAATATAATTTTCTGATAAATGTATTTGGACATGTTTTCTCATCAGTAGTGTGAAAATTATTTCACTCTAACGATCGTTATAGCTGCTTAATAAGCAATATTCGAATTGGTTGTGACGTTATTGGCCCCCACGTGATCTCTCACTGGTCCCCATGTGGCCCATTTTGGTCCATTAGATCAAGACGTCATAATGCCAAAATGTTTTGTTATTTGTTTACACAACAATCCTCTGGTTGCCGTGACGTTGTGATTACTAAGGAACCAATAAACCAAAGCTATATTTTGTATATGATGTTACTAATCACGTGGGGGCCAATTTGATTGATTAGTTAGTTTTTATTTCGTTATCTATGACCGTTAGCAGTTATCTAACATTTATTTTATAATGGCTATCGCAAGAACTCTATGTTGGGCTTACAATGGAGAAAACCACATTTTTGTAGCTGCAAGTTGAGAAAAGCTATTTCAGTTGTCCTTTAAGTGCAATTATTTTGACAATGAATGGGTCTTATTTGATGAAAATAAGCAATTAGTTAGCCTGAAAGCATTATCTCTCACCTTTCCACATTATCAGTGTTGTGCCATTTGTGATGTATTCATTAGTTTCTATCATATCTACCTCACAATATTCTTAAATGCTGGGATCAGAAGAAAATGTTCTAATAACATTGTAAGGTTTTCATATTTAGTTGAGAAGAAATCCTAAATTAAGTACAGATTTAAAACTATTGTTCATTTAGGAGTGATCACTTAAACAGCTCCACTCCACTTATATGATCTATTGTATGTTATTGTATTGTATGTTATTGTATTTTATCATATTGTATTTGTATCCTTTTTGTTATGATGCAGGGTTAGAAGTGATTGGTCCCAAGGAAGACTAGACTACATAAACCAAAATATCCATGGTAAACTATTTAGTTATATATTATTTCATTTTTGCTATTTAGTTTTAAATTATTTTACACAATTACAGACACTGTGATATTAAATTCTGTTATACATACACATACATTGTACATATTGAAAACAAAGGAATAGAAATGTTATTATCCCACCGAACGAAGTTCGAGGGGGATATAGAAAAGCCGTCCTTCCGTCCGTTCGTCCGTAAGTCCGTTCGTGTGTCCGAGCAATAACTCAAATACCGGTAAACAGATTTCATTCAAATTGTATAGGCTTATGCCTTATGGATGTAGGGACCTCTGCTCGAGAAGAAATTTTCAATATGGCCGCTTAATTCAAAATGGCGGCCATTTTTCGAAAAAATATAATCTTTGATAACTCAAATACTGGTGGATGGATTTGGTTCAGATTTTATATGTTGTTGATTGGGTACAAATGAGCCTTGCTCAAGAAGACATTTTCAAGATGGCCACCAAATTTCAAAATGGTGGCCATTTTTCATAAAAAAATGTTATCTTTGAAAACTCAAATACCATTGAATGGATTTGGTTCAAATTTTACATGCTGATGCCGAGGGACATTAGAGCTCTGTTCGAGAAAGGATTTTCAAGATGGCAGCTAAATTTCAAAATGGCGGCCATTTTTCGTAATAAACCTTATCTTTGATAACTCAAATACCATTGAATGGATTTGGTTCAAATTTTACATGATGATGCGTAGAGACATAGGAGCTCTGCTCGAGAAGGGATTTTCAAGGTGGTAGCTAAATTTCAAAATGGCCGCCATTTTTCATAAAAGAACGTAACCTTTGATAACTCAAATACCAGTTGACGGATTTGGTTCAAATTCTATATGCTGATGCCTAGAGACAAAGAAGTTCTGCTCAATAAGACATTTTCAAGATGACCACTGAATTTCAAAATGGCCGCCATTTTTTGTAAAAAAACGTAATCAATGATAACTCAAATACCAGTGGATGGATTTGGTTCCAATTTTATATACTGATGTTTAGGGAAAAAGGAGATCTGGTTCAGAAGAAATTTCAAAGGCGTAAGCTGAATTTCAAAATGGCTGCCATTTTTCATAAAAAAAGGTAATCTTTGATAACTCAAATACCATTGAACGGATTTACTTCAAATATTATATACTGATGCCTGATGAAATTTAAAGGTGGCTGCTATTTATCGAAATTTCGGCCATTTTTCATTAAACATCCTTGATAACTCAAGTACCAGTTGATGGATTTGGGTAAAATTATATATGCTGATGCCTTGGGACATAGGAGCTCTGCTTAAGAATAAATCTAAAGATTACAGCTGAATTTCAAAATGGCAATCATGTTTCATAAAAACATGATCTTTGATAATTCAAATACCAGTAGATGAATTTGGCTCAAATTTTTTATCAAAACATGATTTGTTCGGTGGGATTTGCTACTCCGTGGAGTTGCTGTTTTTCTAGTGTTATGCCTACATGTAGATATTGAAGGCATGAAGAAAAAGTTTTTAAAGTTTAATTTTGATTAATTCTCTAGAATTTTATAGATTATTATTGAGATGTCAAAAATTCTTGACATATGTCTTACAATTGTGCTGAGCTGTATATTCCCTCTATTTTGGCTTTAGGGATGTTGGCAGAGTGAGAAAATCTAACATCAGTGGTATCCATAGTGACGAAATGTTCCGCACCGATTCCCCAGGGACACGGCGAACCCCTACCCCCAGTAAACAAGTTAATCTTACATCAGTTAGGCGCAAACCTGAGGAGTAAGTCGTATATGATTCTTTAAAGTATGAAGAAGGTAGAATAGAATCCGTTATTATTATCTTTTACACTACTTGTTTATTACTATCTTAAATCTTTAGATACACATGAAGGCTTTTCACCTTTGCTGAGGGTCAGTAAACATCCATTACAAATCAGATATTACAAAATCTACTTATTTATTATTTATTAGACATACCTATGCTTTTCAAACAGTGATACTATAGTACAGGGTGGTCAAAAAAATGGAAACCCTAATACCATTTTCCTTATATCTTTGTCATTTTAAGAAATAACTCCCTGATATTTTGGACTTTTGTACATCATTCAATTTGCTACCAGCCTACTTTATTTCCTGACCATCAGCTTGATAGTCACAATGTTACAGTACTTTAAAGAACATGTCCCAGTGGCCACTATTGCCCTGTCGGGAAACCTATACTCATCGTCTAAAATGTCCCTACCTGTGATGATACGGCAGAGATAGAGTATGTGAGAATGACCTCAGGACAATTTGAAACCTCAAAAGTGAGATCATTCATGTCATTCAGGCCATTCCTGCTGAGGAATGCATTTGGGTCATTGACAACTGTGCTGTTTTGCCTATAGCGCGATGATGGCCAAACCTGAAGCATGTTATTCAAAGTGCTGTAAAATTGTGACTATCAGTCTAATGGTCATGAAATATGGTAGGGTTGACGGAAATTGAATGATGTACAAATGTGTGAAATATCAAGGAGTAATTTTTTAAAGTGGCAAAGATATAAGGAAAATGCAGGGTTTCCATTTTTTTGACCACCCTTGTATTTGATGTCAGAGCATTGCTTTCTTGAAAAAGCTCATCACAAAGTCCATGAAATTTCCAGATGATGTATTTCAGAAACCAGTATTAATGAGAACTTTATGTATGTTTATCTACAAATTAAAATCATATTTGATGTAAAAGAAAGTCAAATATTCAATCGTTATTCTTTGTTTGCATTTTGCGTATTAGATTTGAGTTTAAAGAAAAATCACCATTAAAACGAGAGGACTTAAATGGTTATATTTGTATCTTATTGTGTTAAGATGAATTAGATAAGGTTAAGCTTTATTTATTTTTATCCTTGTTATTATTTGATAGTGATGGAAAGGACTATGGTTCACTGGACTGGAAGGAGCATGAACAACTAGAACTAGCAAGATTACAGAGTCCATCTGAACAAAGGTGAGACAGCTTGCATAGAAAGAGAGAGTATATAAAAAACAAATATGCAATAGCTTGCATAGAAAGGGAGAGTATATAAAAAAAAACAAATATGCAACAGCTTGCATAGAAAGGGAGAGTATATAAAAAACAAATATGCAACAGCTTGCATCGAAAGGGAGAGTATATAAAAAACAAATATACAACAGCTTGCATAGAAAGAGAGTATATAAAAAAACAAATATGCAACAGCTTGCATAGAAAGGGAGAGTATATAAAAAACAAATATGCAACAGCTTGCATAGAAAGAGAGAGTATATAAAAAACAAATATTCAACAGCTTGCATAGAAAGGGAGAGTATATAAAAAACAAATATGCAACGGCAACGGCAGTTTGAATTAAGACTACACTTCTGTGCTCTGTAAAGCTGTCAAATCAATTCTCTATGCTCTCAATACATGTTTGTAAGTATTTGTTTTTATATACTCTCCCTTTCTATGCAAGCCGTTACATATTTGTTTTTTATATACTCTCCCTTTCTATGCAAGCTGTTCCATACTTGTTTTTATATACTCTCCTTTCCAATGCAAGCTGTTGCATATTTGGTTTTTATATACCCTCCCTTTCAATGCCTGCTGTTCCATATTTGTTTTTATATACTCTCCCTTTCTATGCAAGCTGTTCCATACTTGTTTTTATATACTTTACTTTCCAATGCAAGCTGTTGCATATTTGTTTTTTATATACTCTCCCTTTCTATGCAAGCTGTTCCATACTTGTTTTTATATACTTTACTTTCCAATGCAAGCTGTTGCATATTTGTTTTTTATATACTCTCCCTTTCTATGCAAGCTGTTCCATACTTGTTTTTATATACTTTACTTTCCAATGCAAGCTGTTGCATATTTGTTTTTTATATACTCTCCCTTTCAATACATGCTGTTCCATATTTGTTTTTATATACTCTCCCTTTCTATGCAAGCTGTTGCATATTGTTTTTTTATATACTCTCCTTTCCAATGCAAGCTGTTGCGTATTTGTTTTTTATACAGGGTGTCCCGAAAGTATGGGGCCCCCCTAGGCAGACATATTCCAGTGTCATCATAGTATGTGTCATATATCATTTTAAAGCTTATCCAAAGTTACATTGATTTGCTAAGTATCATTGTTTAACTCCCAAATGGGAAAAAGTTACAGTCATTTTAAAATTTAGTGTTTGGTCAAAATTAAGTTCAATTTTACACCAAATCACTAGTCAATGTGTCCTTCCGGGCCATCTTAACAGCAGCAATTCTTTTCGGGTCGGATGGATATTGAGTTGAAAAAAGAGAACAGTGAGGGTAGAAACTCTAAGGAAACTCATCTGAAATGCCTTAACAGGTTTTAAGAGGGTTATTATAGGAATATCCTATGGCTTTGAAAAAATATCACTTATATCCATGAGTTGATATTGATATCTTTGCGAGTGAGCGCAGCGAGTGAGTGAAGATACTGATATCCATGAGTGGATATAAGTGATATTTTTGAAAAACCATAGGATTGTCCGTTTATCCCATGGGAAATTATTATCCAGAGAACATTGAATAGTCAGATAAATTTCAACAAGATTTATTTATTTCAACATTTTGATTGCAATAATTCAACAAACGTCATAAACATGACGTAACAGGGTGGTTTGTATTTAATGCAAACGCCGTAAAAACTAGATCCAAATAAATAAAAAACATATAAAGAATCGTTTTGCTGAATTAATAATAAAAGATTGAAAAAATCAAAACCATCGAATATCACTTTTGAAACCATCGAATATCACTTTTAGAACCATCGAATATCACCTTTCAAAAAGTGATATTCGATGGTTTCAAAAGTGATATTCGATGGTTTGGGAATTGTTTGCTAAAATATGATATCTTCATCCACGTATCAATTATATCTTCACGTGATATTCGATCTATATCTTTGTAACCATGGGATAAAAAACTCTACACCCCTATTTGAAGGGCTTTTAAGGTCATATCTGAAAATAATTGCTGCTGTTAACATGGCCAAGGGGGGACTCATTGACTAGTAATGTGGTGTAAAATTGAACTTTATTTTGACAAAACACTAACTTTTAAAATGACTGTAACTTTTTCCCATTTTTGAGTTAAACCATGATACTTGGCACATCAATGTAACTTTGGATAAGCTTTAAAATGATATATGACACATACTATGATGACACTGGAATATGTCTGCCTAGGGGGGGGCCCAAAAAGATAAAGTATTTTTACTAAATCCCGGATCATCAGCATCTAAGGTCCATGTTGACCACCTATAGTATGAGAATAAAACCATATTCAAGATATTGATTTGATAACAATTAAAATGTGTTCTTATAGCAGTGGGTCTGAATACACGGCATTCAGTACCTCATGTGCCACGGCCAGTAGTAGCGATCTCAGTAGAGGAGTAGATAAGATCTCATTGGTCGATAGGGGCAGCTTGGATGATATCCCCGATCCAGCTGCAAGATCATATGTAGCGTCAAATTCAACTATAACATCGTAAGTGAAACCTTTAATTTTTTTTATTCATCAATTATATCAATATTTAGTGTACAGGCAACTGACACCCATACAGGTAGTTACCATTTTAATTAAGTCCCACATGTTTCAGAATCAAGTCTGGAATGAATTTTCAATTTTTTCACGATGTTGCATTATGAAATCTTCCCAAAATGGTCACTGTGTTGATTTGTTTTTGGACAGAAATATTATTCCTAAATGAAAAATATCAAAAAGCTAATTTGATTGAGTCTACTATTGCCAATTTGCCATGTCATCTGTACGACAATTATGTCTATTGTAATAAAGAAATAATGAAAACTAAAAAAGTTGATCTAAGTGTTCCATCTTCCATTTGGTTCTAAAAAGCGTTATCATTTTCTTGAAATTAGCTCCATGCTCAAATTTACATCGCAATAATGACAATGGCATGTTTCTTTGGTTGCTATAGTGACAGTGGTGCTGATGCAGAGGATGAAGAGGAAGAAGATACAGAGGATGAGGAAGAAAGGAAAGCCCCAAATGAGCTACTGATGGAGTTTGTCGGGTGCCTCATGCAACAAGACTATGAAAATGCTGAAAAACTATGCAGAATGAGTAAGTTGCTTTGAAGGATTTTGAATTTGTCACTAAAGGATAGGTATCGATATGGTAAACTGAATTCAAAAATACATGTACAGTGCACACAATAGTCGTATGCATGTTTTTAGTGGCCTTTTGCATGATATGTTTTATCCCATCTATATTTTAAATATGATGTATTGGATGCACCGATTGAGTGCCGCTGCTCTAAAAGCGTTTTCCAAATAAATAAATAAAAAAAATAAAAATTTAACAATGTTTTTCTCTGAAACCAATTATTGAAAACGTTCTGTAAAAAACACGGTCCTTTATGTAATGTTGACTGATTGGCTACAATTTCATGCAAAAATTATTTATATATATTTTATATAACTGTTTTTGAACATAATAGAGAAACGTGTGTTCAAAAAATTCACCATATAGATACCACTCCTTTACAGTAATTGCACCTGAGACTACATAGGAAAGATTTATTTATATATACTGTACATGTACATTGTGTATATGCAGATGTAATCAAAATTATCTCAATTTTTACATTGTCATTGTCACTTTTTAGTTTTTTCTGAAATTCAAATATTTTTTACCATGAAGATTTATATCACATTTATCATTTTGCAGAATTTTGTATCTTCATATCAATTTTTTTTCATTTGATAACAGGTCACATATACTCTAGCCTTTGATCTGTAGTTATAACAGCGGATTATATAAAAATGGACTGTAACAAATACCCGGATTTGTTGGTTTTAAAAAAAAATATTTTTTTGATATCACTTTTTATGCCAAGCATAAAACGTGATGTCCCATTTTATGCTGGCATAAAAAGTGATGTCCCATTTTATGCTGGCATAAAAAGTGATGTCCCATTTTATGCTGAGCATAAAAAGAGATACCCCATTTTCTGCTGGTATTATTTAGTAAGTGATGTTTAAAGATGGTTCAAGATTTCAGACCCATCTTTCTCACATAGATTGCTGAACTTATTTTAGTTAAGAATTCCTAATAGAATTAAGAATTAATAGCTGAAACTGTTCTGTTTGTCCTAGCTAACAATATCCCAATATGCATTTGAAATTCATTTTTGTCTATATGTGTTGACAGTCTGTGATGTCATCATCAATCATCACAATGGGAATTAGGTGAATTCTATCTGTGACAGTGAGATTATCTATGATGTCACATAGTAGTTTGATTTCTAAGAAATGTGGCAGAGTTCTATATATGACAGAGATGCTTTGTGATGTCATCATGAATTATCTCGTTAAAAAGTGATATCAAAAAATTACTTTTTTTAAAAATCAACAAATCCGGGTATTTGTTACAGTCCATTTTTATATAATCCGCTGTTTTATGTATATATCACAAGATCAATCTTCAAATAACTAAAACTTACCTAATATTTGAATGAGTCAATAAAGTCAATTAAAAAGTATTTTGAATTGAACTCACCTTATTGTGCACAATATATTATTTTTAATTGCATAATCTATGAATCTATGAATCTATGAATCTATGAATTGTTTTTTTTTTCAGTTTTGCTCTATGAACCAGACAATGCAGAAGCCCTCAAGTTTATGCCTGTCATTGAAGAAAAACTGCAGTTATTAGCAGGTTAGTAATTCTTCCATGAAAAATTGATTTTACAAGCCCATGTTTAACACATCTTTCTTTATCTATTTTAATTGACATAAAAATTAGACATATGTATTGCATTCGAAAAATTAATATCTAAGACTGATTTGTGTTTTTGTATGCTGTGTAAAGTTTAAGGTGGCCATCCTAAAATCATACTCTTCTCTCCAATGTTGAGCCTATGTAGTTCCAGGCAAATCCTTTGATGAATTGAATTGAAATTTTTAGAAATAGCTCTTGTTCTGGATGACTAGAACTGATTAGTTTTTTTGTTGGCATGCTTGGAAAATTTTGAGGTGGCCAATTTAGACTTTTCACCCTAATATGGATGCAATCCAAAGTCTACATGATTCCAGTCATGCCATTCTGAGAATTGATTTTAAAATTTATGGTGAGAATGGCAATCATGTCATGATATTGGCAGACTTTGAACGCAAATTAATTTATTTACATAATTATTAATGTTCTTCTCAGGGGTGCAATATTGTCCACGCTTTGCCTTGTTTGGTGATAAAAGAATATGTGAATAATATCTAACTTGGAGAACTTTGGGACCATCAAAACAAGATTGAGCCCAATTTTAAATAGATCAACATCAAAGAGACAAAATGTCATATCTACTTGAGAAGATAATCCTAAGAATTTTTTTTCTGTTTGAATTAATTTATAATAATAATAATGATGTATGTCTTAATATCATTAGGTCCACTTTAGATGATATGATTGATAAAATCATTTTCAATCTCGCTCCTTGACCTTGAAATAGTTAGTCTGACCTCACTAGTTTAAAAGAAATGGCAATGGCGTTTATTTTGTAAAATGATAACGTCACTTCAAACTATTGTGTTTAAAAATGGTCACACTTTAGATGATAGTAAGATAAGATGATCTTAATGATTCTGTTAGTTAACTGGCTTAATTGTTTTGCGAACACCTTAACCGATGTTAGCACTGACAAAGAAATACTCAATAAGTAAGGGAATTGTAATAACACTAAGGTTTTAGACTTGGTCATTGTAAAAATATAAGTTCACCAAAAGTTGGTCGCTGCGACCATCCCTCACTGATAAAAGGTTTCTGAACTTTGATTTCCAAACTATGATTAATTATCGGTAGTTCGTGCCAAAATAATTAAGATATAAGATATTCGTAACACCCAGAATGTCTACCTAATAAACACATATTTGATACAATTATATCAAGGGCAATGAGTATGAGTGCAAATTCATGTACATAAAATATAATTTAAATGAATGAATTAAATAATTTAAATTAAAATATTTTGAATTATACTTTTTATTGCTACCTGTTTAAGCAGAACTGAGCAGTAGTGAATCTGAGTCCGAACATGACTGGTCATCTAGTAATGACAGTGACTCTAGTAACACAGATGATGATGTCACAACACTCAGTAATGACGTCACAACACAAAATGATGAGGTCACAACATTGAATGATGACATCATATCTAAAAGTGATACTGTTGAGATCACTGAAGAGAGTGATGATGATGATGACGATTTGAATAAATCACAAGACATTTCAAATTTGTCTCTAAATGAAGCAAGTGGGGATTTTGAAGGTTCAAGTACGGAGGAAAATGAATCTGGCCAGGATGAAATTTTAGGAGAGGAAATCTGTGGGTTTAGACTTGGGAGTGTGTCATACGGTCTCCCAGATTGTACAACACCATATGGTATACATTACAGTTTATGCATGCTAGTGAACTGGAGCACAAATCATGCACACATTTGTTGTACATCATACTAGCTAAAGTGTCCCACTAGACTTAACAACCCCATTTCATGGAGCTGTTGCTGGTTTTCTTTTGTAACCCTGCTCACAATCCTGCTCTATAAGAGATGCAAGTCTCACATATGTAGTTATAGATGTAGCCATGCATGACCAGAATTTCGGACTGTTTATCACTTCAATAGCTAAGGCCAATGGTTTTTGATTCTCTGTTAATCAGCAGGCTAATGTTCAAGCAATAAGAAAGAAAAAACACAAAATGTTGGTAATCATTTTGTGGCCTCACTAAGAGGTGCTGTATTGATTATACCTTTTTCATGTACTACAAATAATGCACTATACCCCCACACAATATTCTATATTAGACAGAGAGAGAACAAAATGAATTTGTGAAATATTTTGTGCTTTATTCAAATGAAGATATCAGACTTTCATCAAGATCAAAACTGATACGACAACATAATGATGTTCTTGCTGGCTTAATGGATACCATGCACACTGGATTAATTTGCTAAATTAATCATTAAATTGCTAAATTAATCATTAGATTAATCAACTACTCATGGTCCTCCTTGTTTTTGTCCTAGGTATTAACTAGATTATTGTCATTTATCAAGCTATATTGAAACAGAGAAGAAATATAACATTTGCAAAATGAAAATAAACTCAGATTGCCGTGTACCTATACTATTGTCTTTTTTTGTACTTGGTAGAATCCCACCTATTTGTACGAGACATCATTTGGTTCATTCATTTGAAATGCTGTTTTATGGTTATCATGCAATGTTTTCAACTTAGACTATCATCATACATGACCCTTTGTCATAATATTCAATAGATTGACCTCCATGTATTCATTTATTTTGCTGTCATATTTTCTTGTGATTAATTACAGTTGTAATTGTCAATTTTCACATGCACTTTTTCTCACAATATCCTTTAAAGTTTGTATGTCACCTTAGGGTCACTTATAGTAGGCATAGCAGCAAATCAAACCTTTCATAGTAAGATGAACCACCTTATCTGTCCCAAACAAGAAAAATACAAAATACCAGTATTAAGATATGCAATGAAAATTATAATGATAATTAAAGAAAATGTAAAGTCCAAGAATCCCACTCTGGGGGCTTTTCCTGAATTTTACTTATTAATTGTAAATCTTGAAACAACCAATAAGCTTCTAGTTTGAGCAGTTTGGGCTATTTCGTTGGCTGGATTTTCATCTGCAGTATGCTATTTTTATAACAGTTTTCATTTCAAAACCAAGAACCTGTGAGGAAATGTTAAGCACTGTTTTTAGTGACTTGCAGTCTGCATGAGTGTAATGCATCTGTAACAGATTGTCACATTTTTGTTACCATTTGCAATAAAATACCAGGTGACGACAGTTTAATTCTTATGAATACACACATCCTCAGAATCAAGAGACAATGCCTATTTGGTCAGATATCTTATCCCTTTCTAAAAATCAGTTGTATTGAGTTTTGGTTTCTCTGGTTGTAGAACAAGAAGAGGAGAGTTCCACAGAAGAGGAGGAAGATGAGACAGGTGATGAAGATAGTGGAGGTGAATCTGGAGATACTGACAGTGATGACAGGTAAGTCAGTTGAACATTTTACATTCCCCTAAAAAGTTTGGCAAAAACTTCTTTTTACATCACCATCACATAGGCTCCAACTTATTTGTGGACAGGGTTCGGTGGTAGGCATTTGGTGGTTGATGTCTGTAACTTTTGACAGGTGGTGACAAATTGCATGTTAATGCCTTGTTTACACCATGTTAAAACCTGTGTATGTTTGGTGATTTAAAACATCCTTGAATTCCGAACTAAGAAATATGATTAAGACCAATTAAACTTTTAAACATAAACAGGATTTCAAGTAGGGAGTTTGGGTTGCTAAACCTTTTCATGGGAGTGTAGCTATAAACAATATATGTGCACTACAGGCATTTACTCAAACACTATCACACCATCACAATCACTGAAACAAGTTAACATGTCTGAAATAGACACCCAATATAGTACATATGTATTGATAAAATTACTAATACTACAAATGACAGACTTCTTATTACCGAAATTAAAATTTTTTATAATTCATAACAATATTGGATTGTATTTGGTGGTAATATTAGAAGATGATATATTGATATGATATATTACTTTATAAGTTTAAAAGTTATATATTATCAGGATACGGAAATGCATAAATTCTTTAAAAATAAAATATGTTGTTTTTCTATTTTTTATTCATAATATAAGTTAAGGGACATTTGTATTAAGGCATGCTCATTTATTGTTAGGTTTTATCCTCTAACATTTTGCCTACTTTCCTTTGCATTTTGCATACTAATGACTTCAGTATCAGCAATTATTTACTTTACATCTACTTAATTTGGCGCTACTTATTTTAGCAGATTTGCTGTTTTGATCATTTGGCAACTACTTAATTTGGCAGACTTGCAATATTGAAATGAATATACCATACACATTGAGGCTTGAAATATGAAATATTGAATTTGGTGGCTACTTAATTTGGCAGACTATAACAATTCGGCAGATCCGCCAAATTAAAATGGCTGCTGAATTAAGAAGAAGTACCGTATATAATTCTGTCACATCCATAAAAATGAAAGAAGCTGAACGTTAGCTTTAATATTATATTACATATAATAGTACTGGAAACAAATTAAAAATGTTGAGATCAATTTTGTAAAATGTTTCAAAGCTTTCTGCCTCTTGTCAGTCTCATGTGAGATCTAGTTACAATGTACATGAATTAGTACCAGTGATTAAATATCTGTTTACTGTTATATGTTATGGATTTCTTCGAATTTTGCATGTGCTTCCATTTGTTAAGCATAATTGCTATTTAAAGGCAGAATCAGATCTAAATGGTGACAAAATTGAAGCAATATGTACAATTGGCCTATCAATCTATTCCTGCCAAAAGATTGGTGATATGTTAATCGTCTAATAAATTGGTGAAGTTGTCTAGGATTAAAAGTGCAAAAATTTGAAACAATTTTTGTTTAGTTTGCTTGCTAGATCTGATTCTCTCTTTAATTTGAAGAATTGGATGCTTTAGTTAAGTTTTATATTCCAGTGAGAGCAGTGATGACAACGATGATGAAGATGATGAAGATGATCAGAAAAAGGACTCTGGAATTGCATCATCAGCTACTGAATAATTCTCTATGCTGAATTCAAAGACCAACTCATAAACTGTCCCAAGTGATCATTGACTTGTGAATTTAAGAGAATTGACCTGTGAATTCAAGAATATTGACTTATGAATTTTAACAGTATTGACTTGTGAATTCAACATTGACATTACAAGTGGAAGAGATATATTCTGTACATATGGAGCGTGGAAATCCTTGAGGATGTTCTAGTCTAAAACGTCATTGTTTTGGTTTGAAATTATGAATCTCAGATTCATTCATGGTCACCACTTTAGCATAACATTCCGTGTTAGATATTTCAAGAATTCTTATATATTATCACTCAAAAATATTGGATGTTTTTAGGAGAATTGATGCATCCAGTACTACATGAGATTCGTCCACTAGATCCGTCCATGAGATAGTGATTATTGTGATTCCATCCATAAGCATAGAAATTATTCTATATAAATGTGTATTAACAGAAGTTTATGCAACATATTTAATACAAGTTGTTCTTTTATTGAGAATATTTTGACAATTCCGTCCAATTTATGATGCTCAAAATTATATATTATCGTGTAACTTGATTACACACAAAAGTCATTGTAAATATTTTTATGACTTGATATTCTGATGTAAACATCAATGTCATCAAGAAATATTTTGAGCGTGGTCATAAAAAAAACATTTAACTGTTGATAACCCGAAGCCATAATCAGTATTTCAGAGTTTGATAAACATGTATATATATTTCTGGATTATCATCGTTCTAATTCTGACTTTTCATATTTAAAGTGGCAGTAAAGCATACCAAGTGTAAAATGTTAGAAGCAATAGTTCAAAAAAAAATTCCTAGGTTTCCCTTGCAATCCTGAATTTGATATCTGAAATATGGAAGTTATTGAAAATTAAAGAAGCAGAAATGTCTAAATTTATTAGAGCATTTATCAGCATATTAGATAAACAATCAAAGTATTATCATGAAGTTAATTGTGAATTTTTAAATTTAAAAGTTTCGTTTAGGTCATTGATCCTTTGTTGCCCCTTTATGTATTGTTATATTGTGAATTTATAGGCATTTTATGAGTTTTTCGTGACAAGCTGTTTGTATACCGTTTACGACTTCCTGATTACAATAAAATGTAAATATATGAAGTTAGTTTATTCAAATATAAAGCTTGATTGTCATCATTTCCAAGAAATGAGTACAATACATGTAGTTTTCAGAGATGTTTGAACAAACTCAGGTTCTCTGTAAAATATAAACTTGTTAATAGCTTGTAGATATTTTTCCCATGTTCAAACTGGAACACTATTGGTCAAGTCAGTTTGTTCCACCTGGAGTTAGTCATCTTCTCGTTATTCATGTAGTTGTTGAGTGAATTTGTATTGACCAATCAAAGCATGAGTGACATGACAATGACATACCCGATGTTCATGTACGAGAATGCTAGAAATTTCATCCTCCTAAGCAGGTGTCCAGAATTCGTGCCTCCTTCTTCCCCCTGCTATAACCAATTTGGAAGCTCCCGATTTAACTGAATCACATGATCTAATTATGCGCAATGGCTTATACATGATTTCTATCGCAGTGTTGCGACAGCCAATCAGATTGCAAGTTCTTAATCGGGGAAATGCTAACTGCTTATCGCAGGGGGTAAAAAGAAAGAATATATTCTGGATTTTGAAGCCCTGTGATCAGAGGTTGAGAAATTTGGAATAACAAATATTTTAGGTGACATATATATTTACTAGTTATTGTACTGTTTGTTGAGAGTCCTGTGATTCATGAAACAAAGGTTAATTTGTTAATATATTTATATAAAGTTAAAACATACTTTGTCGGTTTTTAATTACTCATAATAAATAGTGTTGACCATTTAGGTTTACCAGAGCCCCTTTTATATGTCATTTGCGAGAAAGATCAAGACAAAGGGGTGCGGTTAATGTGATAGGTGTTGACTATTTAGACCATCCTTAGATTTCCAATTTCCTGCTTTTTGCCACAAGAGTGAATTCTGCAATTTTCGTCTTTGTCAGGATGCTTCCTAAATCAGTTCATACTGGTCAATTTGAAATACAAACCAATAGATCAATATGTGATAGACGAAAAAATGGTCATTAACATAAATAGCTCCCATAATGCATCGCTTCAAGTTAGACAAAGTTTCATTGGTCTGTACGTTAATACCAAATTCAGTTTATACTAATATCAAGTTACAACCCTCACAATTGGTAAGTCAGATATATATAAAAATAAAATCCAACCCATATTATGTACACAAGTATTACAAGTAAAGTTGGTTGTCAGTATTGGCATTCAGTGTTAGTGGTATTAAGTATTGGTGAAATTCATCATCTGTGGTCTAATTATATGCTTTGGCAGCAGGCCTGTAGCCAGTGGGGGTTCGATGGGTTCGATGGGTCCTGACTACGGGCCTGGGCAGTTTAATATTTGATATCCCAAAAGCATTATTAAGCAGAGCTTTTAACCTAGGGACTTGAGACTAGCTGGGTCAATATTACATGATGGACCAGTTTTTTATTTTACTGCCTGTCATTTGCTACATACTGGTAAATGACAGTTGATCCATATCAAATATAAACTGGTATTGACCAGTCTTTATGACAAGCAGCAATGACCCTAGCTAATCCACAAATACATCAAAGTTCAGACAATCGCATAAACTAGAGTCCATTTCACTGCTTCATTTCGTCAGTAGAACGGCAAAAATAAGAAATTGGGAGACCATTGTGCAATAATATATGGAAAAGTATATTCATAATGTACATGAATGACATTTGTATATTTCAGATTTTTTAGTTTTTTGTGCAATAAGCCTGTGCCGTCTTGTAATTTGAAGAATTTCAGCCATGTTAATCTTATTGAAAATAACATGGCAGAGAAACATCCAAATATAAGAGGCCACACACTTTATAAGCCAAACTAGAAGCAATCCAAGATATACAAATCTCATTCATGTACATTATGAATATACTTTTCCATATATTATTGCACAATGGTCTCCCAATTTCTTATTTTTGCCATTCTACTGACGAAATGAAGCGGTGAAATGGACTCTAACTATAAAATTGGCAACAATACAGGTAGCTCTTGACATTGATAACAAGTAATATTTTGAAAAAACACCTTCTATAAGTAGAATAGATCTTGTAGATCTTGTTCTTACTTGATTTATCTAATCATTTCACATAATGTAATTCTTATGTTTTACACATGTATGAAATTCTCTTATCTATTATGTAAAAAAATAATAATAAGTTATCATAAAATTTGTAAATCATTCAGTTATATCATAATTTCAGTGTCTTAAATCATAGATAAAAAACTCCTTATTAATTATGAGTTAAGAAAGAGGCTATCGTGAAATTGATAAATCTTTCCATTTTATCACAATTGTTTAGTCTTTATGTGTGAATATATATAAGTAATTGAGCAACACTTCATATCTCAAGTTGACAAGTTTTGTCGTATGATTGCAACATGGGATCTTATAGTTCAATTTAGTTAAAGCTGTAACAGAGATAGATAAGGGTTATGTACTGGGAGGTTTTGGATATGGGGTTTATCCAGAGGGAGATATGCATATCTACCTGAGGGACCGTAGGGACCAAAGGTAGATGTGCATATCTCACGAGGGATGAACCCAATATCCAAACCGACCGTACATAACTGCTTTATCCTATACCAAGTAGAGTTTTCTAATTTTCTTCCAATTTCTTTTCAAATTTTTTTATTTTTTCAATTTTTTTTATTTTTTTGAATTTTTTTGAATTTTTTTTTTTTTCAATTTTTTCACATTTTTTCAATTTTTCTTATTTTTCAATTTTTTTTTCGAAGCGGGAAGATATGCCCTGGAGCGTGAGATATGGAGGTTCAGGATATGGAAACCTCAAAATCAGGACACAGGATATATCTTACCAACTTATCTCCCTAAAACTCTACTTGGCATAGGATAAGGGGTGTTATGCCACACATAGATATATGATAAAGTCATTTGGGCTCTTTCTGCAACCTGCTTTGATTCATAGATATGTTTTGAGACATGGTTAATAATGGCTTATAAGGAAAAATACATTCATTTGGGATAGATTGGAAAACTATATCCTATATTCCCATGTTATTTTCCCTAAAAACTAATGCTATTCATTGTTTTCAGCTTAATTTTGGTCACCTATAATTGAAATCTCTCAAACCTCTAAACCTCTGAATGAATGCATTTTTCTTCTATAAGAGGGGAATCGTGCCTCAACATATAATATTTTTATCTCAAACATTGCAAAAATAGTATGCACCGAGAGTGAAAATAGGGATAACATTTCAGAAAAATCTTGTTGATGGTGCTTGCTCCTTCCCCATCTCAAAGTCCAAATATAAAATGACTTTATCATCTTTGTGTCTTTTTCCTGGAGATAATGCAATGGCTTAACATACACAGTTTTTTAGATGCTAAGAATATAAGTGTTATCCAACATATAATAGTCCTTTGCAGATTTTAAAATTCTAATTCGACTAAATTTTGAAAATTTTAGCAGAGTTCATTGTTCTAGTTATTTTCTGGAATTTAAGGAAGTAAAGGTCTATATTATGTCTGGCCTCTCAACAATACACTGTTACAATGTTGTAAAACAGTTATGACTTCTAATTCCTAAAACCATTTTTCTATATTTTTAGCAAATAAGCCAATTGTATGTCATTAATTGCAGCATGTGATGTTTGGGGCTTTGAACTTGTAGTAATAAGATAACACAAACATTTTGTCATTGCCACTTTTGACATTGTAATGATCATATCTCAATTGAATTTTCTTGATAAGACTTCTTAGAACTGAATGTGTACCTTTCTTGATAAGACTTCTTAGAACTGAATGTGTACCTGGAGGACTCATACATTTGGATCAGTTAGTGTAGAGTTCAACTTATACCAGCTACCAGACTATCAGACTATCGGACCTCTAGAGAGATACGGAAAGTTACCAAACTGTTCCTTTCTAAGCTAAATAAAATGTTTTAGGAAATTTAGAAAAACTTATTTAACAATACCAGCTCTTAGGAATGCCAGAATCTCATTTTGGACCATCCACTTCTTTACTTTGCTCATATGCCAGATCGATCAATAAGTTCCATGAAGTCTCTTAAAATAATACATTTAGTACTTTCTTAAACCAACAAGGGGATGGTCCATGTTTGAAGTATGAAAAAGAAATCCACGCTTGCGTGTTGGGCCCAAAATGGGCCCTAATTTACTCTTGGGGGGGGGGGTTGGCCCCTGGTCCGCCGGTGTGATTGATTATCCATTTGTTCATAGCTACAATGGCCATTTGTTTTTATGTAGGCATGATAATATTTCAAATACTTTTACTGTCCAAAGAGGTAAATAGATAATAGTTCTAGATTAAAATGTTGAAAACTATATAATATTTAGGTTTATCACAGCTTTTCTATGTTAATCAGTTCATCTTTGCCGGGACTAGGCCCACACATAGAACAACCATTTGAAATTGTCATATTGGATCTGAAGCACTCTTCCGTGTTACATTTACTTTTTTTAAATTTTCATATTTTACAAATAATTTCATTTTTCAAAAATAATTTCCATATCTCAAAAAATATCGTTTTTCAAAAAAGTTTTTCAAGAAAATATAAACGTAGCTTATTACATTTACGTAGATTATCAATGTGATACTTTGACTAAATCAGAGGCAAAACATCTCAAAATCATTCAATTGGTATAAAACACTTATTTCTGGGTCTGGAATTGAATATGGGTTTTAAACCCCGAGTCAATGTGATATTTTGCCTGATTTTGCTGATTTACAAATGCAAAGCAAAATACAATGTAACATATTCTCATTTTAAGACTATATAATAATAATTGATAGTAAAATTCAGAATTTATTCGAAAAACTACTCATGAGGGCCTTTCAGTCAATGATTTAGTGGTCTATAAGACTTTTAGATCGTGTCATTTTGAAAAAAAGGTGCGTTTTCAGCTATACCCAAGTAACATAATGTCACTTCAGTACTTGATCATGTTCTATAGATAGACATACATTTGAATAATTGGCTTGAAAGGGAAAGTTCAACAACTAAAAGTAAATAAAAAGTAAATAAATTAACATTCCCTTATCCATCCCCAAGCTACATGTCAAGTAATCCTTTTTGGCTAATCTTTCTGCAATCTTAACATTTTTAGCCGTTGATTTTGAGAATGTTTAGAGTGTCATTGTTAATCCAGGAAATACAAATACAAAATGTAACTATGTGAAAGTTTAAGATGATTCATTAATAATGGGAAATTAAGATGTACAATAATACAATGATAATAAGAGATTTAGATTCATAACATTATTACAACATATCCCTAGATTTTCTTGACATATAAATTCAAAATGTTTGAGTTATTTTTCAAGCATCCTCCAAACACAGACCTATTTAAGGTTAAGTTTTATTTATTTGCATAATTTTTATTATCATTCTAGGAAGGCCTATGTAAAATTATATCAATGTCCTCCCTTTCAAATAAAATTTTGCAAAATGAACATTAATGTACAAGGTTTCAGACATGTAAATGTTAAAGTTATAATGGCATTTATATAGTACTATTTACTTCCTGAACACCATGTATCTAGGAATTCTAATACAATGTTAATCTTTATCACACAAATGATGTGAATGGTTGTTTTAAACCTTACATGTTTATTGCCTTATTTGATAGTATTCAACTCATAACTTGATGCCATTTTCTCTAATGTTGTACCTTCTCTAGCAATTCCATGAATTAAAGACTATTTCATGAATTAAAGACAAATATTTATCATCTATTCCAATGATATGATCTTCGATTTTTGGACTTTTTCAAGCTAGACTTGATTTAAGATGCGAAGCTCTAGGAGGGGGGGTGGGCTTTCAGAGGTTTTTCGTTTGATAGTAAGTTTGTAGTTTGTATTTTTTTTAGAGAATTATTGTAGATATTTATGGTTATTTGTTTTTTTTGTGTATATTCCACTCATTTCCTCTCTTGTAAGTATACCCACCAAATATTTTTAAGTTAATACTTACTTATTGATTGTTGGTGGCTAAACTGTTTTTTATCATGACTGGCAAAAAGAATGTAGTCAGAGTGATCTACCAATAAATAATTAACATGTATGTGGACATGCATAATACTCATTGAACTTGTTGTGAAATAAACAATTTTTTGCTTACATAGTGAAATATTGCAACTGTCTGTCTGTCTATCTATATGTCAGAATGTCAACAATAGTGGCATGTTTTATTTTGGTTATTTTGGTTAACCAGCTATACAAAAAGCCCCCTGCCCTGGGACTCTTGGTTCAAAAGCTAGCCTATTTTTTATGTCACCACCAAGAAGTGGTGACATATTGTGTCACCACCAAGAAGTGGTGACATATTGTTATGGTCTCCGTTTTTTTGTGACGATGGTTGGTGGTTAGCGGTAGGTGGTTGGTGTCTCTAACAAATTCTTAATTTCCAATAACTTAACAAATACTGTTTGACTAACTTCAATTCTTTTTCAAGATTATCTTCAAGTTTTCAGAAGTTCAAATCTGACTTTACATTTAAGATTTGACCTTCAATGAGCTTTTCAAGGTCAAAAAGGTTTATGGGGGGTATTGTCTGTAACAAATTCTTCCAACAACTTAACAAATACTGTTTAGACTGACTTCACTTTTTTCAAAATCATTTATAAGTTTTCAGAAGTTCAAAGCTGATTTAAAATTTAAGATTTGACCTTCAATGACCTTTAGAAGGTTAAAAAAGGTCAAATAGTCTTTTTTCAACTTGCTTCAAATTGGTTAGATTTTTTTTCAAAATCATCTACGAGTTCTCGGAAGTTCAAATCTGACTATAGATTTGAGATTTGACTTTCATTGACCTTCTCAAGTTAAAAAGGTCAAAAAGGTCTTTAGATTTAAAAAGGTCAAAAGGTTTTTTTTTTAACTTGCTTCAAATTGATTAATTGTTTTCTTCAAAACCATCTACGAGTTCTCAGAAGTTTAAATCTGACTATAGATTTGAGATTTGACCCTCAATGACCTTCTCAAGGTCAAAAAAGGTCAAAAAGGTATTTTTTCAAGTTGCTTGAAATTGGCTTAATTTTTTTTCAAAATCATTTACAAGTTCCCAGAAATTCATATCTGACTTTAGATTTGAGATTTGACCTGGTAAAAATGGTGTAAAAGGTCTTGACAAGGAGGATTGGCTCCCAGGATCGACAATCGATATTTTCCAACAATGAAAACGTCGAAATGTCGTTATTGTCGGAAATTATTACCGACTATAAGTTCAAAATAAACAGTCCAAAAGATTCGAACCAATATCTCGATCATTTCTTATGAGTTTTGGAATTTTTCGGTTAGGAATAAGACTGAAATTCACCATTCAAATGTTGAAGTGAACAAAATGGCGGCTGTTTGAATTCAAATTTTGAATCACGACATTTCCATATATGGGACAGAATATCGATGTTGCACTCTGGGAGCCAATCCTCCTTGAGGTCTTGAGGTTAAAAAAGGTCAAAAATGTATTTTTCAATTTGCTCCAAATTGATTAAATTTTCTATGTGGTGGTGACAGTTTGTCATGTTAATGGCTTGTTTCAAAATTGTCACCAGACCCATCACTTAACACTTTTATTGCTGAAATTTATATTTTCAGCTCTTTTTTGTCATAACTCCAAAAGTATTCCATGAAGTTTTTTTGGCAATTTTTAGCTCCCGTATTTTCAAAATGGGCAGCACTTTTATTGCAGAAATCATGTACTAGTTATAACTCCAAAAGTATTCTCTCAATTTATTTGAAATTGTGAAGGTACCTTATTTTATAAAATAACAGTTTCAGTTTTTTCTTTACATTTTCCAATGATCACTGTGATTTGCATAAGAAACATCCCTGTTTAATTAAATGAACATTGTCTGTTGTCTCTTCTCATAAGATTACTTCAGTTGTATCAAAATAAGAAGATGATGAAAAAGTGCATACTGCACTTTCAATCCTCAGTCTTAACATGGGTTTTCAAGGTTCAAAAGTTTCTGAATGCACAGTCAACAAGTGAACACAGCACCCATGGTACTCAACTTTAAGTCGAATCAGTATGAACTATTGTGCAATTTGTATTTCTTTTATTGACTCTTAGTCGTGTCAGTCTCTCTTTTGTTTTTGTCAAAATATAGCTCTAGTATATCCAGTAAATAAAAGTTATATAAATAGAAAAGTATAAAAAAATGATGACCAAAATAACCACTCACCTTTAGCTAAAGAGAATCGCCCCATAGATACAAATATCTCCCCTCCCCATGAATCCAATTAAACTCTTCCCTGGTATTAACAGGCTGATTTGGTACATTTGAGTATTTTTTATATCTGCTATATGAGACCATAACTTTGATCATGATGTATGAGTTACAGTAACCAGTAGAAATCTGTACACAAAGCAAACATTTTTGACACTCTGCAAATGAAATGTTACAAGAATACTAAGGGGTCAAGTCAAAAAATAAACTTTCTCAAAATAATATAATTAGGTATGTTTAGGATATAATTTCAGGAAAAGGCTATTTTGTTTGCCAATGTTATCAAATTCTTGTTTTCCCTAGGTTTATCAGCAAATCAATTGTGAACGTTTGAGAATGACGGGGGGGGGGGGTCAAGTTGAAGTTAATTACATTTTTGACAGATGTTGATGATTCATTGAGCCAATCCCTTAGAACTAAACAAAAAGTTATAAAATACTTCTGCGGTATCAGACTAAGAATGTAAGAATGATGAAAGAATGCCAGCTAAATAATAAACTACAATTTCCCGAACATATCATATTTTGTACAAACCAGGAACAAGATAAGGATTACACATAAGTTTGGACTGACTGAAGTATGTGAATTATAAGTACTTAATATCAAGATAAGATATGTTAATATCAAGATTGATATGCTAGAAATAAACAGCTGCCTTATAAATCAGTTTTAAAAATAAGAAAAAACTAACTGAAATATTTCTGTGATATTTATGCAATTAGCACAAGAAGTGTGCCAACCACTTATAAGTTAGGCGGAGTATAAACTTTACCATGTATACTAACCGAAAGAGCAATCTTGTAGGATTGAAACCTGACACTCCTACCTAGCAGAGAGCTAGCCTCTTAGTTCTAGCTAGTTCAGATAGTCTACATGCTACAGGCTTTTTAGTGAAGATAACAATAAATACAACAAAGTTCAACAACTATTTCTGAGAATTGGGTGTGGAGTTTTCTATGGATTAACTGACCATAATGGTCAGTGATTACTAACAAGTTAAGGTTAATTCATACTGAACTTAAAAATGGAGTTAAGGATGTATATTTTTCTGGCATTTGTAGCCAATTTAGGATTAATAAAAAATGGTGAATCAAGCGAAACAACTTTGGGACTAACTAAAGAGACACAAGAAGGTATGACAGATTCAGCTGTTACTATAGCAACCGATTCCGTAACTATGGCACATTCCACTACTAGATCTAGTCAAAAAATGAACACAAGTAGTCAGAGTCAGACTACAGCTCAATTAGATACAACAGTTGCTGAAATAACATTAGCAGCTTCAACAGATTCCAGAGTAACTTCAGAGACTGCACTTAGTCAAATAACCACAAACTCTGAGAAAGTTTCAAGTATTATTACAGACACTGAGTCAAATAGTCAATCTACTGCTCTTGTAACTGATACAGGAACAGTTGCTATGACAACAGAAGATAATCCTCCTGCTCAAACAACCTCTGGTAAGATACATTAAAATAAAAAAAATTAAAATAAAAATGTGTGAATTTGGTATAACATGTAGTGTATATAATGCATGGTTTAATAGTGGTAAGTTCTCCATAGTACTTTACAATTTTACCTTATTTAAAAAGGGATCTCTGGTCACTAAAATATAATGTGATCTTTTGCTTTACCCTACACTTACTATTCTTCTACTATTATTGCTACACTTACTATAAATTATATTCTTACTATACATAAGAATAATTAAGAACTTTCATCACACTATACTCTTGCAAAGCTGGGGTCCAACCTCCCTCACTCACTCATCCTCCCTGACTCTGAGGTAACCCAAATACAAAAATTGCTCGAAAAACAGGAGTGTTTTGAAATTTGGGCATGTTTAATTTTGGGGACCTCTCTTAGTTTCTCAGATCCTCTTTGATGTGAGATTGATTCAAACTAAATTGTCGCTAAATTCAAAATGGCATCAGAATGGATAAAACTGTTGTTTATTTTAAATCAAATTGATATACTTTTTTTTAAATATATCACTATAGGATATAAAACTATAGGTATTCCATTTATGTACCTTTTGTATATACCTGAAACTTGATTGAAAATTCACATATAGTTATACCATGGTGATTGCCTCTACTACTCAGTTAGTTTCTTAAACATTAAAATGACCTATTCTATAAATCAGAACAAAAAATCAGAACAACCTCTTTAGGGATCGGAAGAGAAAGCTAGTTTAAAATTGTGGAGATTATGATTTTTTTGCTTTCTGAAAAAAGGTCCATGTGCAGTATGGCAAGTGATTTTAGACAGTCATATCTTTCACCATGAATACTTTCTGGGCATAAATACAGTGGTTTTTATTAAAACAATGTGTTTTCTTTCAATTGAAGTCCCCCCCTGATCAATCGAATAATTCAAAAAATTATGAATAGGGTCCCCACATCAACCATTTTTTCAAAATGTTGAACTTATTTGCTCAAAAGAGGATCTTCTTTTTCTGATTTTTATTGCATGAAAAGATTATTCAACAAGGCCAGGGGTCTAAAACATCTTCAAAAGTAGAATTGTATTGAAAGTCTAGTTTTGAAGATATCAATTTTCGAAAATAAAATGGGAAATGTGGTTTTTAACTTTATCGCATTATAATACCCATCCCCTTTTCAGAAGTTATTAATATAGTGTAGAAGAAACTTTTGATATTTTTAAATTAAGAAAAACAAGATCCTCTTTTTAGAAAATAAGCCTTACATTTTTAGAAAAGTGACAAGGTGGGGTCCTAATCTATAATTTTTCAGAGAGTTGGATTGATATTTTACTATCATGGGGACTTCACTTGAAAGAAAACATATTGTTTTAATAAAAGCCATTGTATTTATGGCCAGAAAGTACTCATGGTGAAAGATATGACCGTCTAAAAGAACTTGCCATACTGCACATGGACCTTTAGATCTCTGATCAAAAAAGGATTTCATTAAAGATGTAAGATGCACAAATGTCCAAATTCATTAGAACCAATTTGTTCCAATATAGGCTTATCCTTAAAAATGTAACAGAGCTGTCAAGTGTCCCGCGAATGGCGGGATTATCCCGCGAATTCGATCAAAATTAGGCTAATTCGCGTGTCCCGCAATGTCCCGCGAAGTCCCGCAAATGTGGCTTTCGACCTCCGCGAATTTCCGAAATTGTTGCAATCCCCTATATGGTGATTATCTTATCTTATATAAGAAGCTAAGTTTTTGCACTTTTGAGGAGTAAAGTTTACCTAATTTTAAGTACCTAGCATGCTGTTGTTTGGTATCAAAATAAAGAGGAAGGGTTCAACTTTCATTTTAATTACGACAATAGGGATGTAGGTCACAAATAGTTCCAACGTTGGCCTTTTTACTATCCGTGTGGCCTTCATCTCAGAACTGAGCAAATGTTAGCAAACGTGAGTTACAATAAATGGACGCTGATATCTAGAAAGGGTTTGTAGAAAAAACCGGGTACCGGGTAGTAAATCCTCCATGCTGGGTTCAAACTTGGTACCCGGTACCCGGTCAAAAAACGGGTACCCAAAAAATGAAAAATACGAATATACGAGTATAACATAATTTGATTATCAGAAAACGTGTAAGATTTGTTTTGAATTTACAAAAATGTATGTAACATCCTTCAAAATTGAGCTAGAAGCTTCAAATAAAAAGCATATTTTAAGGCTCTTTTCTTCCTCTATCGTAATGACCATATTTTCATTGGTTATGTTCACGTGCCAACATACGAACTCATTGAAAATAGAGTAAAATTGATTTGTCTTGTTATTCAAATCGTCTTACAATGTCATTGGCGTAGCCAGGAGAGGGTGTGATGGTGCTTCATTACTAATGGAAATATGACCATGATGATAGAGGAAGAAAAGAGGCTTAAAATGCTTTTTATTTGAAGCTTCTAGCTCAATTTTGAAGGAAGTTACATTTTTGTAAATTCAAAACAAATCTTACACGTTTTCTAATGAACTAATTATGTTGTATATTCGTATATTTCGTTTTTTGGGTACCCGGTTTTTCGACCGGGTACCAAGTTTGTCTACGTAAATTTTATTTATATTATTAATTGCATTACATTTACATGTACATATTTATATTTACATTTACATGTACATAAATAAGAATGAAGGAATAAAAAAAAAGAAAAAAAGTTTGAACCCAGCATGGAGGATTTACTACCAGGTACCCGGTTTTTTCTACAAACCCTATCTAGAAAAGTAACCTCATTCCCTATAATTTGATGTAGATTAATCGAACCCCTATATCATGGGCTTACAATTGAAAGCCCATGCCTACAGTATGGTAGTAGTTGGTCACGACGCCAGAAGCAGAGAAGTGTAAAGTATTGTTCCAAATTTTTGAATTTCGTGTTAGATTACGATACTCACACCTCAAGCATGGTTTTTGTTTTTGATAAATTACAATAAATTTTAATAATATTTCTATGTGTATTTTGTGAAATTATGTTGACGTTTATTTAAGTTACAATGTAACGGTGCATTATATTTGATTAATCAGTATCTGAAAGTTTGATTCAAGTACTTTTACACGCTTTTACATTAGTCCAAATCACGCAAATCCCTTGAATGTCCCGGGACATCCTGCAAATTTAGGTGGATGTCCCGCGAAATCCCGCAAAGTTAGGGCACTTTTTCTAGAAAATCTGTCCCTCTATGAAGTTTTTGCTGGTAAACCTGTTTACTGTCCCGCAATTAGGGTGTTTGTCCCTCGAATGGTCCCGCGAAATCACGCGAATTTGATAAAAAAAATTGGCCTATAAGCGCAATCACGCAATGTTCCGCGAAATCCCGCGAATTTAGTAGATGTCCCGCAAAATCCCGCGAATTTTGGGCACTGGGTCTAAAAAATCTGTCCCGCGAAAAAATCTTTGGGGGTTGACAGTACTGATGTAAGGATCATCCTGAAATAAAGTTTCAATTATATCCTTAATTCAATTCTATCACTGTTGGAATTATATATCTGCTTTAAATGGACTTATTATAGTCTTTTGCGGATTCAGGCCCATCAACTGTCCCACAATTTGCGTATTCGTCACGCATTTGCTGAAGAAATTGAAGTCACACTAGTTTTTTTGACAGAATATGTCATGCAAATACGCATTTTTATTATTTTTTTGATTATTGTCAAGCAAAAATATTTCTATAGAACATCCAAAAAAACGAACGCCGAAACATAAAAAAAACAAGCGTCGTTCTGAAGGTGTTCTTAAGTTGACAGGCCTGCAGATTATTGACAAAGTCAGAACTGTTGGCCTTTAATTATCAAAATTATGCATAATATGAAAACAACTGGCAAGAGCAAAAAATATTGTAGAATTGTGACAATTTCAAAATGACTCAAATCTACATATGCTCTATCCCTACTACTCCATTTTAATTTGCTTATAGTATCCAATAAACTTTAATACAAATTTTGTTTCTCTAAATATCACAGTTTGAAGAAGTTCCTCACATCGTATATGTAATTAAAAATAAATGATAGTCACAGATTATAATAAAAGATTTGATTTCAAACTAATTAATTTCAATTTTTTCTGTTATACATTTAATTATCATGTTCAATTTGTCCCAAGGGATCAAAATCATTATGATTTAAATTCAAAAATCATTGTAAATTATGATTCTCAAAAAATAATTTTGTGATTTTCAGAAAATCTGATAATTTGGGTGGGATTTAAAGGCACTTATTGCCTTGGTAGACACTTTACTAGTTTATAAACTCACTCTTCTCTTTGAATTTTGCAATAATGTCCTCAGTGGTAGATAGAAAGTTGCAAAACAACAATATTTTAAATTTATGCCAAAAATAAGCCATACATTCTGAAGATCTAACATTTATCATGCTCCATTATGATTATGTTTGAAACTTAATTTACCACATGTCGTTTTTAAAGTGTTTTGAACATTTTTTACCAAATCTTGAATAACTAGCTTTTGATGTATTTTTCTAGTTGAAAGGTCTAGAATAGATAACAAGAAACCAATGAAAATCAGAATTTGGTACTCAGATTGTGTTTATAAACTTTTTAAAATTTGACTTGAGATTTTTCAGATAATCTTGAAATATGCGCTATCTTGTTAATTTCAAATCAATGTCTGCATTATAGGTTGACGTGTATCTGGCATGATATATTTGAACTATAATTCGTTAGATGTCAGTTATTACCAATGATCAAAATAATAAATTTCATCATTTACATGAATTGGATTTTAAAACACAAAAACATACATTTCAATCAGAGAATTTCTGTCGTATAAAATCCATTTATTTGAATTTTGAATGAGGATTCAAAAAATGATTCATCATAAAACATATAACTTCACACCTTCCTATGTAGATGTACACGGGTATGTATATCTAGCTCTTTGTCAAGGTGACCTTTTTGGTGAAAAAAACAACAGGATGTTTATCAAGATTTGTATTTGTTAAAACTGTTAATTAATTTTGGAATCTTGAATGCTGATAGTATACTAAACGTCATTGGAACTTGATGATTTGAAACTTTTTGACACATTTTCAAATATTTATTTTTTACACATGTATTTACATTCCACTCATAGTTGTCTTTGCATTCGATATTGTGACATAAGAAATAATGACTCAATCAAGTGAAAGTGTGAACTGGTACTTTGCTCTAATCTAACATTAACATTCAATTAAGATATATACCTTCGTGACTTTGGAGGGTGTGAGACATTTAAGAAATATCTTAAGTGATTTCACTGTTTATTACATATGGTCATCAATTAGTTATAAATTAATAAGGGATTGTTCTATGTTGACTTATTTGGAGTAGTAGGTGCAATAAACCACTGGTATCAATTCCATGAATAATAACCCATTTCCAGTTTTTGAAAATTAAGGGGCTTGGTCAACACAATATGTACTTTTTGGCAAAATTAATAATTACCAAATATGTTACAGTTAATTAAGCAAGAATAAAGACCAGTGATGTTGAATGGGTAAAGCAGGAGGAATCTGAGAACCTTTAATACTTTCACCCGGATCCTATATTACCACTTCATTTTCTGGCCCTGAGTTACTTCACCTCTTGTCTTTATAATTTCACCACCAAGAAATGGTGACATATTGTGTCGATCTGTCACAAAGTACCGCATTGTTTTAATGCAAAAAACTTGATGGTGACTTTTCTCATATTAATGCAATCCTTACTGCCATAGAACTTCACCACTTTTCCCTTCATATATTTCCCTCAACCAGAGAGTAAGAAAGACACTTTATTAATGAAATCCTTACTGCCATAAAACTTCACCACTTTTCCCTTCATATATTTCCCTCAACCAGAGAGTAAGAAAGACACTTTATTTATTAATGGAATCCTTACTGCCATAAACTTGACCACTTTTCCCTTCATATATTTCCCTCAACCAGAGAGTAAGAAAGACACTTTATTAATGGAATCCTTACTGCCATAAAACTTCACCACTTGTCCCTTCATATATTTCCCTCAACCAGAGAGTAAGAAAGACACTTTATTAATGGAATCCTTACTACCATAAAACTTCACCACTTTTCCCTTCATATATTTCCCTCAACCAGAGAGTAAGAAAGACACTTTATTAATGGAATCCTTACTGCCATAAAACTTCACCACTTTTCCCTTCATATATTTCCCTCAACCAGAGAGTAAGAAAGACACTTTATTAATGGAAACCTTACTGCCATAAAACTTCACCACTTTTCCCTTCATATATTTCCCTTTTCCAAGGAGTAAGAAGGACACCTTTGGACTTAGCATGTGAATCAATTTCTTTTCTTCATCAAAACACAAACAAAGATCATGCTGTATCAAATATATAATTACAAATTGGAAGAACATATTTGACCTTTTTAAATTAGAGTAGCATAATCATGAGAATGGAGTAGATTTCACCATTTCATTCAAGATTTGGAATAAGTCTTGTTGAAAATGACATGATTTTTTCTATATTGTTTCTTAACTTTATTCGATTCTGCCTTCAATTTCTAAAAAATGTAAATGAGAGATGTTTATTGAACATCCCTCAAAAATAATCCAGATAATGGATGAAATGTTTTTAAAATAAATGAATGTTCCAATTGTCGCTGTTCACTTCTGAACTAACTAACAAAAAGTCATTTGTAATGCTAAAAAAGTGACATCTACATGTATCTATAAATATGATGTACATGTGATTTAATTCAGTGTCTGTTAATGTTATACAAAACTCAGGTATGACAACGGGTACAAAGTAAAAACATTCCAAATCAATTCATACTTGGCATTCAAATTACTAACTGTACATAATACAATAAAGTATGAGATTTTCTTGCATGTAATAGATTTTAGACTTGCATGATTTGATTTGACTATTTTATTTCTGAGAATATTCGTCACTAAGTTCATTTCTTGGAACAGCTCTTTCTTCTATCTAAAGATAAGTATTTTTGCAGATTTTTCTTCAAACAGCATGCCTGAATACAGTACTATATATTCCACAGAGTTAGATGCCACAGATAGCACAACTAACATAAAAATCACCACAGTAGACCAGACAACATCTGATACAACGACAACAATAGACCAGACAACATCTAATACAATGACCACTGTAGGTCAGACAACATCTGATACAATGACCACATTAGACCATTCAACATCTGAAACAACAACCAGAGTAGACCAGACAACATCTGAATCAATAACCACAGAAGGTCAGACAACATCTGATACAATGACCACAGAAGGTCAGACACCATCTGATACAATGACCACAGTAGGTCAGACAACATCTAATACAATGACCACAGTAGGTCAGACAACATCTGATACAATGACCACAGTAGGTCAGACAACATCTGATACAATGACCACAGTAGCCCAGACAGCATATTACACAATGACCACAGAAGCCCAGAGAACATCCGATGCAATGACCACAGATGGTCAGACAACATCATATACAATGACCACAGAAGGTCAGAAAACATCTGATGCAATGACAACAGGAGGACAGACAACATCTGATACGATGACCACAGTAGCCCAGACAACATCTGATACAATGACCACAGAAGGTCAGACAACATCTGATACAATGACCACAGAAGATCAGACAACATCTGATACGATGACCACAGTAGCCCAGACAACATCTGATACAATGACCACAGATGGTCAGACAACATCATATACAATGACCACAGAAGGTCAGAAAACATCTGATACAATGACCACAGAAGGTCAGACAACATCTGATACGATGACCACAGTAGCCCAGACAACATCTGATACAATGACCATAGTAGCCCAGACAACATCTGATACAATGACCACAGTAGGTCAGACAACATCTGATACAATGACCACAGATGGTCAGACAACATCCGATGCAATGACAACAGGAGGACAGACAACATCTGATTCAATGACCACAGATGGTCAGACAACATCGGATACAATGACCACAGTAGGTCAGACATCATCTGATACAATGACCACAGATGGTCAGACAACATCCGATACAATGACCAAAGAAGCCCAGACAACATCTGATTCAATGACCACTGGGGATCAGACAACATCTGATTCAATGACCACAGATGGTCAGACAACATCAGATACAATGACCACAAGAGATCAGACAACTTCTGACACAATGACCACAGTAGCCGAGACAACATTTGATACAATGACCACAGTAGATCAGACAACATCTGATACAATGACCACAGAAGCCCAGACAACATCTGATGCAATGACGACAGAAGGTCAGACAACATCTGATACAATGACCACAGTAGATCAGACAACATCTGATACAATGACCACAGTAGATCAGACAACATCTGATACAATGACCACAGAAGCCCAGACAACATCTGATGCAATGACAACAGAAGGTCAGACAACATCTGATACATTGACCACAGTAGATCAGACAACATTTGATACAATGACCACAGAAGGTCAGACAACATCTGATACAATGACCACAGAAGGTCAGACAACATCTGATACAATGCCAACAGTAGCCCAGACAACATCTAATACAATGACCACAAAAGGTCAGACAACATCTGATACAATGACCACAGTAGCCCAGACAACATCTGATTCAATGACCACTGGGGATCAGACAACATCTGACACAATGACCACAGTAGCCCAGACAATATCTGATCCAATGACCACAGTAGCCCAGACAACATCTGATACAATGTCCACAGTAGGTCAGGCAATATCTGATACAATGACCACAGTAGCTCAGACAACACCTGATAAAATGACCACAGAAGGTCAGACAACATCTGATACAATGACCACAGAAGGTCAGACAACATCTGATACAATGACAACAGTAGCACAGACAACATCTGATTCAATGACTACAGAAGGTCAGACAAGATCTGATACAATGACGACAGAAGGTCTGACAACATCAGATACAATGACCACAGAAAGTCAGACATCATCTGATTCAATGACCACAGTAGCCAAGACAACATCCGATGCAATGACAACATTAGGTCAGACAACATCTGATACAATGACCACAGAAGGTCAGGCAACAGCTGATACAGTGACCACAGAAGGTCAGACAACATCTGAAACAATGACAACAGTAGGTCAGGCAACATCTGATACAATCACCACAGGAGATGAGACAACTTTTGACACAATGACCACAGTAGCAAAGACAACATCTGATACAATGACCACAGGAGATGAGACAACTTTTGACACAATGACCACAGTAGCCAAGACAACATCTGATACAATGACCACAGTAGATCAGACAACATCTGATACAATGACAACAGAAGGTCAGACAACATCTGATACAATGACCACAGAAGGTCAGACAACATCTGATACAATGACCACAGAAGGTCAGACAACATCTGATACAATGACTACAGAAGGTCAGACAACATCTGATACAATGACCACAGTAGATCAGACAACATCTGAATCAATGACCACAGGAGATCAGAAAACATCTGACACAATGACCACAGTAGCTCAGACAACATCTGATACAATGACCACAGAAGGTCAGACAACATCTGATACAATGATCACAAAAGGTCAGACAACATTAGATACAATGACCACAAGAGACCAGACAACATCTGATACAATGACGACAGAAGGTCAGGCAATATCTGATACAATGACAACAGTAGCCCAGACAACATCTGATACAATGACCACAGTAGCTCAGACAACATCTGATACAATGACCACAGAAGGTCAGATAACATCTGATACAATGACCACAAAAGCTAAGACAACATCTGATGCAATGACCACAGATGTTCAGTCAACATCTGATACAATGACCACAGAAGGTCAGACAATATCTGATACAATGACCACAGAAGATCAGACAACATCTGATACAATGACCACAGTAGATCAGACAACATCTGATACAATGACCACAGAAGGTCAGACAACATCTGATACAATGACCACAGAAGGTCAGACAACATCTGATACAATGACCACAGAAGGTCAGACAACATCAGATACAATGACCACAGAAGGTCAGACAACATCTTATACAATGACCACAGAAGGTCAGACGACATCTGATACAATGACCACAGAAGGTCAGACAACATTTGATACAAAGACGACAGAAGGTCAGACAACATCTGATACAGTGACAACAGTTGCCCAGACAACATCTGATAGAACGACCACAGAAGATCAGACAACATCTGATACAATGACAACAGAAGGTCAGACAACATCTGATACAATGACGACAGTAGATCAGACAACATCTGAATCAACAATGACCACAGGAGATCAGACAACACCTGACACAATGACCACAGTAGCTCAGACAACATCTGATACAATGACCACAGAAGGTCAGACAACATCTGAATCAATGACCACAGAAGGTCAGACAACATCTGATACAATGACCACAGAAGGTCAGACAACATCTGATACAATGACAACAGTAGCACAGACAACATCTGATTCAATGACTACAGTAGATCAGACAACATCTGATACAATGACGACAAAAGGTCAGACAACATCTGATACAATGACCACAGAAGGTCAGACAACATCTGATACAATGACCACAGAAAGTCAGACACCATCTGATTCAATGACCACAGTAGCCAAGACAACATCCGATGCAATGACAACATTAGGTCAGACAACATCTGATACAATGACCAAAGAAGGTCAGGCAACATCTGATACAGTGACCACAGAAGGTCAGACAACATCTGAAACAATGACAACAGTAGGTCAGGCAACATCTGATACAATCACCACAGTAGCCCCTGCAACATCTGATACAATGACCACAGGAGATGAGACAACTTTTGACACAATGACCACAGTAGCCCAGACAACATCTGATACAATGACCACAGTAGATCAGACAACATCTGATACAATGACCACAATAGACCAGACAATATCTGATACAATGACAACAGTAGCACAGACAACATCCGATGCAATGACAACAGAAGGTCAGACAACATCTGATACAATGACCACAGAAGGTCAGACAACATCTGATACAATGACCACAGAAGGTCAGACAACATCTGATACAATGACTACAGAAGGTCAGACAACATCTGATACAATGACCACAGTAGATCAGACAACATCTGAATCAATGACCACAGGAGATCAGACAACATCTGACACAATGACCACAGTAGCTCAGACAACATCTGATACAATGACCACAGAAGGTCAGACAACATCTGATACAATGATCACAAAAGGTCAGACAACATTAGATACAATGACCACAAGAGACCAGACAACATCTGATACAATGACGACAGAAGGCCAGGCAATATCTGATACAATGACAACAGTAGCCCAGACAACATCTGATACAATGAGCACAGTTGCTCAGACAACATCTGATACGATGACCACAGAAGGTCAGATAACGTCTGATACAATGACCACAAAAGCTAAGACAACATCTGATGCAATGACCACAGAAGTTCAGTCAACATCTGATACAATGACCACAGAAGGTCAGACAACATCTGATACAATGACCACAGAAGATCAGACAACATCTGATACAATGACCACAGTAGATCAGACAATATCTGATACAATGACCACAGAAGGTCAGACAACATCTGATACAATGACCACAGAAGGTCAGACAACATCTGAAACAATGACAACAGTAGCCCAGACAACATCTGATACAATGACCACAGTAGATCAGACAACATCTGATACAATGACAACAGAAGGTCAGACAACATCTGATACAATGACCACAGAAGGTCAGACAACATCAGATACAATGACCACAGAAGGTCAGACAACATCTTATACAATGACCACAGAAGGTCAGACGACATCTTATACAATGACCACAGAAGGTCAGACAACATTTGATACAAAGACGACAGAAGGTCAGACAACATCTGATACAGTGACAACAGTTGCCCAGACAACATCTGATAGAATGACCACAGAAGATCAGACAACATCTGATACAATGACAACAGAAGGTCAGACAACATCTTATACAATGACGACAGTAGATCAGACAACATCTGAATCAATGACCACAGGAGATCAGACAACACCTGACACAATGACCACAGTAGCTCAGACAACATCTGATACAATGACCACAGAAGGTCAGACAACATCTGAATCAATGACCACAGGAGATCAGACAACATCTGACACAATGACTGCGGTAGCTCAGACAACATCTGACACAATGACCACAGTAGCCCAGACAAGATCTGATACAATGACCACAGAAGGTCAGACAACATCTAATACAATGACCACAGAAGGTCAGACAACATCTGATACAATGACCACAAAAGGTCAGAAAACATCTGATACAATGACGACAGCAGGTCAGACAACATCCGATACAATGACCACAGTAGCCCAGACAACATCTGATTCAATGACCATTGGGGATCAGACAACATCTGGCACAATGACCACAGTAACCCAGACAATATCTGATCCAAAGACCACAGTAGCCCAGACAACATCTGATACAATGACCACAGTAGGTCAGACAATATCTGATACAATGACCACAGTAGCTCAGACAACAGCTGATACAATGACCACAGAAGGTCAGACAACATCTGATACAATGACCACAGTAGCCCAGACAACATCTGATACAATGACCACAGTAGGTCAGACAATATCTGATACAATGACCACAGTAGCTCAGACAACAGCTGATACAATGACCACAGAAGGTCAGACAACATCTGATACAATGACCACAGTAGCCCAGACAATATCTGATACAATGACCACAGAAGATCAGACAATATCTGATACAATGACCACAGAAGGTCAGACAACATCTGATACAATGACAACAGTAGCACAGACAACATCTGATTCAATGACTACAGTAGATCAGACAACATCTGATACAATGACGACAAAAGGTCAGACAACATCTGATACAATGACCACAGAAGGTCAGACAACATCTGATACAATGACGACAGAAGGTCAGACAACATCAGATACAATGACCACAGAAAGTCAGACACCATCTGATACAATGACCACAGAAGGTCAGACAACATCTGATACAATGACAACAGTAGCACAGACAACATCTGATTCAATGACTACAGTAGATCAGACAACATCTGATACAATGACGACAAAAGGTCAGACAACATCTGATACAATGACCACAGAAGGTCAGACAACATCTGATACAATGACGACAGAAGGTCAGACAACATCAGATACAATGACAACATTAGGTCAGACAACATCTGGTACAATGACCACAGAAGGTCAGGCAACATCTGATACAGTGACCACAGAAGGTCAGACATCATCTGATACAATGACAACAGTAGGTCAGACAACATCTGATACAATGACCACAGTAGCCCCTATAACATCTGATACAATGACCACAGGAGATGAGACAACTTCTGACACAACGACCACAGAAGCCAAGACAACATCTGATGCAATGACGACAGAAGGTCAGACAACATCTGATACAATGACCAAAGTGGCCCCTACAACACCTGATACAATGACCACAGGAGATAAGACAACATCTGACACAATGACCACAGAAGCCCAGACAACATCTGATACAATGACCACAGTAGGTCAGACAATATCTGATACAATGACCACAGTAGCTCAGACAACAGCTGATACAATGACCACAGAAGGTCAGACAACATCTGATACAATGACCACAGTAGCCCAGACAATATCTGATACAATGACCACAGAAGATCAGACAATATCTGATACAATGACCACAGAAGGTCAGGCAACATCTGATACAATGACAACAGTAGCACAGACAACATCTGATTCAATGACTACAGTAGATCAGACAACATCTGATACAATGATGACAAAAGGTCAGACAACATCTGATACAATGACCACAGAAGGTCAGACAACATCTGATACAATGACGACAGAAGGTCAGACAACATCAGATACAATGGCCACAGAAAGTCAGACACCATCTGATACAATGACCACAGAAGGTCAGACAACATCTGATACAATGACAACAGTAGCACAGACAACATCTGATTCAATGACTACAGTAGATCAGACAACATCTGATACAATGACGACAAAAGGTCAGACAACATCCGATGCAATGACAACATTAGGTCAGACAACATCTGGTACAATGACCACAGAAGGTCAGGCAACATCTGATACAATGACCACAGAAGGTCAGACAACATCTGAATCAATGACCACAGGAGATCAGACAACATCTGACACAATGACCGCAGTAGCTCAGACAACATCTGATACAATGACGACAGAAGGTCAGACAACATCAGATACAATGGCCACAGAAAGTCAGACACCATCTGATACAATGACCACAGAAGGTCAGACAACATCTGATACAATGACAACAGTAGCACAGACAACATCTGATTCAATGACTACAGTAGATCAGACAACATCTGATACAATGACGACAAAAGGTCAGACAACATCCGATGCAATGACAACATTAAGTCAGACAACATCTGGTACAATGACCACAGAAGGTCAGGCAACATCTGATACAATGACCACAGAAGGTCAGACAACATCTGAATCAATGACCACAGGAGATCAGACAACACCTGACACAATGATCACAGTAGCTCAGACAACATCTGATACAATGACCACAGAAGGTCAGACAACATCTGAATCAATGACCACAGGAGATCAGACAACATCTGACACAATGACCGCAGTAGCTCAGACAACATCTGACACAATGACCACAGTAGCCCAGACAAGATCTGATACAATGACCACAGAAGGTCAGACAACATCTAATACAATGACCACAGAAGGTCAGACAACATCTGATACAATGACCACAAAAGGTCAGAAAACATCTGATACAATGACGACAGCAGGTCAGACAACATCCGATACAATGACCACAGTAGCCCAGACAACATCTGATTCAATGACCATTGGGGATCAGACAACATCTGGCACAATGACCACAGTAGCCCAGACAATATCTGATCCAAAGACCACAGTAGCCCAGACAACATCTGATACAATGACCACAGTAGGTCAAACAATATCTGATACAATGACCACAGTAGCTCAGACAACAGCTGATACAATGACCACAGAAGGTCAGACAACATCTGATACAATGACCACAGTAGCCCAGACAACATCTGATACAATGACCACAGTAGGTCAGACAATATCTGATACAATGACCACAGTAGCTCAGACAGCAGCTGATACAATGACCACAGAAGGTCAGACAACATCTGATACAATGACCACAGTAGCCCAGACAATATCTGATACAATGACCACAGAAGATCAGACAATATCTGATACAATGACCACAGAAGGTCAGACAACATCTGATACAATGACAACAGTAGCACAGACAACATCTGATTCAATGACTACAGTAGATCAGACAACATCTGATACAATGACGACAAAAGGTCAGACAACATCTGATACAATGACCACAGAAGGTCAGACAACATCTGATACAATGACGACAGAAGGTCAGACAACATCAGATACAATGACCACAGAAAGTCAGACACCATCTGATACAATGACCACAGAAAGTCAGACAACATCTGATACAATGACAACAGTAGCACAGACAACATCTGATTCAATGACTACAGTAGATCAGACAACATCTGATACAATGACGACAAAAGGTCAGACAACATCCGATGCAATGACAACATTAGGTCAGACAACATCTGGTACAATGACCACAGAAGGTCAGGCAACATCTGATACAGTGACCACAGAAGGTCAGACAACATCTGATACAATGACAACAGTAGGTCAGACAACATCTGATACAATGACCACAGTAGCCCCTATAACATCTGATACAATGACCACAGGAGATGAGACAACTTCTGACACAACGACCACAGAAGCCAAGACAACATCTGATGCAATGACGACAGAAGGTCAGACAACATCTGATACAATGACCACAGTGGCCCCTACAACACCTGATACAATGACCACAGGAGATAAGACAACATCTGACACAATGACCACAGAAGCCCAGACAACATCTGATATAATGACCACAGTAAGTCAGACAACATCTGATACAATGACCACAGTAGGTCAGACAACATCTGATACAATGACCACAGAAGGTCAGACAACATCTGATACAATGACCACAGTAGATCAGACAACATCTGAATCAATGACCACAGTAGATCAGACAACATCTGAATCAATGACCACAGAAGGTCAGACAACATCTGACACAATGACCACAGAAGGTCAGACAACATCTGAATCAATGACCACAGAAGGTCAGACAACATCTGATTCAATGACAACAGTAGCCCAGACAACACCTGATACAATGACGACAGTAGCCCAGACAACATCTGATTCAATGACAACAGTAGCCCAGACAACACCTGATACAATGACGACAGTAGCCCAGACAACATCTGATACAATGACCACAGAAGGTAAGACAACATCTGATACAATGACCACAAAAGGTCAGACAACATCTGACACAATGACAACAGAAGGTCAGACAACATCTGATACAATGACCACAGTAGGTCAGACAACATCTGATAAATTGACCACAGTAGATCACACAACATCTGATACAATGACCACAGAAGGTCAGACAACATCTGATACAATGACCACAGAAGGTCAGACAACATCTGATACAATGACAACAGTAGCCCAGATAACATCTGATACAATGACCACAGTAGACCAGACAACATCTGATACAAAGACAACAGAAGGTCAGACAACATCTGATACACTGACCACAGTAGCCCAGACAACGTCTGATACAATAACCACAGTAGACCAGACAACATCTGATTTAATGACCACAGTAGATCAGACAACATCTGATACAATGACCACAGAAGGTCAGACAACATCTGATACAATGACAAAAGAAGGTCAGACAACATCTGATACAATGACAAGAGTAGCCCAGACAACATCTGATACAATGACCACATTAGCCCAGACAACATCTGATTCAATGACCACAGTAGCCCAGACAACATCTGATACAATGACCACAGAAGGTCAGACAACATCTGATACAATGACGACAGAAGGTCAGACAACATCTGATACAATGACAACAGTAGCCCAGACAGCATCTGATACAATGACCACAGAAGGTCAGACAACATCTGACACAATGACCACAGTAGCCCAGACAACATCTGACACAATTACCACAGTAGCTCAGACAACATCTGATACAATGACCACAGAAGGTCAGACAACATCTGATACAATGACCACAGGAGATCAGACAACATCTGACACAATGACCACAGTAGCCCAGACAACATCTGATGCAATGACCACCGTAGGTCAGACAGCATCTGATACAATGACAACAGTAGCCAAGACAACATCTGATACAATGACCACAATTGACCAGACAACGTCTGACACAATGACCACAATAGACCAGACAAGATCTAATACAATGTTCACCAGCATGGGATCTACTCTTTCCCAACTAGGTATTAACAGATTCATTCTTAGTTTGATTAAGATAAATCTATAGCTTCCTATACCAAAGCTTGTCTTAATAGCTTCAACATCCTTTGACTGCTTTTCATGACCTTAAACTTTTTATAACCTCAAATATATCATAATAAGTTATACTAATGAGTTTGATGCACTTAATATGTAATGTACATATTCATGTCTATTACTAACGTGATTATCTTTGTTACTAACAAAAAATACTAATTTGCATACCTTACAGATACCACTGATCCAATTACCACTGTAACAACTGAAATAACCTCTGGATCAGCTGAAAAAACCACTGGAGCTGCTGAAATAACCACTGGAGCTTCTGAAGTAACCACTAGAGCTTTTGAAGTAACCACTGGGGCTGCTGAAATAACCACTAGAGCTTCTGAAGTAACCACTAGAGCTTCTGAAGTAACCACTGGAGCTTCTGAAGTAACCACTGGAGCTTCTGAAGTAACCACTGGGGCCGCTGAAATAACCAGTGCACCAGCTGAAAGAACCACTGCACATACTGATTTCACAACTAAAATAGCTGAAATAACCACTGGAGAAGCTGAAATATCTACTGAAGGAGCTGAAATAACCACTGACCTTGTTGAAATGACCACTCGAACAGATGAAATATCCACCAGAGCAGCTGAAATCACCACGGGAGCAGCAGAAATAACCAGTGCACCAGATGAAATCACCACAAAGGGAACTGAAATAACCAGTGTACCAGCTGAAATAACTACTGAAGGACCTGAAATAACCACTGACATTGCTGACATAACCACAAAAGGAGCTGAAATAACCACTGCACCAGCTGAAATAACCACTGAATCAGCTGCAATAACTACTGAAGGAGCTGAAATAACCACCGACTCTGCTGAAATTATCACTGGATCAGCTGAAATAACTACTGAAGGAGCTGAAATAACCACCTACCCTGCTGCAATTACCACTGAAGCAGCTGAAACAACCACTAGAGCTGCTGAAATGACCACTGAAGTACCTGAAATCACCAGCACACCAGCTGAAATTACCACTGAAGAAGCTGAAATAACCAGTGCACTAACTGAAACGAGCACTGGACCAGCTGAAATATCCACTGGATCAGCTGAAATAACCACTGGAGCAGTTGAAATTACCACAGAAGTAGCTGAAATAACCAGTGCACAAGCTGAAATAACCACTGACCTTGAAATGACCACTAAAGCAGCTGAAATATCCACTGGATCAGCTGAAATGACAACTGAAGCAGCTGAAATAACCACTGGAGCAGCTGAAATAACCACTGGAGCAGTGGAAATAACTACTGGAGCAGTGGAAATAACTACTGGGGCAGCTAAAATAACTACTGAAGGACCTGAAATAACCACTGGTCCTGCTGAAATAACCACTAGAACAGTGGAAATAACTACTAGGGCAGCTGAAATAACCACTGATCCTGCTGAAATGACCACTGGAGCAGTTGAAATAACTACTGGATCAGCTGAAATAACTACTGACCCTGCTGAAATAACCACTGGAGCAGTGGAAATAACTACTAGGGCAGCTGAAATAACCACTGGCTCTGCTGAAATAACCACTGGAGCAGTGGAAATAACTACTAGGGCAGCTGAAATAACCAGTGATCCTGCTGAAATAACCACTAGAGCAGTTGAAATAACCACTGGATCAGCTAAAATAACTACTGACCGTGCTGAAATAACCACTGGAGCAGTGGAAATAACTACTGGGGCAACTGATATAACTACTGAAGGACCTGAAATAACCACTGATCCTGCTGAAATGACCACTAGAGCCGCTGAAATAACTACTAGGGCAGCTGAAATAACCACTGACCCTGCTGAAATAACCACTGGAGCAGTTGAAATAACTACTAGGGCAGCTGAAATAACTACTGAAGGACCTGAAATAACCACTGATCCTGCTGAAATGACCACTAGAGCAGCTGAAATAACTACTGACCCTGCTGAAATAACCACTGGAACAGTGGAAATAACTACTGGGGCTGCTGAAATAACCACTGATCCTGCTGAAATGACCACGGGAGCATTCGAAATAACCACTGACCCTGCTGAAATAACCACTGATCCTGCTGAAATGACTACTGGAGCAGTGGAAATAACTACTGGGGCAGCTGAGATAACCAGTGCACCAGCTGAAATAACCACTGGAGCAATGATAATAACTACTGAAGGAGCTGTAATAACCACTGATCCTGCTGAAATGACCACAAGATCAGCTAAAATAAATACTGACCCTGCTGAAATAACCACTGGAGCAGTGGAAATTACTACTGGTGCAACTGAAATAACTACTGAAGGACCTGAAATAACCACTGATCCTGCTGAAATGACCACTGGAGCAGCTGAAATAACAACTGACCCTGCTGAAATAACCACTGGAGCAGTGGAAATAACTACTGAAGGAGCTGAAATAACCACTGATCCTGCAGAAATGACCACTGGAGAAGCTGGAATTACCACTGACCCTGCTGAAATAACCACTGCAGAAGCTGAAATAACAACTGACCCTGCTGAAATAACCACTGGAGCAGTTGAAATAACCACTGGATCAGCTGAAATAACTACTGACCCTGCTGAAATAACCACTGGAGCAGTGGAAATAACTACTGGGGCAGCTGAAATTTCTACCGAAGGACCTGAGATAACTACTGATCCTGCTGAAATGACCACAAGATCAGCTGAAATAACCACTGACCCTGCTGAAATAACCACTGGAGCAGTGGAAATAACTACTAGGGCAGCTGAAATAACCACTGATCCTGCTGAAATGACCACTAGAGCAGTTGAAATAACCACTGGATCAGCTATAATAACTACTGACCCTGCTGAAATAACCACTGGAGCAGTGGAAATAACTACTGGGGCAGCTGAAATAACTACTGAAGGACCTGAAATAACCACTGATCCTGCTGAAATGACCACTAGAGCAGCTGAAATAACCACTGACCCTGCTGAAAGAACCACCAGAGCAGTGGAAATAACTACTGGGGCAGCTGAAATAACTACTGAAGGACCTGAAATGACCACTAGAGCAGCCGAAATAACCACTGACCCTGCTGAAATAACCACTGGAGCAGTGGAAATAACTACTGGGACAGCTGAAATAACCACTGATCCTGCTGAAATGACCACGGGAGCATTTGAAATAACCACTGACCCTGCTAAAATAACCACTGATCCTGCTGAAATGACTACTGGAGCAGTGGAAATAACTACTGGGGCAGCTGAGATAACCAGTGCACCAGCTGAAATAACCACTGGAGCAGTGATAATAACTACTGAAGGACCTGAAATAACCACTGATCCTGCTGAAATGACCACAAGATCAGATAAAATAACTACTGACCCTGCTGAAATAACCACTGGAGCAGTGGAAATTACTACTGGTGCAGCTGAAATAACTACTGAAGGACCTGAAATAACCACTGATCCTGCTGAAATGACCACTAGAGCAGCTGAAATAACCACTGGAGCAGTGGAAATAACAACTGAAGGACCTGAAATAACCACTGATCCTGCTGAAATGACCACTGGAGCAGTGGAAATAACTACTGGGGCAGCTGAAATAACTACTGAAGGACCTGAAATAACCACTGATCCTGCTGAAATGACCACTGGAGCAGCTGAAATAACCACTGACCCTGCTGAAAGAACCACTAGAGCAGTGGAAATAACTACTGGGGCAGCTGAAATAACTACTGAAGGACCTGAAATGACCACTAGAGCAGCTGAAATAACCACTGACCCTGCTGAAATAACCACTGGAGCAGTGGAAATAACTACTGGGGCAGCTGAAATAACCACTGATCCTGCTGAAATAACCACTGGAGCAGTGGAAATAACTACTGGGGCAGCTGAAATAACTACTGAAGGACCTGAAATAACCACTGACCCTGCTGAAAGAACCACTAGAGCAGTGGAAATAACTACTGGGGCAGCTGAAATAACTACTGAAGGACCTGAAATGACCACTAGAGCAGCTGAAATAACCACTGACCCTGCTGAAATAACCACTGGAGCAGTGGAAATAACTACTGGGGCAGCTGAAATAACCACTGATCCTGCTGAAATGACCACAGGAGCATTCGAAATAACCACTGACCCTGCTGAAATAACCACCGATCCTGCTGAAATGACTACTGGAGCAGTGGAAATAACTACTGGGGCAGCTGAGATAACCAGTGCACAAGCTGAAATAACCACTGGAGCAGTGATAATAACTACTGAAGGACCTGAAATAACCACTGATCCTGCTGAAATGACCACAAGATCAGCTAAAATAACTACTGACCCTGCTGAAATAACCACTGGAGCAGTGGAAATTACTACTGGTGCAGCTGAAATAACTACGAAAGGACCTGAAATAACCACTGATCCTGCTGAAATGACCACTAGAGCAGCTGAAATAACCACTGGAGCAGTGGAAATAACTTCTAGGGCAGCTGAAATAACCAGTGCACCAGCTGAAATGACCACTGGAGCAGCTGAAATAACCACTGATTCCGCTGAAATAACTACTAGAGCAGCTGAAATAACCACTGGAGCAGTTAAAATAACTACTGGGTCAGCTGAGATAACCAGTGCACCTGCTGAAATAACCACTGCAGCAGTGGAATTAACTACTGGGGCAGCTGAAATAACCACTGATCCTGCTGAAATGACCACAAGATCAGCTAAAATAACTACTGACCCTGCTGAAATAACCACTGGAGCAGTGGAAATTACTACTGGTGCAGCTGAAATAACTACTAAAGGACCTGAAATAACCACTGATCCTGCTGAAATGACCACTAGAGCAGCTGAAATAACCACTGGAGCAGTGGAAATAACTACTGAAGGACCTGAAATAACCACTGATCCTGCTGAAATGACCACTGGAGCAGTGGAAATAACTACTGGGGCAGCTGAAATAACTACTGAAGGACCTGAAATAACCACTGATCCTGCTGAAATGACCACTGGAGCAGCTGAAATAACCACTGACCCTGCTGAAAGAACCACTAGAGCAGTGGAAATAACTACTGGGGCAGCTGAAATAACTACTGAAGGACCTGAAATGACCACTAGAGCAGCTGAAATAACCACTGACCCTGCTGAAATAACCACTGGAGCAGTGGAAATAACTACTGGGGCAGCTGAAATAACCACTGATCCTGCTGAAATAACCACTGGAGCAGTGGAAATAACTACTGGGGCAGCTGAAATAACTACTGAAGGACCTGCAATAACCACTGATCCTGCTGAAATGACCACTGGAGCAGCTGAAATAACCACTGACCCTGCTGAAAGAACCACTAGAGCAGTGGAAATAACTACTGGGGCAGCTGAAATAACTACTGAAGGACCTGAAATGACCACTAGAGCAGCTGAAATAACCACTGACCCTGCTGAAATAACCACTGGAGCAGTGGAAATAACTACTGGGGCAGCTGAAATAACCACTGATCCTGCTGAAATGACCACAGGAGCATTCGAAATAACCACTGACCCTGCTGAAATAACCACCGATCCTGCTGAAATGACTACTGGAGCAGTGGAAATAACTACTGGGGCAGCTGAGATAACCAGTGCACAAGCTGAAATAACCACTGGAGCAGTGATAATAACTACTGAAGGACCTGAAATAACCACTGATCCTGCTGAAATGACCACAAGATCAGCTAAAATAACTACTGACCCTGCTGAAATAACCACTGGAGCAGTGGAAATTACTACTGGTGCAGCTGAAATAACTACTAAAGGACCTGAAATAACCACTGATCCTGCTGAAATGACCACTAGAGCAGCTGAAATAACCACTGGAGCAGTGGAAATAACTACTAGGGCAGCTGAAATAACCAGTGCACCAGCTGAAATGACCACTGGAGCAGCTGAAATAACCACTGATTCCGCTGAAATAACTACTAGAGCAGCTGAAATAACCACTGGAGCAGTTAAAATAACTACTGGGTCAGCTGAGATAACCAGTGCACCTGCTGAAATAACCACTGCAGCAGTGGAATTAACTACTGGGGCAGCTGAAATAACCAGTGCACCAGCTGAAATAACCACTGGAGCAGTGGAAATAACTACTGAAGGACCCGAAATAACCACTGCTCCTGCTGAAATCACTACTAGAGCAGCTGAACTAACCACTGGAGCAGTGGAAATAACTACTGGGGCAGCTGAAATAACCAGTGCACCAGCTGAAATAACTACTGGGGCAGCTGAAATAACCAGTTTACCAGCTGAAATTACCACAGTAGGAGCTGAAATAACAAGTGCACCAGCTGAATTAACCACTGGAGCATTGGAAATAACTACTGAAGGACCTGAAATAACTACTGGGGCAGCTGAAATAACCACTGATCCTGCTGAAATAACCACTGGAGCAGTGGAAATAACTACTGGGGCAGCTGAAATAACTACTGAAGGACCTGAAATAACCACTGATCCTGCTGAAATGACCACTGGAAAAGCTGAAATAACAACTGACCCTGCTGAAATAACCACTGGATCAGTGGAAATAACTAGTGGGGCAGCTGAAATAACCAGTTTACCAGCTGAAATTACCACAGTAGGAGCTGAAATAACAAGTGCACCAGCTGAATTAACCACTGGAGCAGTGGAAATAACTACTGAAGGACCTGAAATAACCACTGATCCTGCTGAAATGACCACTGGAGCAGCTGAAATAACAACTGACCCTGCTGAAATAACCACTGGAGCAGTGGAAATAACTAGTGGGGCAGCTGAAAAAACCAGTGCACCAGCTGACATTACCACAGTAGGAGCTGAAATAACCAGTGCACCAGCTGAAATAACCACTGGAGCAGTGGAAATAACTACTGAAGGACCTGAAGTAACCACTGATCCTGCTGAAATGACCACTGGAGCAGCTGAAATAACAACTGACCCTGCTGAAATAACCACTGGAGCAGTGGAAATAACTAGTGGGGCAGTTGAAATAACCAGTTTGCCAGCTGAAATTACCACAGTAGGAGCTGAAATAACAAGTGCACCAGCTGAATTAACCACTGGATCAGCTGAAATGACCACTGGAGCAGCTGAATCAACAACTGACCCTGCTGAAATAACCACTGGATCAGCTGAAATAACTACTGAAGGAGCTGAAATAACCAGTGCACAAGCTGAATTAACCACTGGATCAGCTGAAATAACTACCGAAGGAGCTGAAATAACCAGTGCACCAGCTGGAATAACCACTGAAGGAGCTGAAATAACCACTAGAGCAGTGGAAATAACTACTGACCCTGCTAAAATAACCACTGGAGCAGTGGAAATAAGTACTGGAGCAGCTGAAATAACCACTAAAGGAGCTGAAATAACCACTGATCCTGCTGAAATGACCACTGGAGCAGCTAAAATTACCACTGACCCTGCTGAAATAACCACTGATCCTGCTGAAATAACCACTGGTGCAGTGGAAATAACTACTGGGGCAGCTGAAATAACTACTGAAGGACCTGAAATAACCACTGATCCTGCTGAAATGACCACTGGAGCAGCTGAAATAACAACTGACCCTGCTGAAATAACCACTGGTGCAGTTGAAATAACTACTGGGGCAGCTGAGAGAACCAGTGCACCAGCTGAAATAACCACTGCAGCAGTGGAAATAACTACTGAAGGACCTGAAATAACTACTGATCCTGCTGAAATGACCACAAGATCAGCTGAAATAACAACTGACCCTGCTGAAATAACCACTGGAGCAGTGGAAATAACTACTGGGGAAGCTGAAAAAACCAGTGCACCAGCTGACATTACCACAGTAGGAGCTGAAATAACCAGTGCACCAGCTGAAATAACCACTGGAGCAGTGGAAATAACTACTGAAGGACCTGAAATAACCACTGATCCTGCTGAAATGACCACTGGAGCAGCTGAAATAACAACTGACACTGCTGAAATAACCACTGGAGCAGTGGAAATAACTAGTGGGGCAGCTGAAATAACCAGTTTACCAGCTGAATTAACCACTGGATCAGCTGAAATGACCACTGGAGCAGCTGAAATAACAACTGACCCTGCTGAAATAACCACTGGATCAGCTGAAATAACTACTGAAGGAGCTGAAATAACCAGTGCACCAGCTGAAATAACCACTGAAGGAGCTGAAATAACCACTGGAGCAGTGGAAATAACTACTGACCCTGCTGAAATTACCACTGGAGCAGTGGAAGTAACTACTGGAGCAGCTGAAATAACCACTAAAGGAGCTGAAATAACCACTGCACCAGCTCAAATATCCACTGGATCAGCTGAAATAACTACTGAAGGAGCTGAAATAACCACAGACTCTGCTGAAATTACCACTGGGGCAGCTGAAATAACCACCACAGTAGCTGAAATAACCACTAGAGAACAAGTTGAAATAACCACTGAAATACCTGGTATAACCAGTGAACCAGCTGAAATCACCACCAAAAAAACTGAAATTACCAGTGCAGCAGCTGAAATTACCACTAAAGGAGCTGAAATAACCAGTGCACCAGCTGAAATTACCACAGAAGGAGTTAAAATAACCAGTGAACCATCTGAAATAACCACAAAAGAAGATGAACTATCCAGTTTACCAGCTGAAATAACCACTGAAGGAGCTGAAATAACCAGTGCACCAGCTGAAATCACCACAGATGGAGTTGAAATAACCAGTGCACCATATGAAATTACATCAAAAGAAGCTGAAATAACCAGTGCACCATCTGAAATTACCACAGTAGGAGCTGAAATAACCAGTGCATCATCTGAAATTACAACAAAAGAAACTGAAATAACCAGTGCACCATCTGAAATTACAACAAAAGAAGCTGAAAAAACCACAGAAATAGCTGAAATAACCAGTGCACAATCTGAAATTACAACAAAAGAAGCTGAAATAACCAGTGCACCATCTGAAATCACAACAAAAGAAGCTGAAATAACCAGTGCACCATCTGAAATTACAACAAAAGAAGCTGAAATAACCAGTGCACCATCTGAAATTACAACAAAAGAAGCTGAAATAACCAGTATACCATCTGAAATTACAACAAAAGAAGCTGAAATAACCAGTGCACCATCTGAAATTACAACAAAAGAAGCTGAAATAACCAGTGCACCATCTGAAATTACAACAAAAGAAGGTGAAATAACCAGTGCACCATCTGGAATTACAACAAAAGAAGCTGAAATAACCAGTGCACCAGCTGAAATAACCAGTGCACCAGCTGAAATTACCACAGAAGGAGCTGAAATAACCAGCACACAATCGGAAATTACAACAAAAGAAGCTGAAATAACCAGTGCACCATCTGAAATCACAACAAAAGAAGCTGAAATAACCAGTGCACCATCTGAAATTACAACAAAAGAAGCTGAAATAACCAGTGCACCATCTGAAATTACAACAAAAGAAGCTGAAATGACCAGTGCACCAGCTGAAATAACCAGTGCACCAGCTGAAATTACCACAGAAGGAGCTGAAATAACCAGCGCACAATCTGAAATTACAACAAAAGAAGCTGAAATAACCAGTGCACCATCTGAAATCACAACAAAAGAAGCTGAAATAACCAGTGCACCATCTGAAATTACAACAAAAGAAGCTGAAATAACCAGTGCACCATCTGAAATTACAACAAAAGAAGCTGAAATAACCAGTGCACCATCTGAAATTACAACAAAAGAAGCTGAAATAACCAGTGCACCAGCTGAAATTACCACAGAAGGAGCTGATATAACCAGTGCACAATCTGAAATTACAACAAAAGAAGCTGAAATGACCAGTGCACCAGCTGAAATAACCAGTGCATCAACTGAAATTACCACTGATGGAGCTGGATTAACCAGTTCACCAGCTGAAATGACCACAGAAGGAGTTGAAATAACCAGTGCACCAGCTGAAATAACCACAGAAGGAGGTGAAATTACCAGTGAACCATCTGAAATAACCACAAAAGAAGCTGAACTTACCAGTTTACCAGCTGAAATAACCAGTGAAGGAGCTGAAATAACCAGTGCACCAGCTGAAATTACAACAAAAGAAGCTGAAATAACCAGTTCACAAGCTGAAATAACCACTGGAGCAGCTGAAACAACCACAGAAATAGCTGAAATAACCAGTGCGCAATCTGAAATTACAACAAAAGAAGCTGAAATGACCAGTGCACCAGCTGAAATAACCAGTGCATCAACTGAAATTACCACTGATGGAGCTGGATTAACCAGTTCACCAGCTGAAATGACCACGGAAGGAGTTGAAATAACCAGTGCACCAGCTGAAATAACCACTGAAGGAGCTGGAATAACCAGTGCATCAGCTGAAATAACCACAGAAGGAGCTGAAATAACCAGCACACCAGCTGGAATAACCACTGGAGCAACTGAAATAACTACTAGAGCCTCTGAAATAACCACTGGAGCGGCTGGAACTACCACAGAAGAAGCTGTAATCACTAGTACACCAGCTGAAATATCCACTGGAGCAGCTGAAATAACTACTGGAGCAGCTGAAATAACCACTGGAACAGCTGATATAACCACTAGAGCAGCTGAAATTACCACAAAAGGAGCTGAAATAACCAGTGCATCAGCTGAAATTACCACAGAAGGAGTTGAAATAACCACTGGAGCAGCTGAAATAACCACTGAATCAGCTGAAATAACCAGTGCATTAGCTGAAATTACCACAGAAGGAGTTGAAATAACCACTGGAGCAGCTGAAATAACCACTGAATCAGAAATAACCACTGCACCAGCTGAAATTACAACGCATGAGTTTACTGATATTACTAACCCTACATATACCAAACAAGGTACTCACACGCATGTTATTTTACTTAACAATGTATCAGGCATGAACTAATAAAGTAGATTCAAACTAATTTCTCCTGCATCTAGTTGCATGCAGTTTAATATTTTGTAGTAGTAAAAATAACTTGCACTCTAATTCCCCATTCCCATCTATTTTCAATTTCGGTTTTTATTAGCTCACATTGTGAGCTATTGCAATCACTCACTGCCTACCTGTCTGACACATTTAAAAACCTCTGTCAGTAGTATACCTGTTCAAAGTTATTTTTATATATTATTTTATAAACCAATAACTCCTGGTTCAAAATCTTGTATTTTTAAAATGGCTGTGATTTTTGTTGCACAAAATTCAGCTTTGACTCAACATGCATTTTTACAAGTATATACTCATATTATGTACAGTATAACCAATAAGGTGTAAAAATCTCAATATAGATTATTAAAAAAATCAAAATGGCCACCACTTTTGTCCGGTGGCAAATATCACTTTTGATTTTGAAGCCAAAGCTAAGGAATTATCGTTTGGAGTTGCATTATATCTCCAGATATGTAGTAAGTCTAGAAAAAAATAACTAGAAAAATTCAAAAGGGCCGTCACTTTAGCATGAAATTAAAGTCTGGACAAAAATTTTGCAGCCAAGTTCAGGAATTATTGCTTCTATTTGTATAATTAAAATGTATGGGTATCAAGTGAGCCCAGTACCCATGGTACCATTTATTACATCAAATCAGAACTGCCAAGTCCCATATTATTAAATGACCATAATTACTCACATTGTACCATTTCCAGACACGACAGTCATACAAGGTATTACTACTGAAGGGACTAGAGTAACCACAGAAGGAGCAGCAGTGACCAGTGAAGGGGTAGTAATAACTACTGAAGGGGCTGCAGTGACCACTGATGGGGCTGCAGTAACCACAGATGGGGCTGCAGTAACTACTGATGGGGCTGCAATAACTACTAAAGGGGCTGCAGTAACTACTGATGGGGCCGCAGTAACCACTGATCGGGCTGCAGTAACTACTGATGGGGCTGCAGTAACTACTGATGGGGCTGCAGTAACTACTGATGGGGCTGCAGTAACCACTGATCCGGCTGCAGTAACTACTGATCGGGCTGCAGTAACTACTGATGGGGCTGCAGTAACCACTGATCGGGCTGCAGTAACTACTGATGGGGCTGCTGGAACTACTGATGGGGCTGCGGTAACTACTGATGGGGCCGCAGTAACCACTGATGGGGCCGCAGTAACCACTGATCGGGCTGCAGTGACCACTGATGGGGCCGCAGTAACCTCTGATCGGGCTGCAGTAACCACTGATGGGGCTGCAGTAACCACTGATCGGGCTGCAGTAACTACTGATGGGGCTGCAGTAACCACTGATGGGGCTGCAGTAACCACTGATGGGGTTGCAGTAACCTCTGATCGGGCTGCAGTAACCACTGATGGGGCTGCAGTAACCACTGATCGGGCTGCAGTAACTACTGATGGGGCTGCAGTAACCACTGATGGGGCTGCAGTAACCACTGATGGGGCTGCAGTAACCACTGCTCAGGCTGCAGTAACTACTGGTTGGGCTGCAGTAACCACTGATGGGGCTGCAGTAACCACTGATGGGGCCTCACTTACCACTAAAGAGGCTGTACTAACCACTGAAGAGGCTGCAGTAACCACTGATGGGGCCGCAGTAACCACTGATCGGGCTGCAGTAACTACTGCTGGGGCTGCAGTTACCACTGATGGGGCCGCAGTAACCACTGAAGGAGCTGCAGTAACCACTGATGGGGCTGCAGTAACCACTGATGGGGCCGCAGTAACCACTGAAGGAGCTGCAGTAACCACCGATGGGGCTGCAGTAACCACTGATGGGGCTGCAGTTACCACTGATAAGACTGCAGTAACTACTGAAGGGGTTACAGGAATCACTGATGGGGCTGCAGTAACCACTGATGGGGCCTCAGTAACCACTGATGGAGCTGCAGTAACCACTGATGGGGCCTCACTTACCACTAAAGAGCCTGCAGTAACCACTGATGGGGCTGCAGTAAGCACTGATGGGGCTGCAGTAAGCACTGATGGAGCTGCAGTTACCACTGATGAGACTGCACTTACCACTAAAGGGGTTGTAGTAACCACTGAAGGGGCTGTACTAACCACTGATGGGGCCTCACTTACTACTAAAGAGGCTGCAGTAACCACTGATGGGGCTGCAGTAACCACTGATGGGGCCGCAGTAACCACTGATGGAGCTGCAGTAACCACTGATGGGGCCTCACTTACCACTAAAGAGCCTGCAGTAACCACTGATGGGGCTGCAGTAAGCACTGATGGGGCTGCAGTAAGCACTGATGGAGCTGCAGTTACCACTGATGAGACTGCACTTACCACTAAAGGGGTTGTAGTAACCACTGAAGGGGCTGTACTAACCACTGATGGGGCCTCACTTACCACTAAAGAGGCTGCAGTAACCACTGATGGGGCTGCAGTAACCACTGATGGGGCTGCAGTAACCACTGATGGAGCTGCAGTTACCACTAAAAGGGCTGCAGTAACCACTGATGGGGCTGCAGTAACCACTGATTTGGCCTCAATAACCACTGATGGAGCTGCAATAAGCACTGATGGGGCCTCACTTACTACTAAAGAGGCTGTACTAACCACTGAAGAGGCTAAAGTAACCACTGATGGGGCTGCAGTAACCACTGATGGAGCTGCAATTACCACTGATGAGGCTGCACTTACCACTAAAGGGGTTGTAGTAACCACTGAAGAGGCTAAAGTAACCACTGATGGTTCTGCAGTAACCACCAAAGGGGCCCAAATAACCACAGAAACAACCACATTGCCTGGTAAGAATTACTTGAATTTGCTTAAAAATTATTTGATCATATAGGAAACAAAAAAATCTTAAACTTATCTTATATTTCTTTTTAGGAGCTTATTTGAAATTGAAGATTCCTCGATCAAATTACAATGATGTATCATTGTTACCTATTGGATTGAATGATATTTAAAATAAGCCTAGAAAAACTTTATTTGAGCATAATTTTGTTTTAGTAGATTTTTATCCCATCCAACGAAGTTCAGGGGATATAGAGAGCCTCTGCATGTTTGTACCTCTGTCTGTATGTATGTTGGCCCAATATCATTATATTTTATCTGTACACCCTTTGTGAGTACAAGTTCTACTCAAAAGCTGATTTTCAAAATGGCGGCCATTTTAGTGTTAATTTTACAGAATTTTAGGTACAACATATTAAAGTGTTGTTTTAAATGCAAAAAGATTTTCAGGATATTGTGAACATAAGTTGAAAAAATGGTGACCGATACACAATATTTTACAATATTAATTGCTGTAACAGGAGAAGTAGTATCTTTTTCATTTGATAATCTTTTTCATTTGATAATATTTTTCATTTGATAATATGTGAATACATTTACTTATAAGCATGGTACACAATGATACTTTGGCTAGTAGGCAGCCATTTTAAAATGGCCACCATTTTAACGTGTTATTTTACGTATTTGACTATAACTCAAAATGTACTGGAGCAATTTTATTGAAATTTTATAGTTTAGTTTAGTTGACTACTAGAAGCATGTTACACTTTTTATGACAATTTGGATAATATGCGGCCATTGTTCAAGAGACTGCCATTTTATGTGTTTTTATGTGAAATTTGAAATGTGACTACTTATAGAAAGTATAATATTACACTTTCTCATGACAATTTAGCCAGTAACCTGCCATTTTAAAAATTAGTGGCTAGTTTCAAATATATTATTTTATGTTGTTGCTTTAACGGAAAAGTGAGGCGATTTTGTTGAAATGACAATTTGGCTAATTGATGGCCATTCTCAAAAATAGCAGCCATGGCCGTCTGATGGGATTTGCAGCACCTTGGTGTTGCTGTTATCTAGTTTCATATATACATGTAGATTTGTCAAAGGTAGATGTAATAGATGCTAAGAAATTTTGCAATAAGACCTTGTATCCAACACCCTTTCTAAGGCCTAAGTTGGGGAGAAGAGATGGATGTTGTATGTAATGCTATCTTCAATAATTTTAATACATATATCTGTAAAAATGGATGAAATATGATTGGACCATGATTGTTCCCCATAAATGCCCTATGGATCATTTTGTTTAAAATGTAGAACTGAATTCTCTATTAGAAGGCAAAGATACTTATTTGCTACACCCCTGATTCCCTGACAGGATATATTTAAATTCATATTAGTGATATATAATACAACCTATTAAAATCTATTAGAATCTATGTGTATACTGTACATTGTTATTGATAATTTACAATATGCTTATGTTACTTTCCTTGCAAAAATATGTAATATATTAAATATAGTATTGATTTATGATACTATTGCAATTTATTAATGTTGGAAATCATTTCAATGATGTATTTACATTCTTGTAAGACTTATTAAACTTCAATATGAAAATCAATTATGCTCATCTTACATTAAAATACTGTAAAGCATGATTATTTTTGGTGAAATATAATTTTCAATAAAGCCTACAACAGGCTGTATCTTATCTAAAAATATTTTTAAAAACAAATAGCAAAGTACAATTGTTATGTATTGAACGAAACTAAACAATTCATATTGCTAATTTAAACTTGAAATTCTATAAAATATTTTCCCAAAATATTATTTTTCAGTAAAAAATCACACAGATGTTTCTAGGTTTACTCAGAGATCAACTGTACATGATTGTAGTGAGATTCACTTCCTTCAATACAATTCACATAAGGTGATGCATTAGTTATGCAGAGATGTATACATTTCACTCACTTATACCTCAAATCTTTAAGTGCAAAGGTAAAGACTAGGAGTAAATATACATGAGGTCTATTGTGACTTTTGATATTGATAGAACAACAAAAAAAACAATCAATTTAAGTTTAAATAGTGGCGCTCAAACTTGGATACGATAAAACAATTTATCTTTTTGATGGTGCCTTCCAGATGTCACTGTGACTAAGTGGATAAAACAAAATCCAATTTTCCTTCTAACATCCAACCTGACATGTAACTTTGAGAAAAAAGATGACATGATGTTCATATAGTTTGAGTTAAAGGTATCTTAGATGGATCAAAGAGAGCTCAGTGATTCGAACAAGAGCGACCTTGTGGCAATACTCAAGAAAAGGTTTAATTAAAAATATGTAACTGGATAAATGACACATGTGAGGAATACCCTGTTGTGCGTAGTTAGTAACACTAAGCACCGACTATTATGGAGGGTTTCATTATTTTGATGCTGATTTGATCTCAACAATCTCAAATGTTTCTTTTATGGCCTCTTATGGAAGCTAAAATGTAAAACGAATACTAGCCGCTCATATGGGCTAAATATGGATATGGATTAAATTATCCTGAGAATTATTTCTTTACTCAGTTATTAAGAGTAGATGAAGTGGAGTATACATATGGTAAATGTGAGTGAAAAAAGATCTCCAGAAAAGCTCCTATTATATGTTTTTGAAAGATGTGATTTAGAGTTTTTTGTTATCAACACTCTAACCAAAAACATAAATAACTGAAAAGATTTTACTTTCGTTATCTTAATATTCTGGCCATGCAATCTGATATCAATATTTCCTTTAATAAAGGACTTCAAGAAGTTATGTAGCCTTTATAATATTTTTCATTGATGTTAGTAACCTCGATCCTAATACATTTCACTTAAAATTGGAGATATATATTCATGTCACATTACCCTCCGAAGTAAACGTAGACATTTCTAAATCATGAAAGAGTCTTTTGAACTGAAACGATAATGTGGAAATATTTTCAAAAGAAATGCCAAATAGAGTTATCTATGTTCAATATCAGATAATTATAAGCAAAAAATATTGTGGCTTAGCATAATACTGTAATGAAACCTGAAGATTCACCCTTGTGAAGAAAAATACAGTAAAACCTGTCTACGTAGAACACCTTTGGTACCTCTAAAAGGTGTTCCATTTGGGAGATTCTCTGTATTGAGGTTCATTAACACTTCGCCAATTGGTCTTGGGACTCTTAAAAGTGTTCCATTAACAGATGTGTTCAAATTATAGAGGTGTTCTATTTTACAAGTTTTCCTGTATGATATTTCCCAGGGCCCTGCAGACATGATAAGAAAATCTAAATTAAAGCCATAAAATAATGAATGCAGATATCAAAATACATTTCAGTTCAAACTTCAGAGGAATCCAAGCAAACGTAAAAACAATACAAATAATGAACATTTGAAACCATCAAAGTTGGAAAATAGCAGAACAATGTTAACCTATGACATTATTGTATGTATACAATGACTCTTGGTGAACGATGATAATGGTAAACATATACATGATGCAATGCAATGCAATGCAACTTATAGAAAGTATATATTATTACACTTTCTCATGACAATTTAGCCAGTAAGCTGCCATTTTAAAAAATAGTGGCTAGTTTCACATATATTATTTTATGTCATTGCTTTAACGGAAAAGTGAGGTGATTTTGTTGAAATGACAATTTGGCTAATTGATGGCCATTTTCAAAAATAGCAGCCATGGCCGTCTGATGGGATTTGCAGCACCTTGGTGTTGCTGTTATCATAGATTTATCAAAGGTAGATCGATGTTATAGATGCTAAAAAAATTTGCAATAAGACCTTGTATCCAACACCCTTACTAAGGCCTAAGTTGGGGAGAAGAGATGAATGTAGTATGTTGCTATCTTCAATAAGTTTTATACATATATCTGTAAAAATGGATGAAATATGATTGGACCATTGTTTTTCCCAATAAATGCCCCATGGATCATTTTGTTTAATATGTAGAACTGAATTCTCTATTAGAAGGCAAAGATACCTATTTGCTACACCCCTAATTCCCTAACAGGATATATTTAAATTCATATTAGTGATATATAATACAACCCATTAAAATCTATTGAGTCTATGTGTACACTGTACATTGTTATTGATAATTTAATTTACAATATGCGTATGTTACATTCCTTGCAAAAATATGTAATATATTTAATATATTATTGATTTATGATGCTGTTGCAATTTATTAATGTTAGAAATCATTTCAATGATGTATTTACATTCTTGTAAGACTTATTAAACTTCAATATGAAAATCAATTATGCTCATCTTACATTAAAATACTGTAAAGCATGATTATTTTTGGTGAAATATAATTTTCAATAAAGCCAACAACAGGCTGTATCTTATCTGAAAATATTTTTTTAAAACAAATAGCAAAGTCCCATTGATATGTATTGAACAAAACTAAAAAATTCATATCGCTAATATAAACATGAAATTCTATAAAATATTTTTCTAAAATATGATTTTTCAGTAAAAAAATCACACAGATGTTTCTAGGTTTACTCAGAGATCAATTGTACGTTATTGTAGATTGAGATTCACTTCCTGCAATACAATTCACATAAGGTGATGCATTAGTTATGCAGAGATGTATACATTTCACTCACTTATACCTCAAATCTTTAAGTGCAAAGGTAAAGACTAGGAGTAAATATACATGAGGTCTGTTGTGACTTTTGATATTGATAGAACAACAAAAAAACAATCAATTTAAGTTTAAATAGTGGCGCTCAAACTTGGATACGATGAAACAATTTATCTTTTTGATGGTGCCTTCCAGATGTCACTGTGACTAAGTGGATAAAATAAAATCCAATTTTCCTTCTGACATCCAACCTGATATGTAACTTTGAGAAAAAAGATGACATGATATGCATATAGTTTGGGTTAAAGGTATCTTAGATGGATCAAAGAGAGCTCAGTGATTCGAACAAGAGCGACCTCATGGCAATACTCAAGAAAAGGTCTAATTAAAAATATGTAACTGGATAAATGACACATGTGAGGAATACCCTGTTGCGCGTAGTTAGTAACACTAAGCACCGACTATTATGGAGGGTTTCATAATTTTGATGCTGATTTAATTTCAGCAATCTCAAATGCAGTTTTTATGGTCTCTTATGGAAGCTAAAATGTTAAACGAATACTAGCTACTCATATGGGCTAAATATGGATATGGATTAAATTATCCTGAGAATTATTTCTTTACTCAGTTATTAAGAGTAGATGAAGTGGAGTATACATATGGTAAATGTGAGTGAAAAAGATCTCCAGATATGAAAAGCTCCTATAATATGTTTTTGAAAGATGTGATTTAGAGTTTTTTGTTATCAACATTCTAACCAAAAACATAGATAACTGAAAAGATTTTTACTTTTGTTATGTTATCTTAATATTCTGGCCATGCAATCTGATTTCAATATTTCCTTTAATAAGGACTTCAAGAATTTATGCAGCCTTTATAATATTTTTCATTGATGTTAGTAACCTGTAATACATTTCACTTAAAATTATAGATATATGTTCATGTCAGATCGCCCTCCAAAGTAAACGTAGACATTTCTAAATCATGAAAGAGTCTTTTGAACTGAAAAGATAATGTGGAAATATTTTCAAAAGAAATGCCAAATAGAGTTATCTATGTTCAATATCAGGTAATTATAAGCAAAAAATATTGTGGCTTAGCATAATACTGTAATGAAACCTGAAGATGCAGCCTTGTGAAGAAAAATACAGTAAAACCTGTCTACGTAGAACACCTTTGGTACCTCTAAAAGGTGTTCCATTTGGGAGATTCTCTGTATTGAGGTTCATTAACATTAAATCAATTGGTCTTGGGACTCTGTAAAGTGTTCCATTAACAAATGTGTTCAAATTTTAGAGGTGTTCCACTTTACAAGTTTAACTGTATGATATTTCCCAGGTCTCTCCAGACATGATAAGAAAATCTAAATTGAAGCCATAAAATAATGAATGCAGATATCAAAATACATTTCAGTTCAAACTTCAGAGGAATCAAAGCACACATACAACAATACAAATAATGAACATTTGAAACCATCAATGTTGGAAAATAGCAGAACAATGTTAACCTATGACATTATTGTATGTATACAATGACTCTTGGTGAACGATGATAATGGTAAACATATACATGATGCAAGGCCTATACTAGGAAAGACTCAGCCAGGAACATGTATAAAAGCAGAGATAATCTCATTATCTATGGGTGTCTTTATTTGTTCAGAATGTGTCAAAGATAAGTGGGGTTGGTCTGGTATTACACCTGATAGCCTAATATTACTCAGAGAAACAGTTTCCTGTAGCAAACTACAATTAGGAGCAACAAAAGCAAGTGTAACAGAAACAGCTAATGAGCAAATCTTTCAAAATGCATCTTTGGTGGCACGCTTCCGTGCTTATATTATTTTCCGCAATGGTGTTTTCACAAGATGAAACAACACCAAATACACAATCATCAATGAACAGTTCAGACACCTGGAATAGGACTTATTCAATAAATAGTACACAATTGCCAATTAACAATACAGAAAGTTGGAACAGCACTGAATCAAGGAATAGTACTAAACTATGGAATAGTACACAATCTTGGAATGAAACTGTTACTATGCCAACTCATTTTAATGTGACAATGAGCTTCAATGAAACAGTTACTCCTAGTTATGAAAATACTACTGGTATATATGGGAATACCACTGGCATATATGACAATTCCACTGGAAAATATGACAATACCACTGGAATATATGACAATACCACTGGCATATTTGTCAATACAACTGGCATGTATGACAACACTACTGCCATATATGAAAATACCACTGGTGTATTTGTCAATACCACTGGCATGTATCACAATACCACTGGCATATATGATAATACCACAGGCATATTTGTCAATACCACTGGCATATATGACAACACCACTGGCATATTTGTCAATACCACTGGCATGTATGACAATACCACTGGTATTACAGCATCGAATGTAACCACAGGTTATAATATAACCACCATAGCTACAACAGAGTCAATTGGTAAGTTATTCTTTGCAAAATATGCCAGTTTAATTTTTCTTATATAAAAGCTGAGTTGAAAATACCTTATCAGCCATATATAACCATGTTTAAACGTAAACCATGATACCATGGTATACCATGGTTTACCATGGTCTATCATGATCGGCAATGAAATTACCATCAACTCTGACCATGGTGGCAATGATGTTTTTTTGGTCAATTTTTGACCATGGTATACCATGGTATATCATGTTATACCATGTTTCATGGTATTTCATGTCCAAAGTTTGCCATCAAAAACCATGGTATTTCATTGCCATGTTCCTGACCATCATTTACCATGGTATTACCATGGTATATCATGGTTGATTGCATTTCATGGCATTTCATTGTAAGATGTGACAATCAAATACCATGGTATTTCAATGCCATGTTCCTGACCATAATTTATCATGGTATATCATGGTTGATGGCATTTCATTATAAGATGTGACAATCAAATACCATGGTCATACCATGGTATTTCATTGCCATGTTCCTGACCATCATTTACCATGGTATTACCATTGTATATCATGGTTGATGGTATTTCATAGTACAATTTGACAATCAAATGTCATGGTCATACCATGATATTTTATTGTTATGTACCTGACCATCATTTACCATGGTATTACCATTGTATATCATGGTTGATGACATTTCATGGCATTTCATTGTACCGTGTGACAATCAATTACCATGGTCATACCATGTCATTTCATTTCCAAAATCATAACTCTCATTTATCATGGTTTTATCATTGCATTTCATGGTTGGTGGTATTTCATGGCATTTTATTGTCAAACCTGACCATCAAATACTATGGTCATACCATGGTATTTCATTGCCATAATCACAACTATCATTTATCATGGCATATCATTGCATTTCGTGGTTGCTTGTATTTCATAGCATTTCATTGTCAAACCTGACCATCAAATACCATGGTTATACCATGGTATTTCATTGCTAAAAAGAACTCTACAAGAGTCTCAAGTCTAAAATTGGTCAGAGTTGAAATGGATCATGAAATGCAATGAAATACCACGTTTAACCATGAAATGCAATGAAATACAATGATTGATCATGATATGCAATGAAATGCAATGGTCTTTCTTGCAATGCAGTGAAATACAATGAAAGACCATGTTCAAAAAGTATTTTTTACATGAAATATCTTTATTAATAAATGTTAATTAGATAACCAAATTATTATAATTATTGATTCTGATATTCATCAAAATCACAACTTTATATACTTTTGTTCCTTTATTTAATAAATTAATTTCTATTATGAATAATTAAGTTAATAACCCTAGAAACAAATTTTTTTTTGTTAAACAAATATGCTTTACTTTTATTTGACTGTTGTCGGTTAAATAGGAGATCAACTTAATATTTTGTAAGTCAAACCTCCAGTCTTCGATTAAACATCTTGACTGTACTTCATTGCATTTGATGGTTTGCAACCATCACTGGGGGGTATCGTGATGCAACAACACCGTGTTGTTGCATCAAGATGGCCTAACTTCCGGTGATAGATTTTCGTACGATGTTTTGTTTTACCAATTTACATCCATTTCTAGGACGAGTTGCTCAGTAATCATACACATGCAGTTAGCGCATGATCTGTATTTTAAAAAACTGTCATTGGTATACATGTAGCATCATCAAGAAGCGATAAATTCGTGGTTTTAATTCCTCACTATTGATGCAACAACACCACTCTGTTTCTTATCGATGATGCAACAACACCAATGTGCTGATGCAAAAACGCCAATATAATGTATCATTGAACAACAAGAGAACCTGTTTTATGTTCTGTTTACAGGTGTACTCGTAGGTCGGGACATGAATAAAACGCGTGAGTCAGTGGTCCATGAACGAAACGTATTTTGTTTGGTTTCTTTGTCTTTATCAAAGTTAAAAGGATAAACAAGGCAAACTAAATAAAGAACTGAATCCCCGGGAGGTAATCTCATTGATATTGTATCTGAAAAATAAAAATTATACATTTTCTAAATTAAATGCCCTTGATTTACCGCATGGAAATTGTTTACAAATAACTAATATAATTTTGGAAAGACAACAGATATCAGTCATTTTGTTAGTACCTCAATTGAAATACTCAATTCTGATTGGTTGATGAGCGGTCAACAAAATGTATTGTTAGTACCTCAGTTGAAATACTCGATTTTGATTGGTCAACGAGCGGTGAATAATTTTAACTGTACACCGCGCAATGCATTGCCGGTGAATAATATTCCCAGCATTCCACTAAAATGACGTCATTATCAGACGATAAAATGGCCGCCGCTAGCACTAGCCGTTTCAAAAATGTTGAAGATGAGGATATTATTAGTCTCTTAGAGAGTAAAGACAGTCAAAATACGAAGAAAAATCTAAAACTTTGTACAAAGCTTTTAGTGGACTTCGCCCAGGAGAGTAATTTGACTCCATTGAGTGAACTTACTGCCGATATACTGAAATACAACATGAACGTCTCGAGGGTCTGGATCCAACTTCAAGTCAACTTCAAGGGTCAGAAAAATCTAAGATATTCTTCGGACTAACAAAACAATTATAGACCTCTCCATTCGGTTTACTGTCAAAATTATCCCTCGGGATATAATTTTGACAGTAAACCTCTGGAGAGGTCAATAATTGTATATTATATCCTTCAAATTATTATATTCTTCGGACTACAAACAATTGTTAACCTCTCTATTCGGTCAACTGGCCAAAGTGTATACCTCAACAGTAAACCCTGAGAGTACTGTTGACCTCGACTTCCGAACTTTCAAGGATTACAGTATCGGTATACAATTTTGCCAGTTGACCTCAAGAGAGGTCTACAATTGTATATTGTATATCCTTTGTTATCCCACCCAAAGTATGATGTCATATATCAAGTTGAAGAGTTGTATACGCTGCTCAGGAGTTTACGCTATCCAGGAGTTGTACATCGTTCTCAAGAGTTGTATAGGATGAGTGTTGGTTTAATGATATTGCAGTTATACAATGCTATTATATAAAGATTATTTACTGAGAGGGATTCAATATTGGTTTTATTCCGAGAGACAATATGATATTTCCCGAGGGCCCGGGATATCTGGGATAACTGTACCCCTATCAATTTACCTTTTTGGGCCCTTAATCTTATCACTTTTGTTTACCTTTTTACTCAGTCGGAGAGAAGGAATCCAAAGAGAGCAATAATTCTACATGTGCGTCGTGCAAGATTTCCATTAAACGTGTAACTAAACGGCCTCTCTAATAAAGTCAATTAGACGTTTTTACACGTTGGCTCTCCAAATTGGAGGAAATAAAGAATCATATCATATTATATGATAGATGAAGCAATCATCCCATCGACATACAGTAAGCTCACGAATGTCACAGTTAAACTGTTTTAGTTATAATTTGATAAACAGTGGTAACGTACATCTACTAGTTTATCACTGTTCCACAGATGGATGACAGATAATTTCCAATAGCTCATCATGTTTACCGAGAACGAAAGATGTTTGTCCACCATTTTGAATGATACTAACTGGAGTCAGGGTCATCAAGCTATGGAACAGTGGTTTATGAAAATAGATTGGGTTACTAAAGCTTGCCATGTTAAAGGCGATTGAACTCTATAGAACAACGTCCAGTACATTATAATATAAGTATACATTTTTGAAAATACATATAAAGGATCTTCGCCCGCAGGACGTGTATTTTGAATGCCTTGAGAAGAACGCAAATATTGGTAATGGGTAACGGTGTTGCAATAGTAGCATTTAAAAATCTGTTCCTCTCGAGATTTATGGTCTTCTGAAAGTATACTAATAATTGGTGTTGCTGCATCATTGCTCAAATCTAGAGGAGTGCAGTTGTTGCATCTTCGGTTTGGTGTTGTTGCATCAATAGTGAGGAACTAAAATCGTGAACTTATGACTTCTTGGTGATGGTACATGTATACTAATGACAGTTTCTTTAAATATAGATCGTGCGCTAACTACACGTGTATGGTTATTGAGCAACTCGTCCTAGAAATGGGTTTAATTGGGGAAACAAAATATCGTACGAAAATCTATCACCGGAAGTCTGGCCATCTTGATGCAACAACACGGTGTTGTTGCATCACGATACTCCCCAGTGAACCATGAAATACTGCAAAATAGCAGTATTTTTAAATGCAAAATTTCAAGTACAGTTTCCACAGTATACCAAGGTAGATCGTAATAATAAAATGGCTCCATTGCATATCATGGTTAAATGTCTAGACCATGATATCACTGCATTTGATGGTATTTGACCATGAAATACTGTGAAACGGTGGTATTTTTTAGATACAAAATTACATGTTAATTGACCATGGTATACCATGGTATATCATGATCGTTAAATGGCACCATTGCATTTCATGGTCAGGAGCGTTTTTTTAACATGGAGTTTCCCAGAAACCATCAAATGCAATGATATCATGGTCAAGAAACCATCAAATGCAATGATATCATGGCCGAGAACTTGACCATGATATCATTGCATTTGATGGTTTCTGACCATGAAATACTGCGAAACGGCAGTATTTTTTCAATGGAAAACTCCATGTTAAAAACGCACTGTTAACAATGAAATGCAATGGTGCCATTTAACGTTCATGATCGGCCATGGTATTACCATGGTATTTCATTGCATTTCATGGCCATATACCATGGTCATACCATGGTATACCATTACATTTTTGAAAATACATATAAAGGATCTTCGCCCGCAGGACGTGTATTTTGAATGCCTTGAGAAGAACGCAAATATTGGTAATGGGTAACGGTGTTGCAATAGTAGCATTTAAAAATCTGTTCCTCTCGAGATTTATGGTCTTCTGAAAGTATACTAATAATTGGTGTTGCTGCATCATTGCTCAAATCTAGAGGAGTGCAGTTGTTGCATCTTCGGTTTGGTGTTGTTGCATCAATAGTGAGGAACTAAAATCGTGAACTTATGACTTCTTGGTGATGGTACATGTATACTAATGACAGTTTCTTTAAATATAGATCGTGCGCTAACTACACGTGTATGGTTATTGAGCAACTCGTCCTAGAAATGGGTTTAATTGGGGAAACAAAATATCGTACGAAAATCTATCACCGGAAGTCTGGCCATCTTGATGCAACAACACGGTGTTGTTGCATCACGATACTCCCCAGTGAACCATGAAATACTGCAAAATAGCAGTATTTTTAAATGCAAAATTTCAAGTACAGTTTCCACAGTATACCAAGGTAGATCGTAATAATAAAATGGCTCCATTGCATATCATGGTTAAATGTCTAGACCATGATATCACTGCATTTGATGGTATTTGACCATGAAATACTGTGAAACGGTGGTATTTTTTAGATACAAAATTACATGTTAATTGACCATGGTATACCATGGTATATCATGATCGTTAAATGGCACCATTGCATTTCATGGTCAGGAGCGTTTTTTTAACATGGAGTTTCCCATTGAAAAAATACTGCCGTTTCACAGTATTTCATGGTCAGAAACCATCAAATGCAATGATATCATGGTCAAGAAACCATCAAATGCAATGATATCATGGCCGAGAACTTGACCATGATATCATTGCATTTGATGGTTTCTGACCATGAAATACTGCGAAACGGCAGTATTTTTTCAATGGAAAACTCCATGTTAAAAACGCACTGTTAACAATGAAATGCAATGGTGCCATTTAACGTTCATGATCGGCCATGGTATTACCATGGTATTTCATTGCATTTCATGGCCATATACCATGGTCATACCATGGTATACCATGGTATGGCCATGGTCCATTTCAACATGGAAGCACACAAAGCACCATGGGGAGTAATTCACCCCCCCCCCCACCCCCCCTCTCCAATATTCTCTAAATTAATAAAGGCTACAGAATATAAGAGAGAGAGGGGTGACTCACTCCCCATGTAAAGCACATAGAAAGAAAATACCTTTCTACAATAAGGCTGTCTAACTCAGTAACTAAGTGCCCATAATTAAACAAGTTCAATACCCCTGTGCGGTATCTCAAATAAAGCTACAAAACATGTGTGTATAATTTACAAAACTGCAACAGTGCTTTTCAGATGCATTTATTTTATAACAAATAATTCCAGTATTATTATACAGATTGTTGAGTCAGACTACATTACAATGTATGATATTTCTCAGGTATTATACATGTAATAAGTAGTTTCCTGTTGGTCAGATAATATTTAGCCTAATTCTGCAAACAAGCTGATGTATTAATTATCATAATATGTACAATGTTATCATAACCTAACTGATATGCCTAATTGTTGATCTATCGGGAAGAGGTACCCACATATGATATGTTATCATAAATAATTATTTACTTTGAAGTAAACTTATTACTCACTCTTTTCAAAAGTTTGATTTCACTCTTATAGGCTCATCTAGTAATTATCATTAGGCACTTGTCTTGTAGACGGGTACTTAATACATGGCTTCTTGATATAATTATTATCCCATCGAACAAAGTTCGGAGGGATATAGGGAACGCCTCCGTCCGTCCGGGCAATAACTCAAATACCGTTGGCCTGATTTTGTTCATATTTTGTACACATATACCCTATGGGGGTAGAAGTTCTGCTCAAAAGCAGATTTTCAAAATGGCCACTCATTTCAAAATGGCGGCCATTTTAGTGCCGATTTTACAGTAATATAGGTGCAATATGTAAAACTGTAATAGCAATATGTTTTAAATGTAAAAAAATTATAAAGGACATTAATAATGCTACAAATGTAGATATTAAAGAAGCACATGGCAGCCATCTTGAAAAATGGCGGCCTTTACTCGTCATTTTACGATTTTTGCTGTAACTCGAAAAATAGTGGAGTGATTTTGTTCATATTTGGTATGTGAATACTATTAGCATTGCACACTGTCTCAAGACACTTTTGGTAGAAGGCGGCCATTTTGAAAAATGGCCGCCATTTTATCGTATTTTACTATAACTCGAAAAGTAGTGGAGCGATTTTGTTCATATTTGGTATGTGAATACTATAAGCATGGCACACTGTCCTATGACACTTTTGGTAGAAGGCGGCCATTTTGAAAAAAAATTTGAAAAATGGACGCCATTTTAACATATTTTACTATAACTCGAAAAGTAGTGGAGTGATTTTTTCATATTTGGTATGTGAATACTATAACCATGGCACACTGTCTAATGACAAAAGTAAACTCGAAAAGTAGTGGAGCGATTTTGTTCATATTTGATATGTGAATACTTTAAGCATGGCACATTGTCTAGTAAAACTTTGGGGAGTTGTCGGCCATTTTGAAAAATGGCCACCACTTTTATGTGTGTTATTTTACAAGTATGTGTGCGATTTTTCAAAAATTTTTTAGGTGGCTATTTAAAAGCATATTATTTCTTCTGATGACAACTTGGCAGTGAGCAACCATTTTGAAAATGGTGGCCTTTCTGGTGTGTTTTTTTATGATATTTGCTATTCGTTTGTAAAAATGCCAGTCATTTCTGTTCGATGGGATTCGCTACGCTTTGGCGTTGCCGTTGTTCTGGTTATTACATGTATACAGCAAGTAACAATTAGTTTAGCATACGAGATACATGTATATTTACTTCAGTCATCGTAATTATGTTTTTGTGGATGGCATTTGGCAGTTGGTGGTTGGTATTCGGTGTCTGAAACAAGTGTAACAAATGGCAGGTGATGACATTTTGCATGTTTTGTTTAATATATTTTATTGACTCAGAAGATTAGAGGTTGTTATGACATATTGATCATAAAAGGTGAACAAGTAAACTACATAACTCTACTATCTTAGAAGAATAAATTGCTTAATTAATACAACATAGTATGTTCAAAGCATTTAGCACATAAGAGTTTATAGCTTACAATAATCTCTGGGTAATAAGCTATTGAAACACTTCATTGTTACCTATCAGTTCTGATAAGACTGATTTATAATGTCAATATATCAAAACATTGGAGATTGGAAAGGGTCCTTATTCTCACATAAATAACTCTTAAAAAGCTAGAATATATACCAACCTCTACCAGAAAGAATATATTTGATTTAAAAATGAATATTGCTATGCAAAATCTGTGCAAATTGTGAATTAAATGCACAAATATAATCTAGAAAATAACTGTAGTAGTCTAGACAGTCTAAGTCAGGATCACCCATGCAATGATTGGGATAACTCTCCCTAAACTAATGAAAAACATTTTAATTGAGTACTAATGTTAATTCATTGACTTTGTTTTGGCTGTCTTTTTTTGTCATTTATTAAGAATACATCAATGAAACAACATATGGGCATGTTAAGCGTACGCTCAGGCTCAGGCCAGAAGGTTCTTGAATTCTTCCAAAATCATACAGTCATTTAGTATTTTGAGCATTTTTCAAATGGAACATTTTTAAAAACTGACCCCCTTGGCTAGTCATATGTAATACCTCAATGGATCAAGATGGGCTAAAGCTGGCTACTGGCATGTACACTACCCTTCTTTGATTTTCTATTATATTTGGCTATTTTCCCCATGATGTCACAATTATATCCACAGATGATCCATCGTGTCCTATAGAAAAGAAAGACATCTTCTTAGGTTTGGTCCTTTGCTTTCAGATGAGTGTAGTCTATGTGATAGATTTGCTGATTGTGACAGGAGTGGTGAGACACCAAGGTGTGTCTGTAGGGTGGGCTATACGGGTGATGGAACAACATGTACAGGTAAGTCATATCAATAGTAAATATAATTCAGATTTCAAAATCTTATTTTAAATGATGCATCTAAATGTATGTATCAATTAGAATTGACATTACAATAAATAGAACAATTGAATTGAGGTCTATATTAGAGTATAGCCAAGACATAAAAGTCTTAGAATATAGGCAGAGGCTGGGCCAACACAACCTCAACCTATTCAAAAATATAGCTTGTTTGACTCCTCTGATATGTTTTAGAAATTATGACTTGTTTCAGATTTTATGAATGTACGTACTAATTGATAGAAAATGTTTATATTGCAGCATTGAATGCATGTGAGGGCAACCCTTGTGGATCCAATGGCTATTGTGAGAATCTGAGGACAAGCTACAGTTGTATATGTTATTCTGGATACACAGGAACACATTGTGAAACAGGTAAACATGTACAATGTTTATGACTGCCTCCCCTATAGTAGATAATGAGGGGGTTCAGACATTTAGTGCTATGATATGTAGCTGAGATTTAGGCATGTTAAAGTCAAGTGGGATAAATAATTGATTGTACTTCATAGGGACTTCTATTTCACTCATCAAAGAACATATGAATTGTTCATTTTGAACATACATCTTAAAGTCAAGAAATATTTTGCAAAAATTTTGAGGAGGCTAATTGGGCTTTCTTGATGTTATATGCTAATCTCTAAGTGGATTAATGATCCCCTTCTATTTCTCATCACTAGTCGTCCCCAGCTGGTTAGAAAGACATAACAAAATGGATGAACTTCCGTCTGAAGATTTCTTATTTTCAGCGTGTTCACCAAGGAGGCTGTTGAGTACGCATCCAAATATTTTACTTGTATGTTAAAAGTAACATCTGATTACGTCGTTATAACCAGGTGATCATGGTGCTTAGTATATTTAAAATTATATGGTATACAATAATGAACTGTTATTTTCCAGATCTGAATGACTGTAAGGTAAACACAAGTCTGTGTGATGCAAGTCAAGACTGTGAGAACACTACTGTAGGCTATAGGTGTCTCTGCGAACCTGGCTTCATTGACAATGATGGAAAATGCACAGGTATTTGGCAAACTAAGTGATTTGTAATATTACTACATAAATAAAGATTTTCCATAAATATTACATGAATAAAAGATACAAACATGCCAAAACTACTAAAGTGTGTGTGTGTTTCATTCATTTTAAAAATTATTTAAAGAAGTGATACAATTTTTATTTTCTTTATAAAAATTATTTATAAACCTCTTTAGGGAGCTACATGTAATGACAAATTTCAGTTTGAAGGAATAATTCATTACACTCATTACTTACTACAATATTACAATATTTATTTCTATTTATTCTAGTCAGCTTCACTCATTATACACTTAACAAATACAAAATCTAATTTGTTCATGTACTGAGATGTACTGATTTACTTATATGTAATTTATGTGATGTATAAAGCATTTGCACATACTTAAGTTTAAAGAGGGATGTTGCGATTGGAAAGCACAATCAAGACCCCTTGATTACATGTTGAGCTGTACCACATATTCACCTTTCAACTTACCAACGAAGAAGTCCCCAAATCTGCTGCTTTATATGCTAATTTTTGGCGTTTTGCCATTGTGCTGAATGGTCGAATTATTTTCATCCAAATTAATTATCTGAAACTTAAATAAACCTGAGGGACATCTATATGTTATCTGATTGGTTGTTAAAGGGACAACAAGGCTTGTAGAGAGAAAATTCGAAATATTTTACTTTTTCTGAGCTACAGTATCAGGGCAACCTTTGGCTTAACATCTTCTTTGACATACCTATTTTCTTAAAATGTATGGATAAACTTTCAATTTCAGCATTAAGAAGTGTAAATTCAGTTCAAAGCTTCTATAGAGGGAGTCCCGCTTATAGATTTTTAAGATTCACCATGTTTCAAGAGGAATATCAGCTGAAACAATGTTTATCCAGGGTGTTTCTTTGAGGATAATGAAAATATATGTTAGTCTTGAAGAAATAACCAAACTTAAATATATTTTGACACTTGTCCATGATCGTTGAATGTCCCCTCTGCACTCATTGTTGCACCTTTAAATTTGTTAATCAATATTATCATGTAACCAAAGGAACTCCGTATACGGAATTTTTCCTCGATTGCCGCGATCAAACTCAATTGTGTTCAATTCTGACAGTTGGTTGTTCTGTTGATTTTGTCAATATATCGGCAAAACTATACCCATAAGTTTGTCTCAAGATATATCTAAAGTATGTAAGATATTATATAAGCAATTATAATGGAACATCACTGATTGTCCGGGAGATAAATCGATGGCATTATGTATCTTTAAATAAGGATAACTCAATAAAGTCAGAACTGTTGGAAAAAATTAATATCTCGATTAACTTAATCTCAACTTTTCTTTATCCTTTCTTCTGCCTTTTAATGCATGTATCTTCATGTGAATTGTTATAAAAATATAACTTGACCATAATGCCCTCACTGTGGAGTGACCATGTCTTATTAAATTCTAAACTCTCTTGTATTTCTAGAGATACCTCTGTACCCCTATGAAGGCATTGGAGAGGTAAATAAGGGCGATGATCCTGTTTATGGACCTTTCTACATAAGGGGAGGAATATCCTACTTTGGAAAGATTTATCATCGACTTTTTGTGAGTATTGAAAATGCCAAAGCACATTTATCCATCACAATGTCTAGATTCCTACACAACAAAAAATATAGAAAGTATAAACAAAGAAATGATGAAGCTGATTGACTAATAACATAGAAGGAAATATAGAAACTAACAAACAAATAAAAGATACAAGCAAATAAATAAACAAATTCTGTATTATTCTTGTACTTTGTGAAACACAAGAACATGCATTCCAAAATTCCAATTAACGAATAAACCTTTATGTTTTTCATCATAATTAAAGCAATTACCTTATACATATGTCTTTTAAATATAAATGTGTTTGTTACTTTAGGTGTCCATGAATGGCTACATATCCCTTGGTCAACGATACAGTTATACCCAACCCCCCTGGAACAATCGATTCCCCAGAGATGAAGCCTTGATTGCACCCTGGTTTACAGACATTGATACCACAAAATATGGTTACTTGTCCATATATAACTACAATGTTATAGATTCCAACCAAACTGCAAAAGTTATTTTAGAACGAGCTAGTGAGGATGGTACCAAATATGGTGTGGATAGTAGTTTTACAGCATCACATGTAACCGTAGCAACATGGTATAAGGTGCCACCATATCCAGGCCAAACCCAGGATGAGGTGAGATTTTGTTTGCCATTTTTGCTATATTCCTATTGTATTGTATTCCATTGTATCCATTTTTCTTTATTATTGAAAGTCAACTGACATTATGTCAGTAAATAACATCATGTTTTCATACAAAAGATATGCACCTGAAACCATTGTGATTCCCACTTGATATCATATTGAGTAATAAGTTGTTTTTCATCCTTTTCCAGTAAAGTTAATGTTCAAAATTCTGGAATTAATATTTATATTAACCTCTTGACTACTCACTGACAGGATTTCTCATCACCTTTGAAATGAATTTGTAACCCAGAGTAACAAGATAATCTGTTACAAATTTTTTCTCACTGAAATTGCTCTAATTTGGAGAATTTTCATCGGATTTACACAAATTGGAGTTAATGTTTCAAAATGTGTAGAAATGATCACTGCCGACTATTTTCACTAAATTGAGCATCACCTGTTGTTTATATGTAGTAAAATGTCAAAAGCTGGCAAAAATGAAAAATTATTTGATTTCGAAAGCGATTGTGGAGCCTGGGATTCAAGAGGTTAATGATTCCTTGCCCTGGTTCCTTATCTCCATTTTCTCTTTATCTTTGATTACTTGAAATAATATAAGGAGACATAATTCTGAGAATTCCACAACCTTTTTGTTCCAGAATGCCACATTTCAAGTTGTTATGGTGACAGATAGTCGAGTATCATTTGTATTATATAACTACCACCCCTCTGGTATGGGCTGGAATCCCAACAACAGTGGCAGACAAATTCTAATTGGGCACTCGGATGGTGGAAATAATAGCAGAAGTATATACGAAAGGCCAATATCTACAGTCCACCAGAGGTCAAATGTTGGTAAGTTGGGCGTTTGAAAGGTACTTTGTAAAAATCAAACATTGCTTTTTTGTTGTGATTTCTCAATTAATACTTGAATGTATACTTACATGATACAGTTCATTCAATTGAGAGAGCTAATAATAAGGATTTCTGACATATAGTAAACTGCTCAATATCAATTTATAATCCTGTGTTGTAACCTTATTTTTCTATACATGTTGATATATTCAGCTGTCTTATTTCAGAACTTGTGTACATGTATCTGGACCAGCTTTCTACCTTAATTATATTTTTATTTATTTATTTCACCTGTGCATTAAACACATTTTCATCTTACTAATGCCTGGGTCACATTTGTTCCGATTCATTGGCTGGTGCCTGGTGCCTGTTCAAAACTGAATATAATTGTGAACAGGATACTCAATCGGCCGGGCACCGGCTGATGAATCGGAGCAAATGTGACCCAGGCATAAGGAATTCATCATTGTAACATCATGTTAATCCATATGCAAAATGCATGAACCCTACCATGAATTTTCTGTATCATCATGTTTTTTGTAGGAGAAACAGGGAGACATTACTACAAGCTAGGTGAACGTACCGGCAATGATAACATTAAGTGTTTAGAATGGGTTGAGAAACAACCTAGCAATATTCGCGACCTAGCTAGGAGAGCTCAACCATGTCCCTGTAGCTGGAATCAAGCCAGACGAGACACACGTTTCACGGTTGATAGAGGGAGCATGTGTGTGGAGACAAATAGCTGGAACAACAGAAGATCACGACGCCCCAGACAGAAGTGTTGTTATGACAGGTGAGGGCTGATCTTCTAATGGGTTAGAATGTGCAGGTTTTTACTGAGATATTCACATTTCAATTTTTTACCATTACAGTCTTTGTTATATTATAAAATTGGACCAAAGAAGTGTTCACTTTGAGAGGTGTTCAGATAAGAGAGTTGTTAAGTTATACAAGTTTTGCTGTATAATTGAGTTATAAATCTTATTGTATGTTATAGAAATGGTGCAATAAAACTGGGCTATCCAGGAGGAGGCTATCCCATCATAGATGGTAGTGAAGAAAAAGGTTACCAGGATTGTTGTACAAATTCGAACTTATGCCATCTTTTCTACAAACAGAGACCTTCAAATGGCTGCTCGGGATATGTGCCTCCAAGATGGGGTAAGCTTTTGGTTTTTGGTTGGGTTATTGATGGGCATTTGAGGGGTGATATGATGATCTGAAGAGTGGAGTTGTTATCCAAAAGGTTTTGGACAACAATATCAATACTTATTATCAGTCATCAGTTTAATGAATGATGCAACAATAGAACACATGAAAAAATAGGAGTAGATTCACTTGACTTATATTTTATTTAATTCATGCAATTTAAGTTTGAACTACAGGAACTGAGATTTCATCTCAACTAATTATATAATGTATATATTTATTATCCCAACAAACGAAGTTTGGTCGGGATATAGTGAAGCCCTCCGTCCGTCCGTCAGTCGGTCCGTCCGTCGGTCCGTCCGTCAGTCCGTAAGATAACTCAAATACTAGTGGACGGATTTTCTTCATATTTAGTGGAAAGATGTATATTGGTGAAAAGTTTTACGCAAAAAAAAATTTTTCAAGATGGCCACCGCTTTAGAAATGACGGGACTTTTTTCGCAATAATCATAAATTTTTCATTCTAAACCAAAGTAATTAATATTATTGTTTGAAATTTTGGCATTATATTCACAACATTTATCTATTTCACATATATTCCGTGTTTTTCATCCTGACCCCCAGGGGCCTTGTGGGGGGTCAGGAAAACAGAAATTTTCGCTAATTTTTAGATCTTTCTGAAGTATAGCTTTATTATACTCAAATGAAAGGCAATTAAGAGTAGATTGCAAATATTGTATCTTTTTTCTGATTCAAGCCTCGTAAAATTCAAAATGGCCATCTAATGTACGATTTCGCAATAATTTTTCGATCCCTTCAAAGTATGGCTATATTATACTCAAATTGAAGGAATTTTTGAGTAGATCACAATTATGGTATTATTTTTCAGATTTGCACCTCAGAAAATTCAAAATGGCTGCTTTGCAGGAATTCGCAACTCTAAAATCTAATATTTTCAATTTTAACCAAAGTAATGAGTATAATTGATTTGAATTTGGTAATTGATATTTTGTTCGTTGGGATTTGCTACTCCACGGAGTTGCCATTGTCTAGTTGATACTTGTTCTATAATAACGTACCTTTATGTGCTTGTAGGTTCTGGTCGTGGAGACCCCCATCTTATTACTCTTGACAGAGATGAGTACACATTTAATGGCCTTGGGGAATATGTCTTGATGAAAGTAAATGAAACGTGAGTTCATTTCAAAGTGCACACACTTTCTTTTGTATACACTGTTAAAGTAGTATTACTTTGACCACATTCACCTGGCATTTTTCACAAAAATACTGGAATGAAATTATACGATTTTCAGTAATGAATATTTTCTCCATCTATCCATGGGCTTTCGAGAAACCCATAATCTATCCTAGTAACTCTGATAATACAAACATATTTTCTATTTTGCAGGGTACCAGATCTTGGTTACCTGGTGGATTTCAAGCTGCAAGGACGTACAGAGAAACTGAATCCTACAGACAATGCAACTGTATTCACATCATTTGCAGCTAAGGTCAGGTTCACTTTATAGAGGATTATGTATTGTACAGTAATTACAGAATTGATTTTCAGGCATTAAGCTGAAATGTGTTTTAAGAATTTTAATCCTTTTTAATTATCTGTTCTATATATGCAGTATTGTCACCAGCATGTATGTTTTCCGATCTTTTGTTCATGCATGAACTGTATATATGTGTACTTATGAGTCCATGGATTATGTTTTTGCTTTACATAAACATAAACAGTATATTGTTTTATAGGATGGAACATCAGATAATATTGAAGTAAAACTAAAAGAAACAAGTATAGAAATCATCGTAAATGGGGAAACCCCCATTACAATAGCTGATGGTAAACGTGAGGAATTCAACAATGTTTCAGTCGAAAACCGTGAAAATGAGATTATCGTGCAGTTTGCAAATGACATTGGTCTTAAGGTAAGTTTTGAAGTGATAGAATAGATGTGATTGCTGGCCCGTAGGCAGGGTGGGTGGGGGGGTCAATGGGTTTGAGCAAACTCCCCCCCTCCCCCCCTCCCCTGGCCAAAAATTCTTTCAAAAATCATGATGTTTTTCATCATTCTGGGCATGTTTTAAGTGATTCTGGCCATTTTTGGACCCATTTGTCAAAAGTGAATCCCTTCTGGAACTTTTCAAAAAGTAAACCCCCTTGGCAAATCCTGGCCACTGGCCTGTTGATTGTTGAACTTCTGTACTACCCTAGCTTGCCTCATTAACTTAACATATTCTTATTCTGCCTGTTGGTACAAGGCATCCTTTGTGATATGTATAAGACTTGCACCGCATTCTCATCAATTACCATGTGACTTCTAATTAGAGGAAACAGGACAGTCATGAGCAAACATTTTACTAGTTAATCATCAGGAAAATATTTATTATCCATATTCTACAGTACATGTACATTTGCAGGTGAAGGTTGGCCAAGGATTGTTAACATATGTCGTCTCTGTGCCAACATACTATAAGGGCCACACCCAGGGACTTCTGGGAAAATTCAATGGTGACGGAGAGCTCTTCATGCCAAATGGGACCAAACTAGAATTCACTAGAGGCAACTTAACTGAACAGGGTTATTTCAATTATGGCCAAACATGTGAGTAAAAACTATTGATTTTCAAAACTTGTTTTTCAATATGATAAATATTTTTTTTTAAATATCATCAAAAATTCCTAAATATAAAGCCTATTATTGGTCACACTACTCACATTTTATTTAGAGTAAGGTTCCAAAAATCATGAATTTGCCTGAAAATGAAAATGTTGCTGTAAAAGTGAAAAGATGAATTCTTCTATTTTTATTTGTTTTAATATCTTCCATGATATTTCCACTGTATTGAGTATTTATTTAACATGTTTTTTTAATATTACGTACTGCCTTGACTTCCGTCACATACCCCTTATAGATGCGATGACAATCCTCATAGCAATAACTGTACTTTTAGGGATGTTAACGTCTGAGACAGATTCTCGGTTTTCATACACGGATAAGAGGTTTGAAGACTACAATGTTCCAAGTTTTGTCCCAATATTTTTTGCTGATAGAATAGGGGACAAAACGGAAGTCGTACCTGATAAGGTTAAAGAGACTTGTGGTGACAACCTTCAGTGTCAGGTTGATTATATGGCTACAAATAATGATAAGGTTGCTAAAGAAACTATTGTTGATGGCGATCGTATTGCAGAGGACACTAGTATCTTAGGTAAATATAATAATTATAGAATTCAAATTGATGTAGTTAAAAAGATGAACAATCAACCTTAATTCAAACCATGAAATGCTCTTATAATTTACCTGATAAGAAGATTATGATATAAAACCAGAAAATGATTGCCAAAGTGTGTATAGTTTTTATGATTCCTGTAGCATAATTATATGTTTGTTATTTTAGAGCACAGGCCCCCTGTGTTTGTTGAGATAGAAGATGCATTGAACATCACCATAAATGAGAGATATATAAGGAAGCTCCATGTTAACCTTACTGGAGATGTCACTGTTGTGTTTTCAATTGAAACAACCCTGCCTAATGTAACAATAAGTAAGTATTTTTGTCACATATATTGTGTATATATTTTGGTCCTTTTGTGCTGATAGGTGTCATCATTTATCAAATGACAAAGCAGAGAATTGTCGAGATCTGATTGGGTTTTAGACTGGACATTCTGGATTTCAAGGTTTTGCATCCACAAGATTCTGAATTTTGAAAAAATATGAATGCATTCTCAAGGAATATTACTATTGACCACATAGCTTTATAACTTTAGACAGGTCAGTTTTTTTCAAATATGAGTGCTCACTGTTCAAATAAGGAGGTGTTCAGATTTCAGGTTTTTCTTACAAAAGGAGTCAATAGGAGGAAAAGATAGAGCCGAAAATGTTTGAATTAGAATGCATTCAGATCAGCCAGGTGTTCAGATATCAAGGTTTCACTGTAATTCTGTTGATGGGGCAAGTTATGTTGTTTTTTTTATTTTTTTTATTTTGGTGTTTTTAGGATAAGAGAAAGGCATTGAGCCCCTTTAGATATTATTTATGAGCATTTAATGTCACAGTTTTATGTTCATATGTTCATATTTTTCTTGCAATAAATAGATACACTGCATAAACTTTTTAAAATGTTGAATATTATACATCATTTACATAATAATTTTAGACTCAACAACAGGCGAAATATTTTGGAACCCTACAATTGAGTATCGCAACATCTCTGGATACGCCAAGTTTTACGCCACTGATTCCAAAAATGCATCATCAGAATACTGGCCTGCCATCTATGTTTGTGCTTGTAAAAATCCTTCACAATGCAACCTTGACTACTTAAATGAAAATGAGGTGGAAACAAATGAAAGTAAGTGTAAATCCGACAATGAGTTAAAATGACAACATGTATTATATTATGATATCTATCAATGCAAATGGAATCTATTATCCTTATCTCTAAGGAAATATGGTAAACCAGATTAAAGATTAAAGAGATGTACTCATATTAAAGGATTGATTGATTTAAACACATGCTTAATATTATAAATAAAACCTCCAACATGAACAGCTATCTACATCTAACTCTTTAAAGGAATATTCCTTGCCAAACCATCTCTCTCCTCATATGGTAGCTATAACCATATATTTGCTTGCCATGTTTAGCAAAACACGCAAAAATGTTTTGATATGGTCAAATTTGATCACTTAGAAATGTGATGCTCAATTCCAGTAAGTTGCCATCTTTTAAAATTTCACACAGGAAGTGATGTCATCAACTCTCAACTTTGCATATAGCATTAGGTGAGGAGCTATTAAGAATTACAAAACCAGCTAAATATTCTTTTTCAACTTTGTATCTTATTTAATCCTTCTAAAAATCTCTTCTTTTATTCTAAGTTGACAAGCCCTGAAAATATTTTTGCACAGAAAGTAATGATCACTTGTCTAGAATTGATTTTGTGCTACTTTCCTATACTGTTATGGGCAAGGTTATACAGGGTGTCAAATAAGTCCCGTCCCCCCTGCTACAGCTAAAGCCTTAAAAGACAGTACCTAGTGTGATATACCATTGGAAAGATCATCCAAAGTTATGTTAACTCACCAACTCTCAAGTATTTTGGATGAAATTTACCTATATTTTTATGATGTCTTTTATAGTTTACATGCCCTCCTTTAAGTAGCTTTTTTGCGTCAAAATGACAAGGATATGACCTCAGAAATACATCAAAAAGTTGATCTTTTTCGCATTCCACTTGTTACAAAATGGTTTTCAGCACTTTCCTTGCCCCTCTATTTTCTACACATCTAACCCTATCCAGAAATTGGTTAAATTCATTGCCATAAACATATTTAGTCATCTTTTGGTCCCTTGACCTTTCTTATACTCGATTCTTAAAATCCTGCCAAATATGCCAAATTGCCATGTTTCTAGGCATATGGTCACCTCAATTGATACAATGTAAAAATTTGTAAGATTGATTGACATGCGTCAGATATATGCCAATCAACGTAACTTTGGAAGACCTTTCCAATGATATATCACACTTGGTACCAAATATCTTGGTTTTGGCTGTAGAGGGGGGGACGGGACTTATTTGACACCCTGTAGAAGTTGAGAGTTGATGAGATCACTTCCTGCAAGAAATCTTAAAAGATGGCAGCTCACTGGAAATAAGCACTAGATTTTTAAATGATCAATATTGACCATATTAAAACATTTTCCCATGTTTTGCTAAATATGGAAACTATATATATGATTATAGCTACCATATCAAGAGAGAAAGGGTCTGGCAAGGAATATTCCTTTAATATGAAGAAATTTTCTAGGTCTTTGGATTATTTGATTTTCATGTTAAATCATCCCATTATAACATGAACACCTCCATCCTTGAATACATTTCCATCAACAACTCTATCTATACATGTTAATGACATGTTCAATTTGCTGAGATTTTACACTTTAACACGAGCGATATTAATTCTTGTTTTTTTATATTTCAGACAAGTTCTATAGGGCTCAATGTAACTGTAGTTCAGGAGCTATAGGTGAATTCTGTGAGATTGAAGAGTGTGCACCTGGATCCTGTTATCCGAATGTAACATGTACAGTTGAGCCTAATTTACCCAATGGCTTCAAATGTGGACTCTGCCCCAGTGGCCTCCAGGGAAATGGCCAGAAATGCTTTGGTAAGAAAAACAAGTCAGTATATTTGCAACATGTCCATGAACTGTGTTGCTATGGCAATTGTATCTCTATTTGTTTGCCCTTAATTGTCACACAATTTTGAAGATAAAAGGGTCACAGAAAATTTGTTGAGGAACTTTGATGATCTTTATATTCAGTCCTAGATGGCACTGTTCAAAATTCTATGATGAAACCAAAGTGATACAATGCATGTTTCACTGCCTGAGATTCTCAACCCCCTAAGCTCTTGTTTGCAATGTTTTAAATTAAGAAAATTTAAGATAATGAATATTACAATTTTATTTTCATATATTTGACTCTTTTATATCTTTTGTTTCTTCAAGAATTATTTTGAAAACTAAAAGAAGAAAACCTTAATTTTGCTTGTTAAATTTTGCGCTGATCTTTGATTAATTATAACATGGAGAAGTGAAAGACAAGTTACATTATATATTGTCATTTCACAGATTTTTAAAAGTATATAAATATGTATAAAAAGATCATTTTTTGTATTAATTTCTTACCTCACTGAACTGCATTAATTTACAGATGTTGATGAGTGTTTTGAAAGGACATCTATGTGTAACCAGACATGCCACAACTACCCAGGTGGCTACAATTGCAGCTGTGAGTCTGGCTACAGGATAGCATCTGATGGCTTTATGTGTGAAGGTATAAGCTCTTTCAATAATATATGTACATTCTAAATGTATAAGGTATATATGTTAAGTTTACTATTTTTCCTGTAATAATGCTACAAATACTATCCTAGAACAAACAGCACAATCTTGACATATTCTCAATTAAACAATGGCCTTTGTGACAATATATATATTTTATTTATACATTATGTACATATGTGTTTTGTTATCCTGTAGATATAAATGAGTGTACAGACACAGAAATAGCACATAACTGTACCAATCCAGGTCAATACTGTGTGAACACCATAGGGGCTTACTTCTGTGCCTGTGATGTAGGATACGCCAATGATGGAACAACATGCACTCAAGGTAAATAGTGCCCTTTAAGGTAGGACAGGTAGAATGAATAATCTTGGTGTAAAGAGTCTCTCAAATAAATTACTCATTCAACAGTGCCTACCCATATCCTGGTCAATCCCCTTTCTTGCCTTCTAAATGATTATCATCCTCCGATCACAGGGCTTCAAAATCCAGAATATATTCTTTCTTTTTACCCCCTGCTATAAGCAGTTACCATTTCCCTTATTAAGAACTCGCAATCTGATTGGCTGTCACAACACTGCAATAGAAATCATGTATAAGTCATTGCGCATAATAAGATCACGTGATTCAATTAAAATCGGGTGCTTCCAAATTGGTTATAGCAGGGGGAAGAAGGAGGTATGGATTCTGGACACCTGCTTAGGAGGATGAATGATTATACATGTAGATATTTCCTCATATTTTTCATGCTGTAAGAGTGAAAGAAGAAACCTTGTTAAAGGTTCCTTTTTAGAAAATAAGTCCTGTTAAAAATCAATGTAACTCTATAGATATGATGTATGTTGTACACAACTACAATTTATTTAGAATTCATATTGCTTCTTGAACTCTGCAGCCTCTCACCAATATGGCGGTCAACTTCAGTTTATTTCAATCCCTGATGCTACAAAAGGACAGATGTGGACAATTGATCTTCTCGACCCTACATCTAAGGCCTATGCGGATCTTGCCACTAAAGTGCACACTGTTGTAAGTATGACTTGCTGTAGATAGTGCTATTCTCATTGGGGAACATTAATCTCAAAAAATCATAGTACTGTAGAAGAAAATACTGTTAACATAGAGCACTTTTGAAACACTGAAAATACTCTTTTTAAACACTGAATCCCGGGAACATGCACCCAGGCCCGTAGCCAGGGGGGGTTGATGGGTTTGAGCGAACCCCCCAGGCCAAATTTTTTTTCAATAACATGCAGTTTTTCACCATCCTAAGTGATTTTTAAGTGATTTTGGCCAATCAAAAGAGCACCATTCTGGAATTTTTCAAAAGTGAACCCCCCCCCTTGGCAAATCCTGGCTACGGGCCTGTGCTCCTGTATCCCTCGACTTGTAACATGCCATTTATACTCTATATAACAATGGATTCAACTATACATGATTGATATTTTAAGAACATATGTTGGTATGTGTTTTAGGTGGATGGTATATATAAGAATAGTACATTGAAGACCAGTTACGTCTCTTCCCAGGTCTACGAGTTCAGGTACAGTGTAGAATTCTAGAAATAGAGTGAAAAATATGTCTAATGTATAATGTATCTTATTATTTAGAGTAAGGCCCTTACTATTTCAATGTTTATTGGTGTTCCTTTGTCATTCCAAAACTCACAACCTGGCTGGCTGTTATGGGATATTTTGATCATTTAACATGTTCTTGCGATTTTAGGGTAAAGAAAATCATTTCAAATAAAAAGCTCAAATGAAATATTTTAAGCTGACTTCATCTTGACTTTCATTTTAACAGCATGCTAAGATTGTTAATTTGTGTATTTACAGCCAAGGAAGTATTATTGCCAGATTCAACATTTTCTTCTCTGGACGCCAAGATATCCCAACGGTTGATCAGATTTTGCAAGATCGTTTAGATGATTGTCCCTCAAGCCCTTGCACCCTAACAGTTTCTGATACCACTCTTATTGGGGTCAATAGTAGCACATCTACTGTACAAGGTATGTATTCAAAAATAGATATTACAGAATTCATTTTTGTAATGGCGGATGAATACAATGAGAACATACAATGCTATTCAATTATGACAAGTCCTGTAATTAGCTGGGAGGCAAGCAGCATCAATTTAAGGCTTGTTATCCCACCGAACGAGATATAGGAAAGCCGTCCATCTGTCCTGTTTTATAATTGAAATATACATGTATGTTTGTCATTACAGAAAAGGATCTTTGTGTCTCGTCCCTAGACAACAACTGTGATAAGCAGTCAACCAACTGCACTTCCTCTGAAGGAGTCTTTTCCTGTTCCTGTAAAACAGGGTTCGAACCCAGAGACAAACCCAGTGAGGCAAATATTTGCAAAGGTACACATACAAAATATTGTATACATGTATGCCCAAATTTGTATGGCATTGTTAATCAGAAAAGTCTTGTATGAAGCCCCTGTATGTACCTCTATCAAAGCCTGAGAGGGGATAGGGAACACAAGGTCCTGGTGCAAGACTACAGAAGTCTAAAGCAAGTCAGCATGTTTTTAAAAATCCTGCACAATGAAATGAATTGGTGTGTGGAAATACAGAAGAATTGAGAGAGTATTAAAATATACAACGATAACTCCATTTCATACTACAAATCAAGGTTTAGAAATACATTTGTCTTTGTTTAGAGTTTAATAATCCAGGAAATCATCTTGTACACTGTACAGTTATATACCATATTTGCACTAATTTTCATTAATGTAAATGTCATGCAATTTAAATTGGTAAGATGTGCCCAATGGTTTGGATAATGAAATGAACTATGAATTCGAAAAAACAACTCAATAATTTGTGAACTTGTTTTATTTCAGATATCAATGAATGTAATTTGGAGCCCAGTGTTTGCACAAACAGCAATTGTACTAATCTTCCAGGCAGCTTCTCCTGTAACTGTAACTTTGGATTCAAAGCTTTTAATATAACATATTGTGAAGGTAAGGGGTTTTCTCAAAGGTTTCACACTTTCAATACCACATATTTTGAAGGTAAGGAGTCTTCTTAGAGATTTCACACTAAATTCAACATAATTTGAAAGTAAGGGGATTTTTCAAAGGTTTAACATTAAATACCACTTATTGTGAAGGTAAGGGCTCTTCTCAAAGGTTTTACACTAAATTCAACACTTCAATCACTTTTTATGTTGATGGAAAAAAGTGGATTTACCCAGTAGAGTCAACCCTTCTCTTACCATGTGCTGACTAATAAATGTATCAGGCAAGAGATATTTGGAAAATTGAAAAATATATATCACATATATATATTGAAATATATATCACACCCATGTACATGGAATCAATAATAACACAGATATCAATAATTCTCATGATAATAATAATAATTATGTTGATTTTGTGTATTTTTATGACAATTTTTTGTATTTAAGCACTCTTTTTTCAAACATTTGTTTATTTTCAGATGTATGTAAGAGTAATCCATGTCAAAAAGGTGGACAATGTCAAAAAGAAAGGAGCTCATATCGATGCATGTAAGAAATCGTCTTATGTTTATAAATGATTTTAATGAATTGAACATATAATAGGGTATTCACATATAATTGTATGTAACACTTCCTCACCCAGGAATGTATGTTTGAATGTTAAAACACTGTATAGAATGTTATTAGAGCATGGATATTCCTTTAAATTTAATAATTTTAGGAAGTCATCCAAAAACTAAACATGTTGTTTCAAACTAAATAGTAATAGTGAGATCTGTGTTCTGATTATAGATGTCCTGCCGGTATATCGGGCAAAAACTGTGAGAATGAAGATGCTGCTGCTCAGAGTACGTCGTTTTAGTCTACTACATGAGATTTTTTGATAAAAGTAGCTTTCATTGATTGAAATTAACGTAATGTAGTAAAGTAGGGTAGTTATGACAGAAAATGTAGTGTCAATTTCCTAACTACCTATGCTGATTGGATAATGGCCACATCATTTTTATGTCACCACCAGAAGTGGTAACATATTGTTAAAGTCTCCAATTTGTTGGATGGTTTTTGGCCTCTTGCATTCAGCGTCTGTAACAAATGGTGGGTGGTGATATTTTGCATGTTAATGCCTTGTTTCATGTTTTTTTTGTTTTCAACAATCCATCATTGATTGTATTTTTTTCTAACTAGACTAGACCTAGATTTAGGCACTTCTTGATATAAAATCTTCGCCAGTGAGTGTCTAAAACAAAATGATATCAATAAGCATAATATTCCTATTGAGTTATGAAATTGATATTGGAACTAGAAAACATACATGTAACAATAATAAAGATACTCCACACTGTTTTATTAAAGGTTTTGATCTTTTTTAGGGTTGCGTTTAATTGCTATTGGTGTGGGGGCGGGAGTTGGAGCTTTCTGCCTTGTGCTCATCATCATAATCGTTGTCCTCTGCTGCAGGTATGTTCTATCTTAAACCATATTAAAGCCATTTTGATATTAGGCATATGAGGCACTATAGGCATCATTGCTGCAAGGATATTCAAAAAGGAGACCAATAAAATACAGCATCATTCCTGAAACATATGGAACACCCTGTATAAGGGTATTTTAAGCATAAAGAAGTTCTTTGAAGAAGGACGCACTATAGTTTGTTTTTTTTCATTTTTATCGTACTGTGAGAAAGTGCTATATTGTCATCTTCTTGTGCTGCTGGGTTTATATGTGTGCGTGTGTGTCAAAATTCCAGAAAAACTGCTTATATGTTCAACTTGAAGTTTTACAGATGCAAGAACAGACTAGTGTCAAGATCTGGTTGGATGCTGGGTTAATGACACTTTTGCTCTTCAAAGTGCAATATTTATTAATGTGTGTCTTGTTTATCTTGTGCCCTTATGTTTTATTCTAAATGTCATAGTAGTTATGGTATAAAAAGGTCAAGAGGGGTTTATATTGGATTTATCATTTGAGATGATGTATTTTCCCTCAATCCCTCTGGTACTTCAGTAAGATATCATATCATCCCTCAGAATAAACCTAATAAACAATCCCTCCCTTGGTATAACCTCTATATTATTTTCTCTTTAGATATTTTTGAATCAATGAATTTATCAATATGTAAAAATCTTGAAATCTAAAAACCTTAAGTATTCAGCGGTAGAGAGAAACAATGTTGTAAAGATTAGACTTTCAGAAAAAAGCCATGATGTGAAATGTTGTGAGCAAGATAATACTAGGAAGATAACTCTTAACTAATTTCTATTTTTCTCTCTTCTTTTACGGAAGAACTTATTTTTATTTAATTCTCTCAAAAGTTGGCCCCATCCTCATATTCACTACTCTGATAGTTACAAAACAATTGCCATTTACATTTATACATGTGTACTTTCATTTCTGAAAATCCTTTGAAATACTTTTGCAGCAAGCTGTTTCCAAATGAGTGACATATATATTTGTATGATGTTACTCAGATAACCAAGGGTTAATGGCCCTATCAGATTCAAAATGACATGTTGAACAAAACCAATTTTACAAATCAATAAATTTGGCGCACATGTTGCACATGTATCATAGCAGTATGAGATTCAATTTTGATTTGAAATTCTGAACTTTACACATGTTCCTGATATGTGTATGGTATCAATTGATTTTTATTTCGTAAGTTATAAGGGTTGTATTTGATATTTGATCCTGACGCTCAATTTATCTCATATAACATTTTTATATCCTGCAATAAATTCAAATGTCAATTGTGAATACAGTAGTTTACTCTCTTTGGAGTCAATACTTTTGGTTAATTTTACATTTTACTTATTGGTTAGATTAAAATGGTAATGAATTAGAATGCAAAATCTCTTGAAAAAGAACAGGGGTTAATTCATTAAAAGATTTAAGATTTCCAAATTAATGTATGAGATATATTGAATGTAGTGTAGTTCATGGCTTTGATTAATGACAATTTTTGGTCTTGTAATATAAGTAAATGAACATTTCACACTTAATGGGGTAGGGGAATTAACCATGATAAAATTAACTGTAAATCAAACAATTAACAGTGTAAAATGTCAACATGTAGAAATAAAAAGTAGAAGGAGTTAATTTTCTGCCCATTAAAGAGAATTGATCAGTATTTTTTCAAAGAACCATTTACAGAGAATATTCAATAGGGCAGGAGGTTCTATCAAATTATGGTCCTACTCTCCATTGATTTATATGGTGACCTAAATACAACTCTTTACCTTATTATCTTATACACAATCAGGGTCAGTAAGGGCCGTTTAGAAAGGGGACCATAATCCCCAGGGGACCATAATTTCTTTCACAAGGGGAGTACTTAGACCAGTTGTAATTATCAGTTGAAGTTTGACTGGGATATAGAGAAACTGTCCGTCTGTCAGTCCATTCATCTGTTCTTTCAGTCATTCGTTCATCTGTCCAGGCGATAACTCAAATATGGTTTGACAGATTGGGTTAAAAAATTATAGGCTGGTGCCTTAGGGGGATGGGACCTTTGTTCGAGTTGCTGGCATAAAAATATCGAAGGGTCTACCCTAAGTTTGAGTATCCATGTTTTCCAGAAGACGACGTCAAGACAAACCTGAGTCAAACTTTGAAAATCCAACCTACGGGACAGCATATCGTGATGGGGTATCCTCCCATGTTGTGAGCCTAGATTCCTGGAACCCCAGTATGCTCCCTAGGGCCAAGCTTAAATCAGGGGCTGGGCCAGATCTAGAAATGCATGAAAATTCTGTCAGCCAAGATAGGTTTATGGATGATGATGTCAGAGTAAGTAGCCGTGTTATAGCTAAGATTAGCCTAGCTATAAGCCCTTGTGAGAAACCTCTTTTTTTTTTTTTTTTTACATCTATTGTCAATTTAATTCAGTTCATGTTAATTGAATAGCTATCTAATACAATAAATACTGTATCAGATTATAAACCAAACCCATCATATTTCTAATTCTATATTTTATTTATTACAGTATGCAGATCCATCTAAAATTACAACATTTAATACACCAAATCCAGGACGACAGGACCCCCTATTTGATAATCCAGCATTTAGCCCTGATGATCAACCAATTTCAAATCGAGGCGTCATTTCATATGTTAGAAACAGTCCAAACAATAGAGTTAATAATAACACAAGAGGCAATGATTATTTCTAGTAGAAATAGTCACAGGACATGGTCCATTGAATTTCTAGTACAAATTGGTATACGACATAGCCACTGGGATTTCTATAGAAAGGGGCATAGGACATAGTCCATTGGACTTCTAGTGGAACTAGGCACAGGACACAGTCCCACAAATTTCCAGTAGAAATAGGCATGTGGACAAAATCCATTGAATTTCTAGTAGAAATAGGCACATGGACACAGTCCATTGAATTTCTAATGTGGCTGATAAGTCTATTGTCCATGCACTAACACATGAACAACTATTTTAGGAAGTATTCTTTGTATTGAAAATGGATATTAAAAAAATTATTAAAAAGAAATAGGCACAGAACACAGTCCATCGAATTCCTAGTAGAAATAGGAATAGGTAGATCTTGGACACAATCAATTTAACTTCAGGGAGTGAACAAGACAAACAATATTCTGTAACTGCATTGGCATTAATAAATAGTGATCTCCCTAGGTTTTCATTTAGTTTAGTACGGTGCTTAAGTAATTAGCTCATTATAGTCAAAATAATTCAATATTTTATCCCTTTGACTAAGTCGAAACATACCTTCAACAGGATGGTATGCAATTGTTGAATTTTCGACATGGTTCACATGTGAACAAAGAGAGAGAGAGAAAGATGTTAATATAATATTCAAGAGTGTATGAAATCGTATCTACAAGTATATTACTTTTTAAATCAATATATTACAGTGAAACCTTTCTAATCCAAATGCCTCGTGGACCGTTGTCCAAAAGTGTTCAGATTAGCAGGTGTTCACATTTCAAGGTTTTATGAACATGTAAGTCAATGGCAGATAACATACCTGTATATGGGCTGAGCAAAGTGTTCACATGGAGAGGTTTTATGAACATGTAAGTCAATGGGAGATAACATACCTGTATATGGGCTGAGCAAAGTGTTCACATTTCAAGGTTTTATGAACAAGTAAGTCAATGGGAGATAACATATTTGTAAATGGGCTGAGCAAAGTGTTCACATTTCAAGATTTTATGAACATGTAAGTCAATTTGAGATAACATACTTGTATATGGGGACTGAGACAAAGTGTTCACATTTCAAGGTTTTATGAACATGTAAGTCAATGGGAGATAACATACCTGTATATGGGCTGAGCAAAGTGTTCACATTTCAAGGTTTTATGAACATGTAAGTCAATGGGAGATAACATACTTGTAAATGGGCTGAGCAAAGTGATCACATTTCAAGGTTTTATGAACATGTAAGTCAATGGGAGATAACATACCTGTATATGGGCTGAGCAAAGTGTTCACATTTCAAGGTTTTATGAACATGTGAGTCAATGGGAGATAACATACTTGTAAATGGGCTGAGCAAAGTGTTCACATGGAGAGGTTTTATGAACATGTAAGTCAATGGGAGATAACATACTTGTATATGGGCTGGGCAAAGTGTTCATATGGAGAGGTGTTCGGATATACAAGTTTCACTATTTCATGTATTTTTGTTGTTGTTTTGTATTAGATTCATTAGTTTTAACTGATTGATATCATCTATTGACTTTTAGGGATATGTATTTCATCAGCAAATGGACGTTATCTTTTACATACCGGTACATAGATGGAAAATATCCAATAAAGTATGCTACATATGTGTTTTATGTGGTAGATACTGATCTTTTATATACACCGGATGGTCTAATATTCATACAAAACAATCTGCTCAAAATGATGCAAGTATTTATGCCATAGTAAGATGTAAATTTTCATGAACCATGCTTGTGATAAATGAGAGGAATATGGGATGGGGAAAAAGTGCAGTACTGCACTAAAATGTAGTTTTTAATTCCATTATGTTTTATCTACTATTTATTATTATTTGTATAATATATAATCAAATTGTATTTTAGATATTCCAAAATACTTGCCAAAAGAGAATTATTAGATTAAAGCAATGAAAAATTGTGAAACTATTTATGTGTGTCTGTATTGGAAAAACGCGTCATGGATACCTGATATCCATTTATTGTACATTTTTGACATGTTTGAAAACACAATGAGTCATAAAGTAATTTTTTCATGTATGTTTTATGAATATAGAACTACATGTATGGAGGTTCCCTATTTTGTGTAGTAGTTGTGTAGTAGTTCCCATCTCTTTGTATGTTAAACAATATGTAAATATGTGTAATTTGAAGCCTTGAGATTGCCAATCTCAACTTGAGGTATAGTGTATATATGGAACCTAAACGTATCATTCGACTGGTACATGTATCATATTAATCATTCGACTGGTACATGTATCATATTAATCATTCGACTGATACATGTATCATATCATGTTTTAGGTTCTGAGGCAGATCTGGAAATTCACAAGAATATATTTTTGAAAATTCAAGCCTTCTTGCTGAAATTTTGTCACATTTTTCATAAATGTAGGCTCTCTTCTGAAAAGGCACTTTTGAAATATATCAGAAGAGCTTTTTGAAAATGTGGCCCAAAAAACAAAATGAAAAATGTGTTGCACCCCCCCCCCCCCCCTCCAGATCTGTCTGTGTGGTCTGAATGAATTTGTGGTTATGCATACATTCCATTCCAACAGAGGTTCAAAATTTCAAGATCTGATGTACATCGAATAATTATTCAGCCTATATATTACAATATCTACAAGTATTTTTTGTACTGTATGTCATGATTAATACAATATGAATTCACTTGTACTTGTACAAGGGGCGATCCATATATTCTGATAAAAATGCTCTCAGTTTGTGATTTTTTCACATATCCCTCTCATTTTTTCAGAAAATGTAGATTATGTAATTACATATACAATGCTAAAATATTATAGTTATATCTTAAATTATCAATGAGATAAGGTTGCCATGGTAACCTGTATTAAGGGTAGGCAGGTCAATTAAATTATAACATATAAATATCATAATAACTTGTTATTTTAATTATTTTAAAGCATACGGAAATCATGCATTTTTTCAAAAAAGTTTGGTATTGTTACTCGTTGTTTGTTGCTAAACAAATATGTGCTCACTATAACATCACAACAAATCACAATAGCATTGTAGGACAGAATGGGCCAATTGACATTACATGTTATGAGACACACCAAAATCAAATTGTCAGATGAGGTTAATGTGGCTGATGCATAGTGTGACATTAACAGATACATTAGGGAATACCATTAGATTTTATTTTCTTTCAAGAATAAGTAAGAGGACACTGTCAGAGACTTACATGGCCTCATTTAGTGCATGGGTAAGGTGTTATATCTACATAAAGAATCTATAGGTAGTATTGTAAAGAGGAAGGCATGGTCACTGTTGATGATCATCCACAATCTGGTTGCAAGAAGAGCTTGTTGACAGAGAATAACACTACGATAAATTGAGATGTTACTTATTAAAAGATAGCTATCCCACTGTGTTAATTATCAAACAAGGGTATCAGGGGTATAGAACAGATCAATGAATAGTTGGCAATGACTGGAAGATGCGTTTGATCTGCCTAAAATAGGTACCAAGGAATTATTAAATTAACATATTTATCTATTTCAGACATTATAATTTAACTGACCTGCCTACCCTAAATACAGGTTACCATGGCAACCTTATTTCAAAATTAATTTAAGATATAGCTTAAATATTTTAGCATTGTATGTGTAATTACATAACCTACATGTTCTGAAAAAATGAAAGGGATATGTGAAAAAATCACAAGATGAGAGCATTTTTATCAGAATATATGGATCGCCCCTTGTATAATCATTATTTGTACTCCCATGCATTTTGTAAACATTCATGTACCATATGTCTTTTGGAACAAGGAAACCCTATAACAAAAGGTTTTCAAATTATTACAATATTATTCAAGATATTTAGTTAGTAAATGTATTTTAAGTAAGGCTCCTAAAGGTTCAATGTTTGTGAAAGATGACAAGTAATCAGATGTTTTCTGAATTATAAATTCCATTGTGAATGCCACTGTAAGGGTAGCATCAAAATAAATAATAAATAAAATTGATACTATATTTTGTGATGTGTTTTCAGTAGTAATCATCTCTCAATCATGTGCTTCACTGCTAATTACAATATAGTTACATATATAGGTTATTGTTGCAGTGTATTGAATTATACAAGAAACAACATATTTCATATTTCAAGATAGTACAAGAATTTGACTCAAAAAAATTATCACTTACCGACTATTGTATCATATCTTCAATGATTTTTGTATATTCTACATAATTCAATGTTCCGAGGAGTATACTTTTCTGAGGACACATACATTTCGTTCGTTCTTTCGTTCGTGCGTGCGTCCGTTCGTGCGTGCGTGCGTACATGCGTTCATCCGTCTGTTCGTTTGTTCGTTCGGGGCCTGGAGAGATATGATAGAATTGGAACATAAAATGTTCTGTGAAACTTTAGAAAGTGAATTTAAACAAAAAATTTTATACCTCATGATTTCAGCAGGGACTTGCTCGCGATTATAACCTATAGCGGGGCTTTTGGATCATACTCGTGCCTATGTCAATTTGCTAGTTACTTGAAAGACTTAGATCATGCGCACTCGTCGTTATATTTATGGTTTATATTTATATAATTTAATTTCATCATCGAAAGTATAATGCGTCAAAAGTACGCACATCGTTTAGATTGCATTTCTCACTCAGAATTTGTCGTTGTTTCTTTTTAGTTTAAGGTTATTGCATATTAGTAAATCTTGCCTTATCATTGACACATGTTTCAATAACATAAATTAACATATACATATTCATTTATTTTATTTTGTTTATTTACATTTAAATCAAGACTGGATGTGGTTATATACCTATCAATATTTATTTTCATGTTTTCGTGTTCGCGCAACTTTGATTGAAATACATGAGTATCCTGGGAATTTCACACACTTGGGCGCTTTACAAATACTGCTGCTCATGAATGTTGAATAGATCTTTTTTGGTATGAGTCCCTTTAATAATGTCGCTTGGCACCGTGAACGATACGCTTATGGTAAAAGTTTTAATACCATTTGAAATTACTTGAAAAATATATTTTGGTATAGTTTAGAAGTTATAAGAGAGTATTCGCCTTTTACTTCTAACTAAAATAATACATTTGAGTCATTGAGAATTTGCTCTCGTTTTTATTGCATGTCGCTCAACTTGAGATTTTTCATCTCCATTCGTGCCATTTGTCCCGAGTTTCTGATTTTACTTATTTATCATTTACCATGCACCACACGTTAATAGGTTAAACTTTTCTTTGAGGGGGTGTGCATATATGAAACACCCCTTATATACCTTAGTCATAATCAGGAGGAATGGTAAAAGAGAAGTGTAATTAAAAGTCAATTTTGCAAAAATTATTGAAGGGGGCGTAGCATACAATATGTTACACTATCACACTTATCGATAAACAAAACGTTTATTGGTTTAGTGCCAGAGAGGAGATCATCGCAATAGCACATGGTCGAATAGAAAGGTTTAGCAAAAAGCTGTGATAATAAATACAACTTGCACCACTTCGAGGGAAACTTTAAAAAATAAAAAGGATTGAAGGTAAAGCAACGTTTCTTCACATTCCAATTCAATTTGCAAAAATAATACGATATTTGTATTCAGGATTTAGACTACGTATTTATGCATTCTGATACTAGCATCTTTCCGTTTCACCTGAGCTGAGAAGAAATGAGATGTCATGGTTAATCATGATGGTATTATGGGAAATGAGAAAGTACTATTTATCTAAATTTATCTAAACTTGTAGGATAGAAATTTTTGATTCAGAGCAACGTATTGGTGATGTTTTTATAACCTAGAGAATGAGATAACAGAATCCCGCGCGCGATCAAGCAATTTCGAAGTTAATTGGCGAAAACTGCTAAATATGTAAGAATTGCGTTAATTGCGTTAATCAAATGCTTCGTTTATTTCAGCAGCGGGACGTGACAAAACCATGAAGAGAGCAGTCGTCTTGGGCGCTGGAGGATTTATCGCTGGCCATTTGGTGAAAAGGCTTCAGCGCGATGGATATTGGGTTAGAGCGGCCGATATTAAACGACATGAATTTTTTGCTGAGATGGGAGACGAATTTGTTGTTGCCGATTTGCGAGATTTGAACGAGATGAAGAAGATCATAACTAGCGATATCGATGAGGTCTATCAACTCGCTGCAGATATGGGTGGCGCTGAGTTCGTTTTCAGCGGTGAGAATGATGCAGCTATCATGCAGAATTCGGCTATGATTAACCTCCATGTTTGCGACCTTTGTCAGAAGTTGGACATCAAGAAGGTATTCTATTCCAGCTCCGCGTGTATGTATCCAGAATACAACCAACTTGACCCAGAAAAACCAAACTGCAAGGAAGATTCTGCTTATCCAGCAGCGCCTGATTCTGAGTACGGCTGGGAGAAGCTGTTTAGTGAACGCCTCTTCTTGGCTTACGCGCGTAACCATGGTATGCATGTTCGTATAGGACGCTTTCACAACATCTTCGGTCCTTATGGTACATGGGAGGGAGGACGGGAAAAGGCACCTGCCGCAATCTGTAGGAAAGTCGCCATGACAAACGATGGTGGTTCTATAGAAATATTTGGCGATGGCAAACAGACGAGATCCTTTCTAATTGTAGATGAATGTGTAGAAGGTGTTATCAGGCTGATGAATTCCGACTTTGAAGGACCCGTGAATATCGGTTCAGAAGAAATGGTCACAATCAATGAACTGACTGATAAGATAATCAAAATATCTGGAAAACGAATCGAAGTCCGTCACATCAGTGGTCCTCTTGGAGTGCGAGGTAGAAATTCAGACAACACCCTTATACAACAGAAATTAGGCTGGAAACCGAGTCGATCTCTTTATGACGGTCTGCTTGAGACGTATACTTGGGTGAAAGCTCAAGTAGATAAAAAGTACTCTTAATAAAAAATCCAAAGGATATCGGACACAAAAAATCTTTAATTGATTTGGAAAGGACAAATAACAATAGTCAGACATTCACATCATATATATATGAATACAATTGTACTCCAACAGTTATTAGTAATGGGTAGCCAAATGATTTTGTTTTGGTACCTTTGACCGACGAAGTGTTAAGTACCTGTCGAGTGCCTGGACTGAAAAGCATGATTCAATTACCAGTAGCGCGGATGAACAAACCATATACGATCAAGTAAATACTAAAATCCCATAGTTTAAGGACCTCCCTTTGTTTGCAAAGGTTTGGGATTTGCTAAATGATCGGGTATCGGTTTGGCTGCTTGCCCGTTTGCGAGACGGCTAGCCGTACGTGGTTCCACCAGTTCAGGTACCGTTTGTGTTGTAACGTCCAAAATGCTGTCAATTATCTAAGAGACATTTTCTTGATGATTTTCCTCTGACTTTATATTAATCTGGAAATGCGATCATACAACAGATGGTGTAGGGATGGGTTAGGAATTATGGTGTTAAGTTGTTGTTATATGATTCTGTTGACAATAAAATTGTTAAAATCATTTTACAGTCTACCAACAGTTCAATTGTGTCGAACAACGTATCGCTGAATCCTGCCTTGGCACTTGCCTCGGTTCTATGAATATTTACCCCTACTTACTCCACACTGTCAAACTCCATCATCAAACTACACATAAACACCATTATCATCATCATGATATGTGCTAAATGGTACTGCACGTGCTAAATGAAAACTACAATGAAATATATATTTTACATCAAATTCGAATGGCTCTCAAAACACCAGTATCTTTACAATACACGTTGTCGCAAGGGAGATGCTCACAGAAGGCCACCAAGCATATATTGTCTCTAAAGGTGCATGTATTTGAATCGCTTTTCGACTTTTAATAAACGATTCTTTTGCATGTCCCTTGTTGGGCAGTTGTACTTCGATGTCAAATGGATATGAAATAACAATGTTATTGACGACGACTCAAGTAAACAGCGACAGGCGATCTGTTCTCCGTTCTGTTTTAATATTCCTTAATAATTTCTATAATTCTTGGATTATGCGGAGCTGTCAAGGACCTAAAAGCAAAACGGAGGCACATGCTTTTGAAATTATAAATGTTTTTATCTGTTTTTAGGCTATCCTGATTATTTATTAAAAGTCTTCGTGTATGTTGTGATTGAACGTTGATTAGAAAAATGATCTTTCACTAGGGTGAAGGGGGTCTATCCCGCTTTCAATGGGATATCAGAACTGGCTTCCAATAAAATCCATTCAGAAGGATGATTGATGGTGTCGTTGCACAGGGTGGTTTATTTTTGTCCAAGAGAATGACACCAAATTTTTGACATCGCTTAGTAAAATAAAGGAACTGTTTCTTCAGTCGGGCCTTCGGGTGGCATGAAGGATTTTGAAGTCACGGAAAGCAAGTTTATTTCAACAGTTTTAGTAGAGAAACATATTCCCGAGGCAGTTGCATTTCCCGTCTCATGTCTGGCTACAAGCATACAGTATGATTCTTATTTCAATTACCTATCTTTTCATTTTTATGAGTCTACCGAAAAGTAGATGTACCAATTTTTCTGGTATTTCTGTAAATGACGAGGTCGGGACACACTGTGATAGCAGCGTATCATGAACAATCTTATTCTTTTTTTCGTTTTTTATGCGACCACCAAGATGTGGTGACATGTTGCTAAAACCATACGGCCGATTTTCTCACCGTAATCACGTCTAACCATCGACAACGTACAGTGACAAAATCTAGGGGTGTACATTTTAGCTGTGTGTTGTCATGTTTGAAGCAAAAACTGTGATGTAGGTTTTAAAAGATTTATCTAAGGAATGTGATGATGTTTAATTTTACGTGCACGCTCTTGGCTAGACGTTTAACTTTCCAATTACGTTAATAGATTCTCGAGCATTGCTCCAATTTTTTCAAGGAAATTCCAACCACATAATTGACCGGTTGGAAAATGTTGGTTATATTCACATGGACGTCTCGGGTGAAATTACTTAGAAAAAAACGCGTGCTCTGCTTGAGAATCAGTTAACGTAATTAGAAAGTTAAAAGTTTTGCCAAGAGCATGCACATAAAATTAAACATGAAATACTTCGTCATATTCCTTAGATAAATGCTTTAAAACCTACATCACGATTTTCGCTTCAAACATGACAACGTACACCTAAAGTGTACACCCGTATATTTTGTCAATGCATGTTGTCGATGGTTAGGCGTGGTAAAAGAATGGAATGTCTTATTCCAGATTCCAGAAGGCAGGCGAATGGGGTGTGAAGCAAGTTTAGAATTAGTCTTGTTGAGTGTATATATTGGGTGTTCCAAAAATTGAGACACTTTTTTGACAAGTATTTTCCCAGCAATTGATGAACCAAATTCACTGAAAATGTGTACAAAGTATATAAAGAATGAACCTATAAAATTTGAATCAAATCTGTCAACTGGTATTTTCGTTATCGTCCGGACAAACGAACGGACGGACGAAAAGACAATAGGTGGGATAATGAGTTTGCTATATGATGGTAAGCTATCAGCTGGCACTGGACAGAATTTTTTAAAACAATAAAATATAAAAGTGAAGTGTTTAGTATTCTGGTCATGATAAACATGGTCGGATCGATTCAGGCATAATAATGTACATTGTTCTTTTCATTACCTGTGACGGAAAATTCATCATTAAGGCTAGGCTCAAACATCATTAATGACATTTGGTACAATCTTAATTGTTTTCTTTTACATAAGATATCATATAGAACATTATTAACACGAGAACAACAGTTCCTACAGTCAGTTTATGTTCTAACGATGAATGGGAAGTTTTAATGTACATTTGGAATTTAATTCAAATTGCATTATTTTGCATATTCAAGATTGAAACAGATGCCAGAGAACATGCTTCAACATTTTTACATGTAGCACAGCTTTACACTTACAAATACATAAATAACACAGAATTTGCGGGTAGAATAAGAATTCAAAATACTTTCAAAATGTAAAAAGAATAATACTACACTGCACTGTATTATGCCCAAAGTGTTCAATGATTCAATACTGCAATGATATTTTGACCACTCCCAAATTTCATAAAATTTGCTGAATCAGTACTTTTGAGCCCGTTTATAATAAAATATAGCATTTGCATATTAATCAATAATTTTGAAAATGAAACATCTCAAAAATAAATTAAAAACGAGTGTTATCTAAATCTGGTACTTCAAGGGTTAGATAATATTTCAACTTGCCAACATGTTTTTGGCACGAGGGGAAAGAGTACCCGTGTATATACAACCTACCGCCGAGCAAAGACCCGAAGATGTCTGAAAATGAAGGGGGTGAGTTATAACCTTTTGTTTATATCTTGAATTTCTCAATATGAGAAACAGATAAAACACAGAATTGTGTGTAACTGATAAAGTTATTGTTCCAGGCACTCATGTTTTCAAAATAATGAATACTTAGCGCAATGTTTACTATCCAATCGCTAAATTCAACTTTTAAATATTTGAATGATGATTTACATCTTGAATAAGTAACAACCATGGCTGTCTTTACTTCATTCGATTCAAAGATACAATAGGTGTAAATGTATCATATTTATTTCACTGCCATACGTTGCATATCATTGAAATCACCGGTGAAAGTTGAAAATGAAAGACCCGATTATGTCACGAGTACGATTATATAGGACCCGAAGCTACCACCGAGCTATTCCGACTATACCGTGAGTAGAACCCGATGAGGTAGTGAGTAAGCTTTCGAATGAGCATATAATATCATGACGATATCACAAATATTTATCATATACTCCTGGCACCGGGATATAATATAATATGATATAATTCCCGCAGCACTATACGTCAACGTCTGTTTCCGGCAAAGTTCTTTAAAACATTGAATTCATGCTTACACTTGAATCACCATAATTTCCTATGTGTCTGTAAGAGTGCAACCCAAAAACATTTAATTCTGCATTGCAAGCGCCATTCTACTCAAAGAACACAACTTGAAGAATCCCAAGCTTCACAAGCTTCATATCCTCGAAACGAAAATTACCGTGATCTTTCTTTGATAATACAATACCATAGTCAAAAACATTGTAAATCCATTTTTTGCCATTTAACTCAGGCACATTAACTTTCGAACATGACTGTATTCACGCCTTCTATAAACTGTAAACAAAGTCAATGCTTCAGCTGGGTTATATTCGAGATCAATCACCCAGTTAATACGTGTAATGTGTGACGTCATAACTTTGGGTCGTAGTAATGGCGGACCATGATGAATATTCGAAACAATTTGGTGAGTTTTCATGTTCGAATCGTAATATAGACCTCAGAGCAGGGTTACTAGTTTTGGTACCTAAACGATGATGAAGAGTTACACGTTAAGAAACACTTGTTCCGAGAGTTCCAAGAAAAGACCCAGTCTATACATAATAGGGGAACTTCGATTCCGATTGCCATACTTATGGGGGAGAGTGTATGTCTCATGCCATAGTACTTGTCTTGACTGAATAATGTTTCGGGATATTTTGACAAGGCATTAACATGCATGCAAAATTTCACCACCTGCCATTTGATACAGACGCTGAATGCCGACCGCCAGACGCCGAGCACTGTTCTCAAAAAGTTAAAGACTATAGTTATACACGCTGCCCAATCTTAACAATGGAAATCGATCCGGACGTGTTTTTTCAAACGATTTAGACGTGTTTTGTAAGAACATGGAATACGACATTCGTTAGAATGAAGGAAAAAGGTATATTACAAACTAACATTACTTGACTTCGTCCTTAGATGTTCTTCTTCATACCCACGTATCTATTTTGGCGGATCATTCCATCATACTTTATAGTACTCGCATTTATATACCAAAAAAATATTCGGTCAATTGCTACTTATTTAAGCTCTTTTAATTTGTGGTTCTCGCACATATTGTGAGTTCAGGCAAAAATATGTGTAACACTGCCAGAATCGCTCATTTTCCGATTTAACAAGGCTATATCATAAGATTCGTACACATAACGCGTTTGGGGATACCTGAAGTTAGAATATATAGTATGGTAAGCAATATAAATTACTTACATTTACATGAAGTCAAGTGACAGCACTTTCATAACCAAAGGACGTTATACACCCGCCATTGGGATCTCCCCATGGGAAAAAAATAATTCATCTGATTTTTCAAAATGAGTATTCTGCTTCAATTATTACATTTATATGCACACTAGTATCTTGTTGACCTATATTCAGCACTGTATTGATGTATAGGCCACTTATTAGGGTCATAATTCAATCATGAAGTGTAGAGGTATAGATTCCGAACCAGGAAGTATTTTTGTGTCTGTCAAAATCCATTTACATCCTACGCATCCCTGCATCTTATCCAAATATGTTACTACATAATTAAATATAATAGTATAATCTTTGGTTTTACAAACTTGTATGATATTTGATAAGTGTAAAAGTTGTTTTTGGAGCATTTTTCTATAGCCATTTT